AAACCAGGTACAGACCTGGAAAGAACCAGTCAGTCCCATCAGTATGTTTTTACATTCTACTTCTCTACAGAAGCTATGAATTTCTGTAACACAGTGCTTTCTTCAATGAACATTACTCCCACTAGTCCTCCTGGCTTAAATAAAACAAGCCATGACTGCTTATCAATGAGTATATTGGGATTAGCTGGCAAACAGGTATATAACCAAACAGGAAAAAAAGAGTACAGAAGCTTCTCTTTTTTGCTTCACATGAATTTGGCAACTAGAAAGTCTGCTCAAAGAACTTCACTAAAGAAAGGGTATCTGGCAGTCACCAAGACCCTGTTAGCATCATCCTTCCCAACTAAACATGCCGCAGTATTGTGACCATGGCTTACTGTCTTCTACCTTTCTTTTGATTTACCCGACACACTTGAAACAATAAAGTTGAAAATATTGTCCTTCTGGGGTGGAGAGGAATTTAACATTAATCACTGTTTTCTTTGTAATATCTGCCCTGTGAGAAAAATATTTTATCAAAGATTCGAACAGTACTTCTGCCAATTCATATTTCACAGAGAATCCCAGATATTCAACCCACATCATCAGATTTGACAATCTTACACAAACCTTCTTCAAACTGCATTTTATCTTCTACTCTATTGGCCAACCCAAATACTTAGTTTTCCACAAACTAACTAACTGATTTCATCAACTACCCGTTCATTGCGTTTTCTCTGAACAATATTTTTGGATTATCCAGCTACCAGAATGATTTTTAAGCAGAAACTTAATCCAACACGAGGACTGTTATCTGCAAGTCAACAAACTGTAAATATCAACTATTTCTGAATCAAGTAACGAATGTCCTAAACCATACTATAAATAGCCACAGCCATCTGTCTGATTTGCCCCTTCTCCTCATTACTTTAACTTGTCTGTCTCCAAGGACACGATCTTACCATGTAGCATGCCTGGTTTCAATGCCTGCCTCTTGCCTCAGAAAAGCAGCAGCAAGGATCTGTGACCCTTTCCCCCCTCACCCCACCAAGAGCTAACATTACTAAATCTGACTTCCATAACCAGCCTCAAGTGCTTATCTATTCTTTCCATCACATCCCTCCTTTTACAGTTGTTTGCTATCATTTAACCACATTTTATCTCATTTCATTAACTCTTTCCTATATAGTCTGGGTTTTTTGTTTTGGTTTGGTTGTTGTTTTTTTTTCTTTTTGGCACTGTCTTACAAGGAATATTTTTAACAAAGCTGTGGAAAGACAAGCACACTGTATCCACCCATTCTCCATGATTTCCTTGCAAACCTTTCCAAAAGAAGGTTTACCCGGGAAAAATAATTTTAATTTAATCCTACCAGATCCCACTACTCCAAAGTAGTCTACTATTCTAAAGAAACAGTTATCAGTTAGAAGAAATAAAAACTTTATTAATGAAGAGGACAAGAGCTACAAAATTCCTTAGGAGGATACAGGGTGTCTATACATGCAGTTACATATGGCATAGTAGTTTGATGCAATTTAGAACATCTGTGAAATGCAGAGAAATGCCAAAGTGTGCAAATCAGCATTTTTACCAGAAAAATATTTGTCAGAAGCAAAACTTTCCACAACAACATATACATTGCTTGCAGAGACAAAATTTCTAGTCAAAACAAAATCCATAAACACACATACAGAAGACTTCCAAGCTCATCCAGCAGCAGAGCTCAACAGCTTTGTCACTTGCTGAGACAAGGACATGCATCGGCAGCACTGCGGGGGTCACTGCCACAGGGCAGAGTCCCCATCGCTCTCTCTCAGGGGTGGCAGATGGTTAATTACAAGGGAAATAACAACTGCAACAGAGAATCATTCCCAACCAGTCAGAATACGTATCGTTAAGGCAAGACACCAATATGGGAGGCAGATCAAACCCTGCTTGCCTCCAGCAAAGATACAAATTTCAGAGCCCTGTGCATGCATTTGATCAAAATCTTTGCTACCTTAGGATGGACTTATCCAATACAACTCTGAAATGCCTTGGAAATATAGTCCATAAAAATACAGAACAAAAAAAAACCCTGAAGTTTAAAACTCCTGGAGAACAGGAAACCCCTCCTTGTCAACCCTCCAAAGCAGCTGGTAGAAGAGCATAAGAAAAGGAAAATTACTCATTTCTGAAAAGATACAAAAATAAATGATAATGCTATAAAACACAGTTTGTGAATACTAAAAGGATGAATAATGTTAGTATTTATTCTAGTGAATTACTTCACAAGGCACCATCCTGAAAGTTTATTCTTAAGGTAATTTCTCAATCTGCAGATGACAGAAAGCAAGCATTACAAGTGAAATATGTAATTAGCAGATCAGCACCTAGGGAAATCCCATATGAATCTATTCTTATTTGAAATACACAGATTATTAATAATACTTGCATAGAAGTAAATACTGAAGTCCTCTTTCACTCTGAATGAGGAAGACCATATAATAGCAGCAATAATAATTTCAAAAGGTTTAAGAAGAGTGATTAGAAAATCGGAGTAAACATGAATATTTACCAGGGAAAGGAACACATAGGCACTTGACAGGAAGAAAAACCCTGGAAAGGCAATATTAACCAGTAACTAAGAACACAGTGAGCTGCCCAACCCACCAACTCACATATGTTATAAACTTGGGTGTGCATCACCTGAACAAGCATCACATAACACAACACGAAGGTACTCAACCTGAATATCACATTTAGTTCCACACAATTAATTACAAGGAAAAGAAAAAGAGAAAATAAAAAGAAGCCCAGAGGGGAAAGAAAGAAACATGGGAAATCACAGGAAGACTGAATTACAAGGTGTTTGGGAGAGAGGGTATAGCTTAACTAACCAACTACAGAGCAAAAACCACACATAGTAATACTGGGGCATAAAGTATCCAAAGTATTTAAAGATCATGGCAGGTAAGAAACTGCAGACAAAAAAAAAAGTCTACCTTTTAGAAACAAGATGAATTGCAAAAAAAAAATAAAAATCTCTGGCATACTAAGATGATCACACAAAGTAAGTCCTCTGCTACACAGTCTCCCAGTAAAGTGGATAACCTAACACTGAAATTTATGCTGGGTAGAAACCTTGGATAGAAGATTATACTAAAGTATAATCAGAAGCACTGCATCTTTATCTCAGGAGAGAGAAATGGCCAGACCTCAAATTTCCATTATTCTGTTAAATGTTTCCAAACATGCAGGCCAACAAGAGGCTTCAGAAGGCGCACGGAACTGGTTTTTAATTAACGCTGCTCAACCTTCAGCTGTACACGTACAATTTCTAAAAGCCATCCTGCAGTTGCCAAACCCCTAACACAAACCTCTCACACAGACCTAAGAACATTCAACTGCAAATGGTCACAGCAGACCTTAATGCCTGATGTCTATAGAGACAGCCAAGAATTTTGCACCTTTCCAAACATGCCTCCACAGCAGATAAATGCTGTTACAGCTCATGGCAATGCCAGCCACAGCTAATTATAACTTTACTGAGATGCTTTGGCAAGAGTCAAAGGCATTCAAGCAAACAATTTGTAATCAGGTTATATTCCCAGTTCTGCCACTGATAACACGTGACTTCAGCAAATACTTTAAATACTCAGCTTCTTTCCCGTCTCATCCATGACACTTACCAAGCTTTTGAGGCATACTTATGGGAGGAGAAATGGCACGCTAGCCTGTGTTGAAGGGCACTATAAATATGCCAAGTGTTACTACTATTAATGCACTAGCAGAACTTCTTAGGTCCCTGTAAAACATTTTTTTTTTCCTCCAAATCAATTTTTTATATTTTTATCAGCTATGAAAAAAATGTCAAGGTATTTATGAGACTCCACTGGATATATGACATGTGATGTTCTTATACATAGCTAAGCTAGTTACTTTCTACACAGTATTTATTGAATGAAGCAAATAGAAACATGATTCAGTTACTAATGAAACTTTCATTGAACCATTGACTTTAAAATAAAAATTACTCTCCGCTCCATGACCACTTTCTTTAAATTCTTACAAAGGAAGGCTCAGTAAAGAGTGTTACACCTGCCACTCTTCTGAGAATGGTCGTTTGATGCTACCATAGAAAGTACAGTTAAAAAGATGACATCCTTACTAATTAGGAAAACAAAACCAAACCAAGCAGAGAAATGGTCTGATTGCTCAACAGGCTCAAGACTCTCTTGATAAAGATGGTACTTTCAAGGAAAGCCATATAAAGCAAAGAGATGATGGGAAGCAAGAGGCAAATAGAGGAGACTTAAATAGGAAGACAAGCAGAGACTTTTCCTTCTCAAATATAGCCAAATGAGAACCAAACTGTGGGCTGCTAGCCGTGTGGACAGCGTTAAGGTTTACAATAGAGATTTTTCTTGTAAACAAAGCCAAAGAGGAACGAAGGTTGCACTATCGACTGCTACTAATGCAACATGCCCACCACTAAAGTATCTGACAGCAATGACTCCAGGCCAACAGTTCACAAGTTCTTTAACCACGAGATCCCTATCAGTCCTTTAATGCATTAATGGAAGTATCAACCCCATAACTTTTCAACTGAAAACACTACATAACGTGTCCCACAACACCACACGAGCAGCAGCCAGTCCCACAGGCCCGACCAGGGGCCCGAGAGCCCGAGGCAGCACCGCGGGCGGGGTCGGGGGGAGCCAGAGGCAGTTTTTAACAGTGGGTTATGAAACCGGTGACAAGTTTAGGCGGGCGGCCCTGGAGGGGCACCCGGAAAACTCCGGCGAGGCAACAAGAGCCGCGCGGCAGGCAGCCGCTCCCCTCAGGGCCGGCCGCCATGTCACGCCCCTCCGCCCGGCGGCGGGGGGCGGCCGCCCTCCGAGGGAGGGAAATGGCCCCCAGTGGAGCCGGGCAGCCGTTCCCTCACGGGGGAAGGGACAAGGGGGAAGCCAGGACAACAGGAAGCGCCTGCCCGTGCCGGGGTTGGGGAGAGGGGTGTTGAGGGAGGTCGCGAGTGTTACCTGCAGCTCCGCCCGCTCCGCCTCCCACTCTGCGCGCTCCGCCTCGAAGCGGCCCCACTCGTGCTGCAGGAAATGCAGGATGCCCGGTACGCTGTACTGAGCCCGGGACGCCGACACCGGTGCGGCGGCTCCGGAGGCTGAGACCCCTGCGCCGCCTCCTGCTCCTGCTGCCGCCGCGGCAGCCGCTGCTGCCGCCGCCTCGCCCGGCTCCAGCCCTGGCCCGCCCGCCGGTGGCGGCAAAAGCAAGGCATTGTTATTGTTGTTGTTGCTGAAGAAAACCCCGGGTCCCGCTTGCTCGTCCATGGCCGGGCCGGGTCTGCCGCGCTCCCCGCCGCCGCCCGCACCCAGCCGCGTCCCGGCAGCAGCAACAACCTGGGCGCGTCCCGCCCGCCGTCACCGCCTGACAGCCGCCCCCGCCGGCTGCTACGGCGGCCCGGAGGGGACAAAACCAAAGAGCGATTCGCCCCGCCGCCGCGCCCGGTGTTCTGGGAAATGTAGTCCCACTGGGTGACCGGGCACCCCGCGGAGGCAGGGCGGCAATATATTCTTAATCGCCTTTTTCTCCTCCGTGCTGCCCCTATTTCGACGAATGGCGTTAATAGCGACTGAGTCTCATCACCATGACGTGTACTCCTGCCGCAGAGACCCGCAAGCTCTGGCAGGGGGCAGTTGGCAATGCAGCCCCCGGCCCGGTGGGCGGGGAGGAGGGAGAGAGGCGGCAAGAGCGGCTGGGCACGGCTTGATCGAAATCTGCACCCGAGAGCTGGGTTTAAATGGCTTGGGCACACTGGCAGCCCGCACTGGGGACGTGAGAAGGCAGGTGTCTAGCAGCAGTTACACGAGGTTTGGACAGCCCTGCCCTCTCAGCCCTGAGCAGCTCTCGCTCTGACAGTGCTGAAAACTAAATCCATCCCAAGGCTACAGGTGTTTATTGACAATATTTATAACAGCTGAAAACGAGAGCAAGGCAGCATTTTTCAGGAACTGCCACACTGCCTCTTCTGCAAGGAAAGGAAAACACAGTACTTTGAGAGATGGCGACGCCCTCAGCTGGGAGCACGAGCTGCCAGCAGCACTGCCCTCTCCTACTCTTCCGAAAAACACAAAACCACACAGATTGGCCCACGTTCCGTGCTACACACGCATTAACACCCGAGGCTTGCTGAAGACAAGCACACCACTACCAGCAGGCTTTATTGTAGGGACAAGTGCTAGCAGTGCATCAGAGACGGTGCACGGGCACCGAAGCTGCTGTGAGCGCTGAAAACAAACCTCAGCGCTGCCCACTGTGCCCTGTGAGCACCAGCTGCTTGCTCAATCCGGCGCTTCCTGTTTCCTTCTGGCTGTTCTGAAACAGTACTTGCCTGGTTCATAACCCTGCCCGCAGAGACTGACTGGAGCTGTGGCTGGTGTATGAACTCCTGGCACTTTAAGAAAAAGGGAGAGACAACGAAGAAAGCTTAAAGAGGGCATCACAGAGCAGAGCAGGGGACAGGAGTGAAAGCACAGGAGGAGTGTGCTTTGGGGGACCTGGGAAAGGAACTGGGGCAGAACAACAAGGCTCACGCAGAAAGGAAGGAAATGGCAGGGAGAAAGGAAAGACGTGAAGAAGAAACACAGCAAACAAGCTCCATGAAAGAGATGAAAAAGAGGGTGACAAAAATGAACACTACAGGCATTTCAAGTTATTTAGGTTTTTTAATCAATTGATGCCAAAATGTTATGTAAAACCACACAGTAATACCTTTAGTATCAGAAGCAAGCATAAAAGTAAATGAGTACTAAACTGGGGAAGGCTATATATAAATGAAAGTCGTGCATGTTGTATACAGTAACACAGTATAGAAAGAAAAACCTCTCCCTTCTCCATTCCTGTACACCTATCTAGTGCCATTTTCCCTTCCACTAACTTTTTCCTGCTTTTCTACCAACTTCTTAGTTATGCTTGATTGCTGCACTTCCCCCTTCCACTTCACTGAATTTTCAGACGTCTTGTAAACTAGAGTGTAACCAAAACGTAAAAGCACTGAGATAGTAATGCAGGTAAATAAAAACTGATTATACAGAAAAAGTTTCACAAACTAGTCATTAATGACTAGACTACCGGGGGGGGGGGGGGAATCCGGAACAGGTTATAACAATGATTTTCTTAGTTTTACTTGTAAAATTTCTGTGTTCAATTTTGCAGTGAGTTTCCTGAATACTTTCTCTCAAATGTTACACATGTTCAGAACTACAAAATATAGCTTTGTAATGCTGGAAACACTTATTAGAAAAAGATAAATTGTAATCAATCTAATTCCCACTACTCATACAAAGATGAAAAAAAGTTATAAGGAGGAAATTACTTTCCTCCTCATTTACGGCATATCAGTTTTACTTCTGTGTGTATCTTCTTTACAAGAACAAGACTTGGATTAGAGTATGCACTACTTGTGTCTTCACTTTAATACTTAAATATTCACTGTGAAAGAAAAACTTTGCCGGTTTTATGTTAAATATTTTTCACACACCAAATACAATAGGGCAAAAGAGCATTTTCTTGTCCTCCATTTTGCATAGATACTCAAAGGTTTATATAAGGTCTTACAGGAAAAGAGACTAGATGAAAATGACTTTGCAAAAATATTGATCTACGGGTATTTCAGTCAACTATTAATCATATTTGATTCTCTTTACTAGCCTTTGTTACATTTTGGTTGATGTAGAAGTCTTGTAACACGTGGAATTTACAAAGTATTAAGAAAAACATCAGAAATGAAACAACAGGCCTAGCCAAGGCTTCTAGTTACATGGCTTCTCTCTATAAAGCAAAATGTACAGAAGGATCCCTATTGAAGCCCATAAATTCAAGAGCAGTGTCAAAAAAATCATGTAAGTCAGTCTTGTATACACAAGAAAAGACACGGTTCTGCACTTCTGCCAACAGGAAAGGTGAGGTCTGGCAGCAGACAGACATTGGGAGTCACTGACTCTGCGCTGTAAGGTTAGCACAGCCCTTGAGCTCTAAGCTCCAAAATCTGCCGATCAGACTCACCCAGATATGAGGGGAAGCCACGTGCTTTTCAAGTAAGAAAAGCTTCATAAGAGAAGGAAAAAAAAAAAGAATGCTTGGTGCTGTTCCCTTAGTCAGTACAGGTGCAAAGTGCTGAAGTAATTTGGCCCTGCAAACTTTATAGAGGAGTACAGATGAGATATATCCACAGAGACTAAAATCTTGCAGGAACGTTAAATACCTAAGAGATTGGACAAAGGGCAAAGCACTGCATCACCATATTCAACCCCTGTCTGGCAGAACAGGAAGAGTGCCAACACGCAGCACCCTTTGAGGTGCCCTACACCTACAAAAATGCAGTTTGCAGGAAGTTCTCTTTATAAACTCAATTTCCAATGCATTCTGTAAAATTTGTCTTAGAAGAGATAGGGGATTAGATTCTTTGCATCCTTTATTAATTTCAAGCATTGAAATCAATCTGAAATAATGTACACCACAAATAAGGACAACTCATTAAGACAGCATGCTTGTTTGATCACCTTGAGAAAGGCTGAAAATTTTCAGCTGTTTTTTTTTTCATGCAAACTGAAATGATCTACAACTTCTGACAATCCCCTTCCCTACTTCACTTTTAGAAGGAAAAAGTGCATATTCAATACTTGAAATTCCCCATGGTGCATGGTATTTTGTAACAGTTTCTCCTCTTCCCTCTGTCCCCACTGTGTTAGTGTGTTGGCACAACAGTAGGATAACAATCACCAGACCTAAGAAAAAAAACAAACCAAAAAAAAACCCAAAAACCAAAAAACCAAAACACTCAAAGGTTTGGAGTAGCTTTTAAAAATAAATAGAACTAGTCAGATAATAGGGTTGGGTTTTCTTGTGGGTAACTTATAACACAAATTCATAAATATGATCACATTCAATTTCCTAAAAATCTATACAAATACACCACTTCCCTTTTAATGCGTGGATTTCAAGTAATCACACAAAGCTCTATTAGACAGCCTTTCACATACAAATTACACAAAATTACAGACAGATACGCAGTAACACATCAGGGATAATTTAATGCTTCTGACTACTTAATGGTCCAAAAATAATAAAAGTAATTCAAAAAAAGCTAGTTTTCAGTTTAATTGTTGGGGTGGAATGTACTGTAGGTGGTGGTTGCCTAGCAGCTGCTTTTGCTTTGCTGGCCTGACTTGCTCGGACTGCAGTTTCTAGACGTGTTTTTAATTCAGGAGCAGCTCCCATTACTGTCTTGAAAGCATGTGGGTAAAGTGGACCAATGTGCATTAGATTCTGAAGTGCAAATTCATGAAGATCCTTAGATGCTGTAGATGCAGAAGCAAAGGCATTTTCATTCAATAAATAGGAGATCAGAGTGGGAACCAGAAGGGCGAGTAACTGGACTCCTAAAAGGGAAAGAAAAAAGATGTAGTAACAGTATCATTAAAGAAAAAAAAATGAATTTTCTCAGTTACTAGACTCATGAGGGTAATTTTGTTTTTAGAATTGACAAGAAACACTGTCATTAAAAAATGATCAAATAGAAAAACAACCCTGAAATTTAGATGGTTTCCTGTCTTTTGGACACTCAAATCTTTCTTACCAGTACTGTGCTTCAGAATTCTATTACTGTTCATCACAGTTGCTTTGTTCCTGACACTTCTTTAGAGATACCTTTGCACCTTCTGATTGCAGATCATTGATAAGAAATTGTAAGACGTACAGTGCCAATCATATTAAAGGATTTCAAAACACTTTTCAGGCAGACAGAAACATTATTCAATTGAATCAGAATATCAGCCTCCCCAGTGAGCGTAAGAGAACTGTGCACGTGTTCATGAAAAAGTATCTGCTATATCACTCCACTCTGGAAGATTCCAATCGAAAAAATAGCACCACAGCTGCAGTCAGCTAGCATGACCTAATGACACTGACCAGTAAAATTCAATTTCTTGGGCTTTTTAGATAAACTTTGTTGAGCTGGTAGAAGCAACATGATAAAATTGACAAGTCCAACAGTGAGAAAAGGTAAATTTAAATGGTGTGAACTAGTCATTTCCAAACAGAAGAAAACATCGCTCACTACTGCAGTTCATGTTTAGGATTTTTTCCTGCAATCATCAGAAATGAAAAGGCTACAGCATATGATACTGTTTGTACTATACAATACTGTTTGTGCTATATGAGTCCATGTATACAAGAGTTCTAGTACTGGAATTAGAAATGAACGTTGCATACACATGCTCTGTTTGTGACTGTGCCATCGAGTTCTTAACTGCAAGATTTCTAACAGTGTGCTTTAGCATTACACATTTCTTTAGAAAACAGAAATACTTACTATTCTGCTCTTCACCGAGGGCTACCAGCGTTTCAAGGACTTTAATTCCTTCCTGGACTGCTAGCAGCTCCAGGTTGTTGTTCGGGCGGCTTCTTTCCACAGCTTTCAATTTCTCAACCATGATAGGGGCCAATGAATGAATATATGGAGTTGACAGGGCACGATTAGTGTGTTGAAACACAGAAAGCAGAAGCTGATAACACTTGGCTTGAACCTAAACAAATCAAGATAAATATATTGTCCTGAAAGTTATTTGTTAACTTGGAATTCTAATAAGCTCTGTTACCTATCTATGCAAGATACACGATACCAAAAAAACCCCAACTACTACTAAAGGGGAAAGAAACATTCTGAGTAAGAGGAAAGCAACACAGGCATCTGCTAAAACTGTATTAGCCCAGTTTTCAATAAAAGGCAGGCCAGTTAGAAAGAACATGCAGGTACTAAACAGCAGTTACAATATGAATTCAGAGACAATAAAGGAATAGTTAATGTCAGACAAGTCAGTCACACAGGTCCACAGAGAACTTTAAATCTCAGAACCACAAGCACTAATAGACGCATCTGCAAATCATGAAATACTATTCCAGTCTCAGAAGGGTAAAAAAGCCCATAAAATGACTCAGCTCAAAGTGATCTAATTAACTTGACTATTATTCTAACTGTGAGATCACAGTAAGTGATCTTATTACACTAACATCACTCTAAGGCTGTAGCCAGAAGTGGCAGGCTTATCCATCCTTCTAGGTCTCCATCTTGTGCTGACAGTACCATAAGAGTATACATGTAGCCATACTGTAAGGCAGATCACAGAACCCTCTCCTTGTCTTCCTTCTGTTCTCTTTTCTCCTCCTCTCTCTCTTATCTGGAAAGCGTGGTTTATAAAGTCAACATTTGGGAAAATGGTGATCTTGTTTAGATGAACTTACAAATTTTATTTAGATCTCCCTCCAAAATCCCACACAAATAACTCTTTTGGAAATGTAAATCCCCACAACAAATACGAGGATAAAATATTCCACATGCTTTCAAACTGCACTGCAGGCCCATTAACTGGTGTTATTAAGCACATGCTGGACAGAAACATTCTAGAGGAACTGTTAGTGAGCACAATGATCTGTGAGGACGATCTGGGGGTGACTGGAAATATAGATCTATAAATAGAAATACTGAATAAAAATGATAGCTAATAAAAATTAATGGTAAGAAAACAGATGATACGCAGCTCAGGTTACTGTTAATTCACTCCTATATGGCAGAAAGTTTTCTATGCAATTCGATTTTTAAGGCCTGAAGTAGTAACACTTCTAATACCATATGTATACTAAGAGCTCCACAGAACATTTTCTTCTAATGCCTTGCTCAGCATCATCTTTGAACTGTTTCAAAGAATCATTATTACTCTCTCTCCCCCAATATCACTCCATTCAATTCCCTTCCCTTTCTGTCTACATTCTTTAAACTTTATTCCTTATTAGATACTAAGATCAGCCTTTGAAATAAGGAGTAAAAGTCTCCCTTCTTACGTGCATGCATAATTCAAATAAAAGTTTTACAGCTGCACCTGATGGCAAAACTTCATCCAAGCTTCTTTTATCCCATCTATATAATATAAAACTTTGGCATTTACAGAAGCCTACAAAACCTCCTGTGAGGTAAAATCAGAGCCTCTTCAAAGTGTGTAAGGAACACTCTCATGTAAAACTTACACATCAGCATCAAGAGACAAGGGTCTCTCAACCAAGTTCCCTTGTGGGAGAAAATGAAGTTGAGCTTACCAGACTTCTGGTTATTACCATACATGATACCTGACCTTTCAGACTTTTGCAGTTGGTAATGGTTTAAAAAAAAAACAACATTCCTGTATTCCTTATGAGGCAGCGGTCTTTCTTTAGAAGAGTTTTTCCCCATAATCAGTTCAATGCTTTTAGTACAAACAGTGTAACGCTTTTATTACAAACAGTTGTCTAGTTACTGACTGCAACAACAAGTGGTTTATATTAAAAAAAAAAAAAAACTGGAACACACATACACACCCCAAGTATTACAGGGTGTGTGTTTTGCACATCAGCAAAGAGAGGACAAAATCTGGCTGCTGTCAAAGCACTCTCTGTGAATTACAGAAAAGTGGGAAGTTTCAGCTCATTGACAGCTTTCCAACAGGGTGGTGGGCAAAAATGTACCTCTCTCACTGTTCATGCATTTATACAGAGCTGCAAGTATGACATAAAAAGCTTCTGCTTAATACAATTGACATTTCCATGTACACACTAGAATTTTAAGTAGCTTTCCACCCCAAGTCAGGCTATGGAACCAACCAAGTTTCACATTCACATCGGGAAACAGCAGCCGTGCTGCGAAGAATAATTATCAGCCTAAACAGGATTTTACATGCCTCACAGTAACACTAAACACATCAGCATTTTTTGCGTGTTTTTCTTCTCAGGAATCTCTGCAGCACTCACTTGCGGAAACCCTATGGATTTTTCTCTTTAGCTCCCACCTGGAGATCTGTATAACCACTCAAACAAACTGACGTGTACATGGCTGGAAGAGTTAACTATACCGTGCATTAGCCTGCTTGAACAACATCAGTCTACAGCTACTTAGTTTCCGTCTTTAGTGAGAAAACAGTTTAGAAGATAATTCATAAAGACAAACCAAAAGGCAGAAGTGAAATCAGAAGACAGATGATTCACAATCTGTAGATGCTCTGATGACGACCACAAAATTACATTTTTGCATTCAAACTGAGGTTTTTTTTGTGAACATGTAAAATAAGCACAGGTTTGCAAAAACAAATGTAAAATTTGTGGGCTGTAATTTTATCTACAGAAAAAGTGGCTTACTTTGCACTGTAAGAGATCAGCATTAATGTAGAAATGTCACCACGCTGGTAACTAACCTTTTCGTTTGCTAAAATTCATATATCAAAGATCTTTTTCCCTCTGAAAAGCTGCAAGTCAAGAACCTGGCACAAGGCCATGAACACACATTATCTAGAAGCACTTAGCTGGGTTGTTTTGCTCACTAAAGATTTTCTGTGATGCACTGTTGAAAATTCTACTTATTTTGACAAGCAGTATCTGTCTCTGAGGTAAACGCATCACAAAGCATTCAGGAACTACGTAGATTTATCACGATTAGTTTTTCTCAACTATGTATCATTCACATTCCTATAACATGATCTTACCCAAGGATCACAGGAATTTAATGCACTTTTAAATCTGTTCATACATCCATTTTGTAAACACTGCACTCCAATTATTTCAGTGCTTGCTGACCAAAGGAAGAGAGTGATAGCTGTAAGTATGCTTACTTCATCAAGAACAGGCTTAGAGGCTTCTGAAAAAGAAACACACTGTTAGCTTACCCCCAAAAGGGTTTAAAATTATTTAAAAGCTAGTGAACACAGAAACATGCAAAGAGGAAATAAATGTACATGAAAATATTTGCAACTGCATACAAATATGCATCTACTTATTACAGAATCACTTTATTATTATATTGACTGACAAAAAGCTGAGCAACTCTTAACAGCTGTTTTAATAAATTCAAACTTTCTGTAACTTGAATATCAAGGAAAAAACATCACCCACACTTTCTCTAAGCAAGTCATATTTTTTTGTTTTCAATATGTAAACAAGAGAGGCAAAATGTCTGTCTTAGATCCTTTCCCCATTATTTTTTTATTATTTTCAGCTGATACAGCACAGTAAGAAACAAATACCTATCATGGCAACAACTTTTAATTAATATGAGGTTTCACATAAGGGACTAGCTGACCTGACAGTCGTCCGTTACCAGTAAGGAGTAAGGACAGTCCTATTTTAACCCTTCCCTGCTTTTCAAACAAGGAATATTTGCTATTGTACGCTTTTTCTCCTTGCACAAGCTCTGTCTTCACCAACCTCATTCATGAATTTACATCAACAAGAAGAAAAATATTATTATTATATACACATAAAGTACTGTTTTTCTCGTTTTGTTGGTCAGATTGGTTACAGATATATAGTCAGCAAAAAGAAAACCAGCATGACTTCCCCTTCCACATGTCAGCTGGTCACTCAGTTGGCTTAGCCATGATGTAAAGCCTCACTCCAAAAAACTTCAAGCATTTTAAGTGACTTTCAAAATTATTTTTTAAATTTTATATTTGTTTAAATTATATTGAATTACAAGACAAAACCATATGCAGCAGACCTTGCATAGATTCTTATGTACTACTCCACAGAAATTTAGAAAGGAAGAGGAAAACATATACTTTTGCAAGGAACTGAGAAAGATTTCTGAATTCTGAAAAAACACCTCAAGCCAGTAATGCTTCTGGAAAGAGGGACTGGGAAATCTGTATTGAAATAAAAGGCTGGAAGACAAGAGCTGATGTGACAAATCACATTAGAAGTTTGATTTGGTTAACACAAATCTACTGATCCTTCCCCTGCAGACATTTTCAGGATCATTTGCAATTACCTACTTGCTCCCTCTCTCTCACATGAGTAACTCCATTCAAATCTCTCTTCAGTCTCTATAAAGGGCTCCTTAGGGATGTAATGGGATGTTTTTTGGCTGAACTACCATTATGCAAATGACAAATTGTTGTGTCTCTCTTTTGCTAACTATGCAGCTGAGACTGTACATCTCTTTTGCTTTTTGAAGGGCAAGGCAAAGCATGAATGTGAACCAAGAGAAGTAGTCTGCAGTTCTCTGAAGAGACACAGTAGACATCCTGCTGGTGGGTAACAGATTTTTTTGGCAGGGGTAGGATTTTTTTCTCACCACTGAAAGGTTGTAACAGTATTGTGAATATTCTGCTTCAGTATGAACCTTGCCACAATTATCCTCCGCTGTCTTCACATTCATTCGCTTCAATACTCAGTCTCTCTCATTAAGACCATATGAATCTTGTCAACAAACACTTAAAAGATACACTGATTGCTGTTTTTCCTGAGGCTTAATTCAAGGTGTCAAGTCCATGTACACTACTGAACAATTACAGTTCAACAGAGATCAGTTCCCCTACAAACACTGTTTTGGCAACTACAATCTCCTTTCCTTTAAGCTAGCAGGTATTCTGTGGAAAGAGGAAAGGAGGGGTGGAAATGATGGTTTGCTCAAGCCTTGCCAACTTGTCTAGACTTGCCAATCATCACAGAAATAGAGGCACAGTCCCAGAAGTGAAGTGAATTCAGCTTGGAACTCCTTTAGATTTTACTTGCAAGACATTCAGTGGATTTCAGAAAGACCAACCAGTATCAGAAGGAAGATTTCCAAGTTCCAGAAAAAAGTTACTACCTAAAACTATGAAGATTAGTAAGGTCAGGCTGAAGAAAATCTAAAGCAAGAAATAATCACATCATAATGGGATTCAAAATGGAAAAGCCTGAACTGTTACATAAAAATACCCTAAGGAAAGGATCAGGCTGCAGGATGAGCTGCAAAAGGCAAGATTTCTAACAGGAAAGGATCAACACTGTCAAAGAAAATAGATCAACAAGGACAAAACATGAGTGTGAACTCATGAGATGTAACTGTATTATCTGAACGCCAGTACTGTGCTTGTCTTCAACAAGTTATGCTCTGTGCACTCAGGTCTTTCTCCCATTTCAATTTTATAAGCAATTCATCACCACTTTTTAATGCATCACCCAACCTTCAGACATGAAGACTATTAAATTATAGGCAGATACAGTAGCTGCCTTTTCATCACAGCAAAATCCAGTTCTCTTTAACTCTCCTACACTGGGAAACCACTTACCAGGTTGAGAGTATTCCAAGATAGATGCCAGAGTGCTGCGGATAAGACCTGTCCATTGTTTCTGAGTTTCATCAGTCTTAACTGTTGGAAGAGTAACAATAGTTTTTATCCCTTGAAGGGCTGCACTGACTGGAGGTGGGACCTGATTATCTGCTGATTTTACTGCTGTTTCTTTCAACACTCTTGTAATCAGAAATAGGATAGTGGGTAGGATGGTCATACATCCTGAAACAAAACAAAAGACAAAACAGAATATCTGAAGTTAATTCCAATGAGTGTGACAGACAACCTCTTTAGCTTTCCCAATATGGATATATAGTTAGGAGACAAGGTCTGGAAACAGGTATCTAAATCAATTTATGGCACTTTCCAAGGTACCTGATGCATGCTACAAGCCCCAGAAGCAAAGGAAGATACAGAATCACAGACTGGTTTGGGTTGGAAGGGGCCTTAAAGATCATCCGGTTCCAACCTCTCTGCCACAGGCAAGGACACCTTCCATTAGACCAGGTTGCTCAAAGCCCAACCTGGCCTTGAACACTGCCAGGCATGGGGCATCCACAGCTTCTTTGGGCAACCTGTGCCAGTGCCTCACCACCCCCACAGCAAAGAACTTCTTCCAGTAAAGAATTTCTTCCTAATATTTAATCTACATCTGTCCTCTTTCAGTTTAAAGCCACTACCCCTTGTCCTATCGCTAGACAGATATGGAGAGGGACTGTAAAAAGTCCCTCTCTGTATTTCCTGTAGGCTCCTTTTAGGTACCAGAAGGCTGCTTCCCATAAGGTCTCCATGGAGCCTTTTCTTCTCTGGGTGTCTTACATCCTGTGCAAAAGCTGTAGCCATCTGGCTCTACAAAGGAGATAAAATTATCCTCCAACCTAATGCTTTTCTGAAGAAATCAACACCTATCCATACATTTTGTGCAGGCAGTTCTGCAGATGCAAGTTAGGCATACTCAAGAAATACTGGTCAAGTAACACATAACCTCACTTTAGACACATGTGAACCTTATAGAAAGAGTTTCAATAACAGACGTAGACTTTAAGCCCCTGTATGACTGAAGACAGGTGTTACTGAGTTTAGGCATGTAGTATCAATCTACTGGTCACTTCAGACAGTCAAGTCTTTTTCCATATCTTTTCGACACCTCATTTTCCCACACCTGTGGAAGCACAAATCCCACCATTTTCCTACTTCGGGGAATGTTGTGACAATAAATACACTAAACAGTAATTATGACTGGAAGGACTGCCAGAGGTCATCTAGTCCAATGCTCTCTCGCAGCAGATCAGATTGCCCATGATCTTGTCCAATGGAGACTACAAGATGCTCATATTTTAAACAAAGAGGAAGAAATAATAACAATAAAAAAAACCAACCCTATCACAGAAAGTGATGAATTCTCTTTGTCAGTTTTCCTTACATCCAAAGGCTCAACTGACAAATGTTTGTGCATGTATTACCCCCTGTTCACATCAGCTCCTCTGGATAAGAGGAAAGAAACCCAACCGACCAACAACTCAACAGTCTCTCTAGACTGACAGTAGTTTCTGAGCTACTTTCACTGGCCACTTGCCAAATGCTGGGAGTCATGTCTCCACTCAACACGAAAGTTAGACTTTTTACCCTTCTTCCTTCTCACCACACACTCCACCCCCCTCCCCCCAAAGAGCGGAGCAGAGCAGGAAAGGAAAAGGAAACAGGAATCAAATAAAACCAGTGCAGGATCCAAATCAGCTCAAAACCTGCTTTTTATTTTCTTTTTTTAAGAGGAACTGTAAGACACAAATTGTTTGCAGACAGTCCATGTTGTGTTCTGAGCATGACTTTGTCCAAATGTCACTTTTTATCTCATTAAATCGTAGAAAGAGATCAACCTGCATGTTATTAAGAGACCAACCTAGATGTTTTATCCATATCAGTGTGTGAAACTTCCCAGAGATCCACAAGACAAATCTTAAGCAATTTGTTTTCTGAAAAGCAAAACTCAAAGAGCACATCTTCCCATGCAGTTTTGTCCTTTACCACTGAACTCCACTCAGTGCAATTACCCTAGTTCACACATACCCTTTGTGGCAGTCTCCAGGGAAAAGTCCATTTAGTTTAGAGTCACATTTCAGATGACTGACAGCCAACGGCTGCAAAACCAAGTGTACCACAGCTGAATTGTGCTGGTTTTCCTCAGTAGGATTCTCTTTTCATCCAGCTGCTGCTTTTCATGAACTTCTCAGGAATTTAATTACCTCCAAGATATCTATGCTCTTTTATACTACTAAAATTGTAATTTTATTCAACTACATTAAATAAAAATTAAAATTGGCCAAAAGGTTTCAAAATTGTGAAAGAGGAAGGGGAAAAAGAAATAATAAAATCATAGTGATATAGAGCTCATTCCCTCAGCAAACTTGCAGCACACATGCAAATTTAAAATCAAATACTTCCTTTATGCTGCTCACTGGAAAAGCCTGAATTCTTAATTTACTTTTAGAACCTAAACATACTTTTCATTAAGATAATCCTTACAGTATCCTGTAAAAAAAAAAAAAACAAAAAAATCTATATTTACAGTTTGCTTTTAGCATCATGTGCTCACTATGCTTCATTAACCACTCACACGTATTTTGTTACAATACCTTACCTGCTGGAGAACACAGAGAAGGCAGGTCGGACAATATAGTAACAGTGGCGGCCACGAGACGAGCACTTTCCTCAGAGAGGTGGGACTTAGTAGCAACGTGACTTGGAGAATCTGACACTTTTGAACTCAGATGGGGCATGTGCCGTACTAGGATAAACATCAGCAACTCCATGGCTGCAAAGACTAGAGATTTTCCAGGCACAAGACCGCCACTCTCACCTCCCTCTCCTAAAGCAAGAGGATTTTCTTTTTCCTCAATATCATCTTCATCTGAAAAAAAAGGAAAGAAATGTCTGAGCAGGCAGTTAAGAAAGATCCCATACCAAAGATAACATGAAATACTTTTTGAAAAAAGTTAAAAATCAAGAGTTGCTTCACAGTAATACAAAACAAACATGACTGATGTCAAACTAAATGTTCCGTTAGACTGACTTAAAGGGGTTTAAAATGCTTTAGAAGTATTGTGATTGCAACAATACTTATTAAAAATCCAACCAGAACTAGAAAAACAACTAGTAATATTTACACAAAATAAAATGCAGTAATTATTTTGCTTCTTTTAAAACTGATTGTAAAATTGACAGCAATGACTGCCAAATAAATAGGCATGGCAGTATTTTTTAATTTAATAGCTATTAAATGTTCCACCCTGACAAAAATCTTATTTCAGCATAAATGTATTATTAAATAAGAGAACAGAAAAGCGTTGTAGGATTCTATGTCCAAGTTCATGATTTCAGTGCATTCAGTTCAAAAAGTCTCTTTTCAATGGCAGCTTGGCCAGCTGCAGTCTTTCCTTCTCCCATTAAACAGCAACAGAGATTCAGTAAGTCAAAGCTGGCCTGAACTACCCCTATGGACCTCCTATGAATTTCAATGACTGCTGGTGGTATCACATCCACCAATTTGAAAAATGCAGCTTACTGGGCCTACAGTAAACAATTCCATTAATTCATATGAAGGAACAGAGCTTGTATTTTCAGCTGTGCTGGTTTCACAAGTTCCAGCAAAATCCTCTCTCTGTTTTGATGTGAAAAACAGGCAAAAGCTAACAGTTGGGTTTTTTTCCACAACAGTACATTGTGCCAGACTATGACAGTATTTTGCCTTAGTAAGAGAATATTCTTTGGATTTTACTTAATTTCTTTCAGGTAATAAAAACCCATGGCACACGTAACCAGATATCAGTGAACTACTTGTCAGGTTGCCACTTGGAAACTTATTTACCTGGCAGAGATGGAAACAATACAGACAATGTAATATTTTTAAAGAAATGGTAAAGGGATGACTGAACAGGGAGATGCTCCATTAAAAGGATGAAGTTACTAAAAGTACCTCAGAAAGCAGCTTTCAGACTGATGCCAATATCCTTATATCAAGGATATTCTTACATAAAGTAGAAATAAGGTAACAGAATATGCTGATGGAAAGCCTAAGCAAAACATCAGAAGCTCAAATATCATACAAGAAGAAGCAGGGATAAAAAGAATGAATTTTACTAAAGCTCAATGAAGGCCAAGTAACGGAACAGGATTTAGGTATATCGACCCATCAGAGAATCTCAGAAAAATTTAAATTGAAAGGGACCTCCAGAAGTCTTCCCATTCCAATCTCCTGTTCAAAATGGGGTCAACTTGAAAGCAAGTGCAGGTTACTCAGGGCTGGTCCCATCTCAAGGATCTCCAAGCAGGGAGATGCCACAACATCCCTGGGCACCTGTTCTACTGCTTCACCACTCCCATGGTGACAGATTGTCTCCTTGTATCCCATTGCTGCAACTTGTATCTGTTGCCTGTTGTCCTTCTACTGTATGCATTTCAGAAGAGTCTGGACTGGTCTTCTCTTTAAATCCCCTTTAAGAAGGGGGATTGCTATTCTATCGCGTATTAACTCTCTCTTCTGCACCCTAAACAAGTTCATCTCTCTCAGCCTTTCCTCGCATGTCACACATTTCATCTCCTTAAGCAGCACAGTGGACCTCCACTGGACTTCCTTCCGTTTGTTAACATTTGTATTATTCCAGATGAGGGATAATGACAAAGAAAACTAGACATTGCTCCAGATGCATCCTAACAAACTGAAAGGATAATCATATCCCTTAATCTACCATTCATGCTTTTCTAACGCAGCCCAGTAACAGTTTGCAGCATTGCACAGGCACACCACCGATTCATGTTCAATTTCTTATTTGGCAAATCTGTTCTACAGTCTGTCAGCTCCCTCCAGCTTATATGAATGCACAGGGTTATCCCATCCCAAATGCAGCATTTTGCATTTGTCTTTGTTAAACTTCAGCAGGTTCTCAATTCTGCAGCTCAAGATTCCTCTGAAAGGGAACACTGCTCTCCAGTGTTTCCACCACTTGCACAATTTGGTATCATCCACAAATTTGCTGAGGATATGTTCTGTCCCATCATCCAGGTTGTTAATGATGACATTTAACAGTAGCAGACTCAATACAGAACTGTTCCAAGGAACACCAATTACAACCTGCTGCCAGTTAGTCTTGAATCACCAAACTCCATTCAAGCACAGCTGTCTTGCCAGTTAACTCTCTAACTTTTCAGTCCACATTTCTCCGATCTGACAATGATACTAGGGGATAGTGGGTCAAAAGCTTTGCAAAAGTCAAGGTTAACAATATTCACCACTCCCCCTTCATCCAAAGCCAGTTATTTAATCACAGAAGGTGATGAGGCATTATTTGTCCTTGGCAAGTCTGTGCTCACTACTTCCAATCACATTCTTCTACTTCATATACCCAGAAATGGTTTCCAAGACAATTTACTCAAAAAAAAATAAAAATTCAACATATTCAGTAGGCTTACTGGCAGATGGTATCCCAAACCCTGCCTCATGCCTTTCATTACTCAAAGCCAGACATAGGATCTAATTTTTGCCATTCATTGGAAAGCTTTCTTGAGCACCACAGCTTTTCAGATATGACTGAAGCAGCCTTTGCATGTCATCAGCCAGCTCCCTCAGATGCGTCCCATCTGGTCCCATGGTATGTCCAGCTTTTACCTAAGCAGCCCCTAGCCTGATGCTCATCTACCGTAGGTCACAACTCCCTCTCCTAAACTTGCCCACTAGACAGAGATACCAGAGCACTAAGCAATGAAGATGTGGCCTTAGTTTTTTCCTCCCCTATGTGTTTTGTCATTAGATCACCCAATCCATTCAGCAGCAGGTCCAAATTTCCTTGATCTTTTTGCTGCCAATGGATCTACAGAAGCCCTTCTTGCTACACTTCAGATTTATCACCAGTCTCAGCTTCAGCCAAATCATGGCTTTCCTAATTCCACTCCTCCATACCTGAGCAGACATCTTCAGTAGACTCTCTGGGCAGTTTGCCCCTGCTTCCACCATCCATACAATTCCTTGTCACACATTTGAGTTCAGTCAGAAGTTCCCATTCAGCCAAATCAGCTTCCTGCCATGCCTGTTTGGCATCCTGCACTTTTGGATCTCTTTCCTTTGCCCTTCTGGGAAGCTTGCCACTAGAACTTGTCTGCAATCTCCTTGCACAAGCCCAAGTCTGTTAAGTCAGGCCAAAGCTTTTGCTCTGCTACTTGCTTTCTCCATTTCTGTCAGGATCAGGAACTCCACCATCTCATGATTGCTACAGCCACAACTACCGCTAACCTTCAAATAATTTCTTCTGTATTTGTGAGGAGCACATCAACTGAGCACATCCATTATTTGGACTGCCCAACATCTGGAGTGAAAAATCCTGTGTCTCGTATGCTTCGGAAGGCTTCAGATTGGTAGTAACCTGCAGTGTTGTACTTCCAGCACATGTCTGGAAGGCTTCTTCCAGTTAACTTAATATGGCTTTGCCCACCTCTTCTTGATTAAGCAGCCTGTGGCAAACAAGATTGAGTTTGCCACAGAACTGTACAACCTTTCACTTTCTATTAGTGGTATCAGTTCTGACCTGTCAAAGTGGGATGGCTGGCCCAGTTACCTACTCTTGTAGGAACAACCTACAGCTTGTTCCTCTCTCCTCTTGCCAGTTCACTCTAATGTTCTCAAACTGGATGCCTGGAGATTAAGCCTTTTATTGCTGAAATCACAACCTTGCAGCCTCCACCTCTGTGCAAGTCTCATCCTCCAGGGACACATTGCAGCATAACTTATGGCTGTCCCTCCTTCTATGACACACAGGCTCCTGCACCTGCAAGATCTCTGTGAAGAACACGTCATTCTTCCATTTGCCCTTCCTGACACTACCAAATCTGCTCGTCTTCACATGCATTTCCTTCCCATTTCACAGGTGAGACCAATGTCACCTCCAGCCCCAGTCACATCAGGACTTCTATCTGAATTTCTCGGCAGGTCATTAGACCTCTGATGTGCCAGGGGTGATTGTTCCAGTCAGCAGACTGTGTCTTGCTGTATGTCACTGCCATCATTATGCTGATTCTAGCAGTCTTGTAATGTCTTGAGCCGTGCTTCTGGGCTGCATGAGCATGCCTTTCCATGCCAACTGCTGTGCTCCTGTTTGCACACCCTGTTCCCAGAGCTCCTGGCTGCTGACACACCCTGAATGTCAGTGAAGTAAGAACCTAGATGCAAGTTTTTTCTGCTTCCTGGCAAGATCTCCTAGGCAGGCAACTTTTACACACTGGTTCCAGTAGCAGTTCATTCACCTCATGAACCAGTTGTGCCAGGGATGCACCACAAGACTCTACACTGGGAGCTGAACCATTAAACTTCAGAAAAAAGGTAAACAAAATTCTAGGGAGGCAGTCAATAGAGAAACATCAATGAAAGTGAGCAATGTATTAGTAAGACCTAAAGTGGTGTGCTGGGTATAATTTTTATCACTCATTCAAGAAAAAGGAACTAAAACTATGACATAAAAAGAGTAACCACTAGAATGATCAGAAGAGGAAGAATATCTTGCAAGAGTTAAGAAATCAGCAGGTAAGATTATGAATACATCAGAAGTATCTGTGGAATACACAACACTTTCCTCAGTGTAACCATACTCTAAATGTATGTGAGTTCCTTTCCCAGTATTAAAACCTGTTGTTTACTCTGCAAAGCAAGCAGTTTTCAAAATCTTACTTAGGGTGTTCCTTTTTTCCTGCAAATAATCTTGAGCTGCTCTTACTATCTGCTGGACAACTCCTGTAACCAGTAGCTGGACTGAAGGAGGATCCCAGGTCAGGAGGAGTCGGTGAAGTACACTCAAGAGTTCAACACCAAGGAGCTACAGTTGAACAAAAGACACATAAAAAAATTAATTAGGACTTAACAATTCCTAATTGTTATGTCACTTGCTTATGATGAGCAAATATTTTTCTCACACAAAAATAATTACAGCTTTTGTAATCATCACAGATGAAAGACCAAGACCTAGAAAAGCTACTGTTTCAACATGCTTATACAGTACCTGATCCTCTGCAATATGGATCCTGGCACAAGGGGAATCCAATAACGTACGAAGTGCTTGTAAACAAGATGTAACATGCTCAACAGGCTCTTCAGGTCTTGGGGAACACAGAAACTGTATACTAACACCTGAAAGGAGCAACAATTAAAAAGAATGTTCATATCATCATAAAATCAAGTTTGTTTTCTTAAATTTCTTTGTAAGTACAACAGGTTCTTAAAAACTTTAGAAACATGCATGGTTCTTCTCTATTCTCCTTTCTTTAAAAAAAGGAAAGTTTATATATTAGAAACAGCAGAACTGTATTAGACTTCTCTTCTGCATCATGTCTTTCCCAAAACTTGGCAGGAAAATTAATAAACAGTGACAGCAAGCAACTTAGACTACTGAATGGAAATCCATACTTTGTTCTAAAGATCTTTAAGTCAGATTTCTGTATCCTTCAATTGTAAATTGAGTTTCATTTTATTGAACTCTTTTAAATGTAAATATAACTGAGATTAAGTTAAACCTCAAAAATTATGCAATATTTGTATTATACATATGGCACTTCATTCTGGTTTTACATATCTGTATATCTCAGCAAACTGTTCGCATTCCTTAAAATAAGTGATCACATCCGCCTCTTAAAGCTGTTAGATAACAGCAAAGGGAAATAATGAGTGTTACTCACAGATGAAAAATTGATGCAAAAGCCACGCTATGCAACTTGTCAAATAACAGTCTCTACTGAACTCTGGTTTTATGAGGGTGTGTATTTTAATTAACCTTACAGCTTTTGTTTCTTTGAAGCATAACATTTTTTACTATCCGAATTATAGTAGAATATAGAACATTTGCTACTCATTTGATTCGGTTACATAAGTAAACTAGATATAAAACTTGTCTATAAAAAAAAAATCAGAATAATCACACAATAAGATGCAATTCTGTCAAAGCTATAAAGACAGGAGGCAGAGAAATATGGAGAGGAGGAGGCAGAGATATTTCACATCATTAGGGTCTGGACACATGATGCATTTTAAGCTTTCCAGATTTCAAACAAACTATCTTTTCTTACTCCCATAGCATTTTGTACCATAATGTGCTGCTTTTGAACTCCAAACCTGCAACACTTACCCAAAATTAAGTGCATTCGATCTTTGTTTATCTCTGGCAAAGATTTTGTGGTAGGTGGAGTTCCAGGTGTCTGGTTTAACATAATGGATGTAGCACGTTTCTGTGAATTGGGCATTGATGCAGTAGTCTCTTCTGTTGACTCTGAAGCATTAAATCCCGTACTGTTTAGCCACAGCGCCACCGCATGTAATATGGGAGCCCAGGAGTTTCGGTAATGCAGTCTAGCTGTATCAATTGTTTCTGGAGTGTAAAATGCTCCCCCTGTTAAATTCGCAAAGCAAAGATAAATTCTGAAACTGTATGCAAATAATAGACAAAACCCACTTTCTCTAAACTTATTTACTCTGGGTGTGTTTGATCATGCACATATTCAGATGCAGTCCTGGTTAGTGACAGTGCATTCCAATTCTCCTTGTGAAGGAGCAACATTAGTTGCTCATAAGAAAGTGCAATGGCCATGACAGAACAGTAAGCCGAGAGCAAGAAAGGCAGGCAAAGTCACCAGGTCTTGCAGCGTTTTTCACATATTTTACTCAGTTGAGTGTTCTATAAAACATAGATACACTGATTCAAGGGCTATGTTCTTCTTATAGTAAACAACTTCTTGCATTTGGTATCAAAGAGGTGTAGAAGTATTCTTAATTCTAAAAAGACGTGATTTTAATGATCTCTCTGATTCAGATAAAGCATATATTCATTCAAATTGAAGGAAAAAAGCACACTCAACACTTCAAACACACATTTCTATTACACAGAGGCAGAAATTTATCACTTGCATAAAAAACACTCATACGATATAAGTTAGATAGTAATTTTACAGTCCCAAATAAGGATTTCTTTCTGGTTTTCACAACACAGTAATTCCAGTGCTTACCATCTGGTGGAAGCTGGGTAGCAAATTCAGCTGGTAAAGTTAAAAGAGCATAATCTTTAAGCGCAGCTAACCAGAGACGGCTAAGTGCAGGCAGCTCAGGTTGTACAAGTGTTATCAAACTGTCTGGTGGCAACTCATCTACAGTACCAAAGTCATCTTCATCTTCCTCTGTGCTCTTTAAAACACGTTTTGGCTTGGTCTCTGCTTCTTTCTTAATTTTCATAGCAACAACGTACACCTAGAAGAAAAACAGACATTAAAGCCCATGCTGTGAGATCCTAAAAAGAAAAAAAGCAGCAGCCTTTCCCATGGGAAAGTAACAGATTCCAGACAGAAGACTCATCAGAAAATGACTGGGGAAAAGATACCTGAAATACAATTACATTTTACTTAAATATTTTTTCTTTTATTTCTAGCAGTATGTAACACTTAGGGGCATAAGTGGCACTTTCCTAAAACAATCTGGCTACATGTTCTTTTTTCCCTAAAAAAGCGTCAATTACTGCTGCTCTACACAAACATATTGATTTAAATAATTGATTTCATTAAATCAGTCCATCCTTATTGCGAAGATTTCTTTGACCTACATTAAGAGCTACTACTTTCTGGGAGCAGATTAAGTATCATAAAGAAATGAAAATGGCTTTAAGTGTATTACATGATTACAAGAACATGTATATGTTCATCTTTGATAGATGCTATGAGAAGATAAAAGGATTTTCAGAACCTTGCATAAATATGGTAATAAGCAGAAATATTAGAAAAATACAGTAAAAATAAGCATTTTTTTTAGAAGAGAAATATAACAGAAGTGTCTTCACACAGCAGATGCTCTACATGAAGGCTGAAAATTACAGTACGAAATGTTAATACTTTCCTTTGTAATTTCAAAAGTAACTTCGATAAAAATGTAATGGGAAAAAAAAACAAAAACAACCAACTCTTTAAGTACTATACTGAAAGAAACCAAAACATCATTTTGCATAATTATATGTAGCTCTGCAGCATGCGAGTAACATTTTAGGAAGCCAGGCAACGTAAATAGTGCTAACTCTGTCTTTTGTAAGTAGATTGCTAGTAGTCCAGCCATTCGCCAACAGTATCGACATTAAGCCTGTAATTTATTATGAATACTTTTGACTATGTGTTTATAATAATCCTAGTTAATTAACTGCAATATTTTTACAGAATATATTTTAAGGTTGTTTGGTTTGGGGGTTTTTAAGTTTAAGAGCAGTAAGATGGGAGGAGAATCAAAATCTGATGCATGGGTGTGAGTGTATACTTTGATACAGAAAAGTGCAGTAAAACAAAGAACAATCAAGCCATACTGCAAGTATGGATTGATAGAATGGCAGAAAAAGGAACAGAGAAAGATAAACAGATGAAAACATCCCAGGAGTGCAATTGGAACACAGGGAGGAGGGCAGGTGCAAGGCTCACCGGTAGAATAGCCAGTGAGGTGTGAGGCTGCTATTATGCTGCAGAACTTTTTCAGTCTTTTAAAGACTTAATGGTCAACATTTACCTCAGCCCATGCTTTCAGAACTGCAAGTTTTTCCATAGTAGTCGCACTCTCTCGGTAAAGCTGGCTAGAAGATCCCTTTCCTGCTTGCACTTTATCCAGGGAAGAGACAAGAAGGTTGTGAACTCGGCGGAGATCATTCAGGTCACTTACAACCCCACTTCCTATCCAAGCACTACATACCTGAACAACAAAGCTCAGAATTAACAGAAAACCCAACCAACATAATAAATAATAAAAATAATCATCCCCCCCCCCCAAAACTGTAAGAAAACAAACCCCAAAACAACCATCACAGAAACCTGAGAAGCTCTCTTCCTGCTTAATATAAAAATATCCAAGGTTTTCTTTTTTCTGTCCCCATCAATGATAACAGAAATGCTCAGGAGAGTGGTTACAGAAACTGTATTTGTAAAGCATACTACAATGGAACTTCAATCAATAAAAGTACATCTTTAAAAACCCACACTCCTCAAATTAAATATTAAGGCTTCATACTAATAAAAGCTTTCAAGATCATTAATGTCAAGGGAAAACCTAGGAATGAGTGAAATGAAATTTTAAAAACAACTGGGTTCTGATCTGGAACCAGCAGCTCTAGATCTGGAACAATCAATATGAAATTTAGTGGACAGACATTTTTCATTTAAATTAAATGGACACAATGTAACCACCACCCATTTGATCCTGTAAGTGGATCAAACCCACACAGTCACTTTCAAACTAGCAGAAACAGGGAAGATTTTGACAAATTATAAGGAATGTTACATGCTTTCACACAAGCTGCCTCTTCATCTAGTTTTAATCACACACGTTTTGTAAGGCAAAATGTCTATATTCTTTCCTATGTACAGATACCAAATTATGCCTTATTTGATCTATCAAGTTTCAGTACAAATTAAGAGTATAAAACAAAACCACAATCACAATCCTGCTGAACCAAGATTTACTAAACAAAACTGACAAAGTTATAATTTCAAAATTGATGTTTGCACAGCTAATTAAACTGCTGCTTCAAACTACAGTATTACCTGCCACATACCAGATACAACTGCAATGATGTTGCCCATAGCCAATTCAAGCTACAGTAGCACAAGACTACACACAAGAAAACACACACACACACAAAAAAACCTTCCATTGAATTTTCACTGAGGTTTTTACTATGACTGTAATGAGAATGCTCAGATCTTCCAAAATCTAAAATAGGGTACCGATCCAAATGGAAGTTTCGTGCTTAAAGCTAAATTATCAGTAATCCAAATATTTGATCAGACCGAAAGTCATCTCAATGAATACACTGTTACTGGCCTCAGTAAGCCAGAATTACTTTTTTTTTTCCTTTTAGAAACAAATGTAGAATTGACATGCAGACATAATTTCTTTCAGAAAGACTAAATATTTTCTGATACAGCTCCCTAAAAGGACTTCTGAGGAACAACATATATTACTAGGAGACTCAACAGATGTTGCAAATACATCACAGTTTAGGTTTACAAAATTTCCCAGTCATTTGCTACCATTTCTTTTCTGCAAACTTCTTCCAAAAAGCGGAAAAAACACCTTGGCTTATGCTATCTGAACACCTTCCTCTGTACCTGGCAGGCCTTTGCAGTTATATCAGATGGTGTATCTTGGGAAAAAGCTGGCCTCAGAGCAGCTCCAACCTGTTGATAGAAGAAAAGTTTAGAAATCCAACTACAACAGTGATGCAACATCCTTTATCTCACCTTGTGTAAGGCTCAGCACATATATAGAACAAGCAAGATAAGACTGCTAATTTTAGCATTACAGTTACACCCTAAACCTACCCTTGCTGTCTCACAGACATTTGCAATGGCATTTAAACAATAACAAAGTCCTAAACCGGTTTTTTCCTGCTTGCCCACTGCCTTTTTAAGCCTCAGCTACCTTTGTCCAATCTGTAGTATTATCTTCCTTTTGTTAATGAGTATCCTTTTAATCATTCAACTATTATAGGTGCAATTTATGCTAAGGCTCAAGATGCCGTTGACTTTTTGATGTCCAAAAGAATAATAGTGATGCAGATCCAACCATAAACATTTGATTTCACATATTGCCAAAATGACAAATACTGACAGGAAAAGTCTTTTTGGCAGCTATTATAAGGCAGATTTTTTTTGAAACAAAAGGAACCGTGTCAAAAATGCAGAAGCTAGAGCACTGAAGAAGAAGAAGAAAAAAAAGAAGAAAAAGGCAGGAAGTAAAAAAGGATGAAAACCTGCATTTAGAAAGTATTTGGAAAGATCCTAAAGACAAAGTGAAAACAAAAGAGATTAATCTATGCAACAAACTAAAGCAATAATACCCCAAAATAGATCTTCAGCTGCGCACCTCCCATTCCTATACTTTTGTAGCTTTCATTTAAACAGAAGGATATTCAATAATTCCCAGATTATGAAACAGATATGTTAGATTTAATCTACAACTGAATCAGTGTTAATTTTCCAATTCCTAATTCTACAAATTAAATGCCACACTTAAAAAAAAAAAAAAATTAAACGTAACTTGTAATATTTGGCTTTCAAGAATCAATAGCTACCAAATTTTTACTTTTGTCAGCTACTAAATTACAATACATAGGAAGGGATATGCCAAATACATTTTGAAGATGTAAATAGAAGCATCTCTTGAGTACATTTTCACACACACAAAAATCTCTTCCTAGGTCTTGTGAAGTTACAAAAAATTCACAAAGCTAATACTGGCATATTGACATGAACAGAGAATTTCCTGAATGTATAAAGGAGGTCTCACATTAGCCTGATACTGCTCCAGTATCACATGGCCTGGAAACTCTGGCTCAGGAACTGATGCAAATTTCTTGATAATATCTTCAAGAGCTTGAAGACCTGCCATTCGTAACTGGTTGCTGTGATCAGTCGCAGCCATGAATGCCATTCGAATAAGGTCAGAGAGATGGAGCACCAGGAAGTCATCTTAGGAACAAAACAGGAAGAACTATTTGATAACTTAAAAGATAGCTGACATTTTGGCTATTTGTAATATTTTCCTCATTCACATGTACAAATTTTATGTATTCTTTTTCAAAGGTCCACATTTAGGTTATGGAAAAAGGCAGGAAAGAATGGAACTTATTTTTCTTCCCTCCCCCTTCCCAATCACCCCTTAAAAATGATAGAAGAACTTTAATTCCTAAGATAATCTTAAACACAAATTTGAAACGAAATATATACAGGAATTAGAGTATCTTAGTACAAGGAATAGAGTATCTTAGCAGAGAGTAGAATATTTAAGTAAAGCTTCTTTTAGTGATCCCTCCATCCTACGGAAAATCTTCCAAGACAATTCCTGTTCCGGTCTTATGCTTATAGCGACCCCTGCTGATTGTGGAAAACGCCACCAAGTTTAAACACCTAAAAACTGAAAATGCCTCTAGTTACGCTCTTAGAAGCCACATCCAAGGCTGTACACAAGCGGCACACAACATACAGAAAAGAATAATACATAACTCAGCCTCAACTAAGGCTAAGGAAACTAGGCTAAGCTATACAACTAAGCTCAACTAAGCTATACAACTAATAAAATAATATGTATTTAAAAACATAATATCCAGGATAAGTAACAAAACCCACAAATTAGAAAAGCTCTACCTATTTTCAAGTATTTTTTTCAAGAAAAGTTTATTTTGTGGCTGAAAGTTTTCAGAGGCATGTTGGAAAAGACTGACAACCACATTCTAGGACATTCACAATATTCATCTTGCGTACACGAAGTCTTCGTGAGCATTACGTGAGTGAAAGCAAACAACCACTAGGCACCAGAACAAATACATACATACAACTCAAGGGCAGAAACTTCCCACTATCTGCTAGAAAAAAACATTTCTTCACAAAGCTGTGTAACCTCTGACCTCTCAATTCTGATCCTCTAACTCATAAATGCATCTTCAAAATGTGAGTGTGAAAAGTGAATATTCATCGTGCTTATTAGATACCCAAAGAATTAATTTTATGAATCAGCTGTGTTCCTGTGTTATTCTAACTCCCTCTCTCTGCAACCTCAGCAATAATTACCTGGTCTCATCTGTTTTTTTCCTAGCATCCCTTTGGTCTGGGTATGCTAAAATCATCTCTGAAGTCTAATTCATTGTTGTCATTACATTATACTCAGAAACTGTTCCCAGCTCACCCTTAGCTAGACATTTACTGCTTCCATTTCAGACTGGAGAAAAGGTTTGCAAATCTAAGGGCTTTAGTTTCTTCCAAGCAGATCAGTCTGTGAGAATTTATATTCTCCAGCAAACCTCATTACTTGTGTTCATAGTATGGTTAACTACTATGTGGTTATGCAACTACAGTTTTAATGACTTCTGCTAGCCATTTCCTTTGGGTTTAACCATTTGAATGAAAGGATAACTTCATTTTTTTTTTCTTGGTTGTGTAAACTTAAACTGCAAAGAAATGTCAAAATTAAAATAAAATAAAAAATTAAAACCAAACCCAAGACATGCACATTCTGTAATTACTTTTGGGGTTTTTAAGTCTGGCTGAACGAGCCAGTGCCAGATCAAAGTGCGCCTTGTTGGCGTTCTCACACAGCATGATAACTCGGCACAGACAATCTGCTGCAAACACACGAGTTGCCCAACGAGGTGCTACAGAAGGCTTGGATTTGTCCTCTTCACCCAAGGTGGTAAACATTGTATCATCATCCATCTCATCCTTCTTCTCTGATTCTTCATCCTTCCCTCCTCCCAAAGGAGCTGCAGTGCTCATGTCTACAACAGACAACAATTGAAAAGAAAAATCCCACTCTTACAATCCACAGAAGACAGCTAAGGACATATTCAAGATTTCCTTACAGACTAATTCTTCTGTTGAAACAACATTTGTAAAAGTCTCAAAGGCATAGGAAAATCAGTAAAAGAAATGTTTTTCACCTTTAATCTGGCTTAAATGGTATGAAATAAATTCCTGTAATGTTAATTCCCCAGATACCAACTACAGCTGAATCCCATATCTAAACGTCTCAGCTTTGAAAATGAACCTATTAAATTGCCAATAAACAGAATAATGACATTACCAGGCTCAGAATCAAAGCATGGCTTTGAACTATTCAGCTCCTGTTTCAAGTGAAAGCTAGAGTGCATGTTAAACTGAATCAAAACTACAAAATTCCATGCCATGGGATGGATATCCAGCCAAGTAGGCAGTTTATGGCACCCATAAATGTGTTTAACATTCAAAAAAACTCTCTTCTCTCAGTGTAGCTGGGAGACTTCATTTCAGAAATGAAATTACCTCAGGGATCACTTTAAAAAAGACAAACCAAAATACGACAAAAAAATCCCCCAACTCACCAAACATGCATTTCTACTATTCAGAAATGAGAACATAAAATCTCAATGACAAGGTCTAAATTAGCAAAATGCCAAGATGCTGACAAAACTTACTCTGGCAATAATTAGAGGAGAACAAGTAGAAATCATTGCAAGGGTAACCAACCCCAAGTATGGGGTCTAAATTTAAGCAGCTGAAGAGCAAAGACATTCAATAAAGAAAGAGGCTATGGCAAATCAAACACAGATGATGCCAATTCACAAGAGTGTTTTGGGAAGGCATCTAGGACCTTATGTGTCTGATTTGTAAATCTCTGTTTAAAAAGCAAATCAGATTTTGTGCGTATACCAGTTAGCTGGATCAAAGGAGTTCACTATGAAGCTGCCTGCTGAAAGTATAGCTGACAAGTTTATTTAAATAGGGTTCTCTCTGAAATTATTTCAGCTATTAATAAATAATAGATTGAATACCATGTTAAAAACTTTAAAACTCGCTCCACATGAAATAAGAAAGGGATTATCTAATTCAAACTTGAGAAACCAGGTCCTTCTCATGGGTTGATATATGGAAAACACATTACATAAAGAAATCATTGGTAGCATTACTCATCAGTTAACATAAAGCTGGCAACATTTAGAAAGAGCTTCACAATGAACTCACAGTATTGCAATAAACAAGTATAAATGCAAAGGAAATGAGCAGAATCTGCGTCACAACCATCCTACAGGCAGAAAAACAGGAATAAGGTCTCAGAGGACAAGATCTTTGCAAAGAAATCTGCAAAGCTGAACAACAAGCAAAAGTTTCATCACCATGGTAACCTATCATCGCACAAGTAACTCATAAAACCTCACCAAATAAAGCTCAGAGCTTATACAGCAATCTTCTTTCAATATGATCCTGACATATAAAAGGCTAAAAAGAGTATGTCTGCTAAGATACTGAAATGTCAGAGTAATAATCACACTGCTTCTCCATTGGAAATCCTACTTCAAGGCAGTTAACTTTTTAATCTTAAGATCAATGTTCTAAAACTTAATATAACACCGATGATTTCTTCTAAGAAAGTTTTAATGAACTATAATCAAAGTTCTATACACAAGTTACATCTTAACTAAGATAAAAGAGAAGCTACACACAAATATTGCCAGAAAATGCTAATATTAATGACATACTGTCCTTTATGTGAATAGAGGACATAGAATACTTACCACTGGAAGCTGCAAGGACATCCTTACAAAGCATTAGCCAGTGCGAAAGGTTTTCTACTGCCAGCGATGAAAGCATATGTCCCAGAGTATCATGGATATCTGAGCACAGCTTCCGATCAGTCTCCCGATCCAACATTCCAAAAAGGACACCTTCAAGGCCTGTCTCTGTTATATTAATCCCCTGATGCCGGGAATGAGTGTCTCGCCGAGAACCAGCTCCTGGTGCAAAAGGATTGATATCTGCAAAATGATAATGAGAAATCTTTTCTGAAATCAGTAACTCAGTTTTAAAATTTGGCCTAACAGGCTAGAATCAGGATTGTGTATTTGTGTGTGTTTGTGGTTCAGACAGTGATAAACCAAGATGTTACTGAATTTCTTCTGTACAAACACTACAAAGATTTTAATACAGCAATTCACTTAATTTGCTTTCTGCAAGGCAAATAACACCTCCTACTATTATTTCAGAAAAAAACAAACTAGAAAAAACCCAAACACCCAATACCAAGCAAAAAACTTTCAAATCTAAAATTAAAAAAGTATAAGTGAAATTCAAGAAATAAGCATGAGTGCAGCCAGAATTTATTTGAGCTGGAAGGGACAGTTTTAGTGGTTTTTTTTCCTGTTGTTGGGGTTTTTTTCCACCCTCACACATATGTACAACACCAGTGCACTCAACTGTTACAAAAAAGCCACATGAAAGAAATACTTACTGATGTTACTGTTTTCCTTTTCTCCAGCATTTTTCACTAAGCTCATGGCATATTCACAAACCTCTGCTGCTTCCCTCTGAGCAAGCTGTCGTAAACATGCAACTGCAGCCCGGCGAAGCAGCAAGTGAGAGCTGCACAAATGAACCTACAAATCAGAACCATTACAAGCAAGTAAACAGCTGCACCCCAATATCAATAAATCAGCACTGCTAAGGACTAACAGCATTCTATTTTTCAATCATATGCCCATGTGAGAGCTGCTGGGTGCCAAGCTCTTTACAAGATACTGAAAGTTCAGAAGTAAGCATTTTTTATAATGTACAAATATGAAAATAAAGCTGGCATATACAGAGCTGACAGCTGTTATCTGGTTAAAGAGGTAAGAGCTTAAATATGGGAACTGCTGCACCAGTGATTTTGACTAATTATACTTGCCAATCTGTTACACTCCCCATATTCTGCTATAGCTTTAAAGAATATTATCTTAAACAAAAAGCCATCATCAAGTGCACCACACATGATAACTATCAAAAACTTCTATTTCAAACTTGTAGTGATTTATGACATATGTTTTTATAGGTGCCTCTCAATGAGACAGCTTCGTATTTCTTTACTAACCAATACTGGCTTCTAATTCCTTTTGAATCACCTCAAGTATAAGCAAATATTTTTCTTAGAGAAGAAGTGTGCATGATCCCTATTTTCCCAAGAGGAAGTAGCTGCACAGAGAACTCTGTTTTTCTACAGTGGAAGAGAGTGCACTGTAAGAAACTTTGATTCTTTATTTACCCTGGGGAATTTGTTTTTAATAAACCAAATACACATTTGCTTTCTCGATATTAGGTTTTTATGCAGATGGAAATTGCTTTCCTAAATGAAAGGGTTGTATAGTTTATAAAAAAATTGAACAGTAGAACTTTATTCCACATATGAATATACAAGATTTTAGTCCTGAAAAAACAAGCAGACTTTAAAGAACCTCTAAATATCACACTGAGTTTGTTTTAATGGAACTAAATCACAGAACATTTAGGGGATTTAATTAATGGAAAGAGCATTCCCCATTTTAAGTTACAAAACAAACAACTGGTGGCTATATAGCCAATGCAGGAAGAAGAAATGAAACTAGATTGTGGAACTGTGTGGTTTAATTTTGATACCTGGCATTAACTCAATTTAAAAATGAGTTAGAAAACAATGAACAGTTTCCTAATGGGGCAGGTAAGGCAAACCTTGCCTACGTATCTATGTATCTGCAGTATAAATAAATGTGCAAGACAATTCAGAGGAAAACTTACCACACTAAGTATGACATGGAAGTAAGGAATATGAGAAAAGAGAAGAAAAATAGCCTTTGTTTAGCAGAGGACCACAAAGGAACAGGAAAGAGACATCAGAAAACCCCCGGAAAATTTTTCAAGACAGCACTAGTCATTCCTGTATGAACATCATTGTAATATTACCCATGGGTACTTACAGAGTAAATGGTTATAGGGATCACTTGTCATGTTATACATATTATTTGTACAAAAGGGCATACTACTTTTGAGTACACTGCACTCCATGCAAAATTTTGTGAAAGGACAAGTGACACATTCTAAGAACACACTTCACTCTCAGGAGTGCTCCAGAGTAGGGGGGTGCAGGGAGCAAGGGTCAGTGCTTGCTGACGAGTATGTACACTGAGAGGATGTCAGACTAAGAAAAAGGTCCAATGTTGACTTAAGTAGGATGACACCCCTTCAGGTAACACAGGCCCACCACTTCCACAAAGAATGACACGAAGAACTGTCAAAAAAATGTCACAAAATGCCCAACAGACATTGGACTGCTGAACCCTCTAAAAGTTTTTCAAACAGTAGTAATAACAACAACAAAAAAAAATCATACCAAAATGCACACCCACACACAGCACCTTTCCTCTTACAGTCATACTGGGTGGTTTGGGTTCCAGCCTCAAGCCAAGACTTGCTGACAAAACATTAATGGAAGGAGAAAGCAACACTAACAGCAGCAGCACAGGAATTTGAATCTCAGCATTTACTATACTGAGTGTACAATAACTCCAAAATCACCTGCTCTTCTCCAGCTCACCCACTTCCCTTTGTGGAGTGCAATGAGTTAGAGGAAACAGCATTTCGGCATCTTCTCAGTCGTATAAATGCTTGCTATTTTGTGCTATCAAGGGTGAAAGAGAATCAGACCCTATGATTTCAATTTGGGCAGCATTCTAAAAAGATCTAAAAATGGACTGCGGACGGGCATCCTTTATTGCACTGTAGTGTTTTTGCAAATATGACTTGCTTATAACATATATCTGACATCTTGTTAAGTACTTCAGTCCTCTGCTAAGCATGTACATAAAACTGAGGAACAAAACGGACGCATTTTGTACTCACGCAAAGACTGGGAACCAGACTGGACAGGTTGACATGCCGTGGTGCAAACATATGAAGCTGCTGAAGGCAGGATATGGCAGCTGCCTGAACAAGCGAGTCTGAATGGTCTTGTGTGATTGCACATCCCACCAAACAGGAAGAACGGATTGTTGAAATTGTAGCTCCATTACCTAATGATGTAATACAATACCCTTAACACAGGATAATTTTTGTATGGCAACTGTAGGCTTTAAACCTCTGAGAAACAAGAATTGTTAATGCTTCAAAGTTCACAGATTAACATGCAACTTTTCTGGATTCCTACTGAAAACTAGTATCTACACAACCTCAAAGAAACACTGTGGAGTACTTCAGTATCTTTTTTTGTCCTGTCCAAATGAAACCTTGGATCAATTATCTTCAGTCAGAAATATTTTGAGAATATCTTCCCAGGACATGAAACCTGAATTTGAATACTGAAAGTCTCTTTCATTCTATACATATGGACAACATTTCATGCACCACACCATTTCCTATAATACTGGATAACTTTTAAGCTAATATGCATGTAATTTTAATTAGCTCCAATGGATGAGTTGCACTGCTATAACAGGACATGAACTCTAAAGAACAATATTTAATTTGAAAAACAATCTCATTCTGTATTTTGAGAATTAACCTGCATCAGGTTTATAAAAAATCTTGAATTACAGAAAAATGTAACCTGCATAAGACATTCTACATAAGCTGTTGTTTAGTTTAAAAGTGAATGATGCTCCAGATCAAAAGGTTAACACACAGAAAACAGATACACAAGTTCAATTAGACCATCCAGAAACTCTTCACAGCTACAAATTTAAATCCAATTGTTTAAAGTTTCCTAGGCACTGGCTCTCTGGCACTGCATCAAAGACCACCCTATAAATATTCTAAAAAAACTACAGCTGGAGAAAGGTACAGCAACCTAAGAATATCAAGAATTAATGGAAATGAGTTACAGATCAAATATTATCAATTATGTCAAACTTAAAACTCTTGCTTGTGTTAAAAGAAAAAAAAAGCGGAGGGAAAAATCTTCCTTCTTGCCCCACCGATACACAAAAATATCAACAGCAAAATATGCAGCAAGAGTGTTCTTCACCTTTTACCTACCATGCAGATTTGCCATTAACCAGAACACCACACACCACTGCAACTTCTTTATACAAACCTCAAACTGCCATTAAAAAAGCCCCAAGTAGTCTTAAGTATGATCAGAAGTGAGGTTGCTTGCGTGACTGTAACAGACTTTGTGAACACCACTCCCTCCCCACCCGCAACTGCAACAAACAAAACTTTATTTTCTTTAAGACTGCAATATATTATCTTTATACAAATTAGATTTTTAGTTTCACTTCAAATTCCTACTAACCTTGCAGCTCAGGCCCAACAGTAGTTATTATAGCTCCAAGACATCGGCCTAGGCATTGATGCACTTCCGTATGTGATGGTGGAACAGTTAAGAGCAGAGTAAGAACTAAGGACAGAGTTGGCTCCACATATCCACGGTACATTGGTCCACTAGAATCTACTATCAAAGCAAGTGAATGGAGAGACCAGGTCTAGCAAACAAAAAAAAAAAGGAATATTTTTCAGTAATACATTTAGGAAATTTAAATCATTTTGTATGCAGACTGTTATGTCCTTCCTTAAACATCTCTAGTTAGCTACTCTGACTCCAGATGTGTTCCAGAGGTCTCAATCTCAAGCAATCATCTGGGAGTTTAAATAACTGAGGAAAAAGAAGCTACTCTAGTATATGTTCTGTCAAGTAAACAATTTAAACCAAGGTGGAAGTATGATTCTGTACAGTTACCAGTGGCTTCAGCTTCTCAATCTGTGGGTATAAACTGCCCCTACTCAAAGGTGGCACACAACTTCCTATTGCTAATGCATAAGTCAGTCACAATTTCAGATAATCATTCCCTTGCAGAAACTTGTGAAATTACCTGTTGTATCAGGCAATTACAACATAATCTTTGAAGAACAATAATTACAGACAAGACACATGTTGTTACTCAAAAAAAAAAAACCCAAAAAAAAAAAAAAAACCAAAACAATAAAACCCTCCCCCCCCCCCCCCCCCAAAAAAAAAAAAACCACCAAAAGCAAAGATGGTTGCGTTTTGGGTTTGTTTTGTTTTGTTTTGTTTTTCTCCTTCTGAAGTTAATTCTTTTATTCTAGTGCTGTGATAGATTTCATTACGGGGGGGGGGGGGGGGGGGGGAGAGTGCTTTTCCCTCTAATATTCAACTTTAAAGACAAATGTACTGGTCCATCTAGCCCTCTCTTCCCCTTACAGCAGCATCTACAAACAGATACTTCAGAGGGAGTAAAGACAGACCAAGACACTGACTCCTCAAATTTCTCCTGGGAGAGTAAAGACAATGCATTCTCCCAATTTCCAAGTATTTTCAACTTTGGAAACTTTATGAACTGCACAGTGTTTTTAGTTAATTGACAGCTCCAAAGGCGTTGCATTTTCAACATTATATTTAGTCCCCTTTGTACTCTACCAGCAACCTTTAAGAGTAAATCTATCCTCCTATGAGACTTCACATGTCTACAGTCCATCGTGGATAGAAACTCCTCCCCAGTTTTGCCTTACCTTGGACTTGGCTCTTACTAGCCCCCTTTCTGTCCCCTAACTGCAGTAGGCTTGCAACAGATTTTGTTATCATAATATAACCCCCCAAAGATGATGTACTGCCATACGCTATTGACACTGTCACATATACAGAAATTGCTTGGCAAAGAAAACTACTGCTCATGACCCCAGACTCAAGTAACACATGTTAACCATTAACCAGTCATTAAAACTTTAGTTTACAGCTAAGGTAAAACTAACACATTTTGCTTTGCAATTACGGTAAAGCTAGAAATATACCCACAGTGAATTACTCTGGTGCCACTGACAAGCAGACACTTGTGAGTTTGAATTAACATGACCACTTGCAACTGCTTCCCTAGTGAATAGAGAGGTTACATTTTGACTGCAGTACATATCTGGGATTCTGTACTGTAGAAGTTTATAAGTAAAGTTCCACTTTCTTCATGCTCCCTGGCACATGCTACATCCGTATGAGTTGTCTTATACGTGACACTCTATTAAAGAGCATCTGAACATGTTATTTTTTACTTTTTTTAAATCTTGAACATTTTAGTTTTGTGGTGATTGCGGTTTTTACCTGGACTTCAGGAGAGGTTCCATCTTGTGCCAAAGCCAAAAGAATACTAACGCTAGTTTTCAAATGCTGTCCAGAACCTATTCCACCAACATACCGATGGAGACAGCCCAGAGCCAAAGAATGGCCCGTTCTTGATACAACATCTCGAGCAGATTTTAACCTACCAATGATTAAATAAAAGGAAATCATGTAATTCACTCAGTTTGTTACAAAGAACCTTTCAAGTACCTTAACAGTGCAAACGACTAAAAGTTCTGCAGGCCACCTTGCAAGATCTTGAAAAGCCTTTACAACAAAAGCAAAACCAGTGTACTTAATTCATATTAAACTGGATTACATATAAGACAAGCAGGAATGATTTCAGACGAAGAAGAGTTTTGGAAGTGAAAGACTACAGGAAAGGCACCTAGGGCTTACCAGTGTTTCATAGCAGACTAATTTAAGAGTCAGAAAAGTCATTGCTAGACCACTGCAGTGAAAAGGAATCAAATGACAAAGAAATCCACAGCTACAACTTCCACTGAAAAGTCAGCTGAGTAACTTTTAATACAGCTATTTTCTTCTACAGCTGAGTTTTGTGACTTTCCCAATAAAGCTTTTTTTCTTTTTATTTTTTTTAGTAATATTTTATTAATGAAACTAAACCAGAATGAAGAGCATTCTGAATGATCTAGTTGTATGAAGTAGTGACTTGTTGAGTCTTTTCCGTAATACTTCTGCTTTTGGAATCATATCACATACATAACTTCTTAATTAAAACCTTTTCAGGGGTTGTGGAAAAGAAACAAAAGGTGGCTATCCTAATTAGAACAAAGAAAGGTTTGAGAGTTTGTCCTGGTTGTCTGTATATGAGAGGCAAGTGTGCTTTTAACTGTCAGTGAATAACTAAATGCAAATCTCAAATATAAAAAAATTATTTGACAGTGTCAACAGACTGGCAACCATTAGCAACCTGAATCCTAGATAAGAAACCACGGAAATAGTCCTAGTAATAGAAATTCAAGGAAAGATGGTAAAGGTGATGTACTTTATTACAAGATAAAATGATGGTAGAAGAGCTGGGCTGAGGCTATGTGCACACAGTCTGGCCAGCCAAAAACATGGGCTGCAGCCTTGAAGCAGGTGCATTCTGATTCACAGATAGGCTGATGTCTTAAATTTAAGCCAAAAATTGGAAAACATGGTCTTGTTATATCTACCACGCATCTTTCTAAAGACCTGGGATAAACAAGGGGGGGGCGGGCAGGGGGTAAGATGGATTATATCTAACCATTAGCCAGCAGATAAATTATATCAATATGTAAAGATATTATGATTAAACAGATCCACTATCACACAATTCGCGTTACAGATGTACTCAGCATAGGCTGAATTTATCTATCTGAAGCAGTTTAGTCACTCTCAAGTAACTCATCAAAAACTATTTATTGGTAGAATTTCACATTCCAACTAGTTTAACAACTCAGCTTTTATTCCTGGAAGAATCACATTAAATAAACCAAAAGAAGACCCTGTATGAAGGTTTGTTAGATCTACATAATCATAGCAATCAAGCATGAAGAGAAAAATCAATATGGTATTTAGCAGAGGAATCTTCCAAACTACATTAAATGATATTTTTATTTCCTTTTCTGAATCAAAACCAACTTACTTATCAAAACTGTACTGAGCCATTCTAGCTATGAAAGATGCTTCTCCAACCACCTGAGCCATTCTGCCAAGAGCTTCTCCTGCTGCACATCTCAAAATAGGGTTAGGATTATCAAGGGCACCCATTACCAATGTCAGAGCAGATTTGCGGACTTCTTCTGGTCCTAAAGTGCTTTTATTCTCAGCTAAACCCTGAATGAAAAATAAAAAAAAAAACAAATAAAAAAAAAATTCCAAAGCAGGGGAGAAAGGGAAAATGTACAAACAAGTTCACTGTATTTGAGATCTTCCATTAAAAATGATGTGCTTTCACTTTTTGTCTAGATTTGTGGTCATTTACCCTAAAATATACTTGTTGAAAACTTTTAAAACTCAGGATCAACAGTACAGTCTTACATTTACCAACACTGCCTATTTCACATACCAGAAGACCTGTTGCACCAGCCTTTTACAAATGCATTACAGCGCTATGTGCACTGTACCGGTACTAAATCTGAGCTAGCTTTATACAGGATACCCCAGAAAAAGAGACGCTGTAAAATCTAACTGCAACATCTCTCTCCCCGAAACAACGAAACCACAGCTCAGTTATGTTTCTGCAAGAGTCATTTAAATCAAGGACATTTCACATACATTATTTTTTTGCTTAATGATCACATCTTTGCAAACTTTTATACAGCCTGTTATATGAATATTTTACAGAGCAATAAAATTAACCACTGCTTCTGCAGCTTCTTCGGTTCCTATATTTCATTAATAGTACATCACCTCTCACTACAACTTTCACCAAGTCTTTTACATTGGGAAAAATAATTAAAACATGTAAAGTACAAACACTGTATGCATTATAGAGGAAGAAATTGATTCTCATTTTCTCTTCTGAAATACTCATTTCAGCCGAATTTTGACAGTTCTTCAGCCATTTAGCATGGTATTGGAAATTCCAGATACCTGTCTCAGAATCTACTTTTCAACTTGCAGCAACATGGTTCACGTTTCTAAGAACAAAGCAAGAGAGATGCTGTTTTGCCAGTGTATTTTGCCATCAACTAAAGACATGCAGCCCAAGTAACAATCAGCTTAAACTAGGCAGCCAATTTTGTGTGGCAAAAGTGAGACACGAAGAAGCTCATCCAGTCTTTAGCTACAGGCTGGCACATCTACAAGGGTAGCTTTCTCAGTGTGCAGGACTTAGTTGCTCTGCAGATGAACAAGCATGACAATGACAGATGTTGTCCAACAGACTCATGAATTGGAAACTATATAAAATAGCATCAGGAAAAAAGGAAACTCTTTGAAAAAATTGCCTAGTAGAAAGAAAGCCTTACACTCTAAGACAGTGTTCCAGAAAGCCTTGAGGAAATGCAACTCACTGAAAGCAAGTATTTCTGAGGGATATTATTTGTGACTTGCTGTCATCTAGCTTCCTAACATGATGGCATGAGGCTGGATTTCCAAGTGTAGATAGAGAACACAGACCTGTAACTGAAGTCAGTGGGACTATGCATAAGCATCTACAATTCTATGCAATATTAGGGAGTCTTAAGAAAAAATTAAGACATTCAAAATGGAAACCCAAATCCCTTTTTGTTTTTATTTCTATAAGCCTCATCTGCAGAATACTCTATGACATGAGGGTGGTTTTGAGTACATATGACAATGTTTTTAAATTCACCAGTACAATGCAAAGAAAACTACAGGACTGAAAAATTAAGAAAGTTTAAGTACTATAGAATGCTGACTACATCTTTGCTCTGTACTGATAAATGCAGACAACAGCTTACGGCAATATCTGAAAAAAAAATCAGTTCTGGCATTTTGAAACTTGAATGTTTAAGAGGTAACTTTAGTAATGTTCTTCTAACAACCTTTTGTATGGACTACAAATCGATGAATCAAACTGTTGAGCTTTGGCTCCATTACAAATTCACAAGTTTTACCTTCAAGGCACTAAGAACAGCAGTAAAGATATTAAGCTGCACAGCTTGCTGGCGAACACCTTTAGCCTGCTTCACACATTCAGCAAAGTGATCCAACATCTGTAATCTAAAACAAAGAAAAGAACATAATTTTAAGTGATGTTCTTTCAAAATACAAATCAAAACACAGCTGGTAAAGAAACCCCACACATAAAAAGGCCTTTTAAGTTCAGTCACAGAAGTTACGCTTCAGGGACTGCAGAAGGCAGAAAGGTACACTTTAGGTAAAAAGGGTGCTGTTATTCTGAACAGTCCCTTTGCTTTTAGCTCATCCACAGACGTTTACTATTTCTATTGAAGAAAACACCACCAAGAGGAAGGGAGTCTTCAGATACGTTTGGCTGTATAACTAGAAAACTATGAGGACAAGAGTGGAAACAATGTTGCCTTTCCACTGCCGCGCAAAACAGTGTTGCACTCTGCATTCTTGTTATTGTTCCTATCAGTTTCCCTGTTTAACCTCAATTCTTACCCATTTGACCATGCCAGGTGTTACTGGGAGGAGGAGTACTCCCTAGAGGACACCAAGAACAGAAGTATAATGAATAATCTGCATTTTTAGCTACTCCACAGCTTCCCAGCCAAATCTTTCCAAAGCTAAGAACTGATATAGATCAAGTTGAAATACTGCAAGCTTGCCTCAAGCTTACTGCAAAATGAGACTGACTGCTAGGAAAATAACTGTTCCCATCAGGATTGCACTGAAGGATAATTTTACTTTGAAATGCATCTTAGAGCTGCTTTCACTCCATGCTCAGTGACGAATTAGCTAAATAGGATGACAAAAGTAGTCCTGACAACTCATAACTCTGCAAAGGTAATGCAAAACACAAAGGAAAATAAGCTGAATTCCATTTGCTCTTTTTCATTATGCATAAAATTGTTTGCCAAGTAGAAATCAAATGGTCTTACTCATGGAAGCCAAATTAAATTCAATGGATAGTGCTGCTATGTTCTCAAGGCTGATCTGAAGTTAATTACAGTGGGTATTTTTTCAGGAAATTCTGGTTGCAGAGATATTACTACTGTTACATGGAGGAGAGAAGAATCTGGTCTCCACTTCTGAACTCTAATCTTCAGAACTAATAAAACTGAGGAAATTGCCTTATTTCTAAACTGGGTAGACATACTCTGGAATCCTAAGACACAATGAACACCAAATACTGAACCCTTAATTTAAAGACAATTGATATTAAAGTAGATTGTTATTTTAAGAAAGAAAAAAATATTATTCAGAAAACAATGCATTAGATTCTGAAATTGAACACTGATGTAAACTGACCTATGTTTGTAAGAGACATGAGGAAAAACCACACCAAAGAGAGCCACAGATGCATCAATGACAGATACTCCTAACGGAAGGGGACCAGGTACAGCTTCACCAGCAGGGATGCGCAAGTAAATAGAAGACGGATCATGTTCCAAAGCACCACTTCCAGATGCACTATTTGGCTGAAGCTGCAAAATGCCACATGAATACCTCAGAATATACCTTTGCACATAAAATTTGTGAGATAATAGAGATAACAAAAACACACATGCAGTGGCTTACAAAACCAAAATGGCTTACAGACACCTGAATGCAACTGCAGTGTCCCCATGCATAAGAACACTAGCACTTACAGGGGCAGCTAAATCCCAGAGGGTCAAAGCAGTTAACAGCTGGATAAATGCACAGACTACTACTCCTGGTAGTCAGAGATGGAAATTAGACAAAAGCAGATCGATTTTGGCACTAACAGTAGCTTCCAAATCGGCAACTACAATGTGACATTTCGTTACAAAGGCTATTCATTCACTCTGTTTGAGCACTGAGTTCCAATACAGTATATTAAATTATCAGTTTTGCTTATAGCAATTCCCTGTACAGAAAAATTCAGAAACAGAATTAAAATGACTAGCATACCTATCATGAAAATACTTCTTAACCATCGTTCTTTCAGGAAACACCTCAGAAAAAAAAACTTATCTTCATGATTTGTTAAATATTTAATCCTGAAACAAAACTGGAATCTAGTAGCTCTGCATTCTTCTTAAAGGTCAGAAAACAGAGCAAACATTTATAGAGACTTTCATATCACTAAAATATAAAACAAGAGAATCTGTGATGCACTACAGGGCTTCAGTTACCAACAGTGACTGTCTTACAGGTTAGAGGTAAAATAGAAGCGGGGGGGAAGGGAAGAGAGGAGTAGGAATGCCCCAGAAAGCTCTGTGTATTGAGGACTGCACTGGTAGACTGGAAGTCTACTATGTCCACCATGACAAATGAGGGAATTCTATAAATTTATTTTTTTTTCTTTGACAAATTTCTGCTGATCTTTTCTCAGAAAGAGTTTCCCCTTGGTTTCTCACACTTGGTATCAATCTTCAGCTTTTGGATCTGTTCAATCCAGACGGCTGCCTTCTTAGAAACCTTGCCATTACTAAATAGTCTGTGGCAGAAGAGATGCTTTCAGCTCCACCCTTCTTCCTATGCCAAGAAATTTCTGAGAAGCTGAGTTGCAAAGTTTATGATGGCACAGTTCAGCATTTGCTGAGAACAGTGAGCGGTCTAAGGAATACAGTTCACAGAGAAATCAAAAATCACAGCAGAACTATGAAGACAGAAATATAGTGGGTATATCCAGATAGACAAACATTTTCATTCTGTGTCATTAAATCCTGAAGTTTATGAGGGTAAAAGGCTTGAAAAGAGGCAGCCAGCCCCTCCCTAGTCATCACAAATTAGGAAAGCAATGAGGATGTTATCAGGTAGTTTCCTAAAATACTTAACATTAACAAATTGTTCCCTATGTTATATTCCTTTAGCAACTGATCCAAAAATTATTGAGACCCCCCCAATACTTGTTTCCTTTAAAAAAAAACAAAACCAAACCCACAAAAAAACCCACACCAATTCTTGTGTTTCAAAGACTTCTTTTTTTTTTTCCCAAGTGCAGCGTATTTCTGATGATGCCAACAAAATTGTGCCAGTGCTCCCAAACTAAATGTAGGATTTCATACTACATCTCTAAAACCAGTTAAATCCTGGTTTGCTAGAACACCATTTGGAATAGTGATAATTTGACAGCAGTTTCATTATAAAATTTGTTAAGTGGAACTTTATTATTTTTTTTTTACCCAGAATAAAATAACGGAACTGCCAGACTGGGAAGATCAGGGTGGGGAGCACTGCTTTGTTTTAAAGAAGTTAGGTTAGCACGCTAACCACAACCATATGAGTAGCATTGTGCAACTTATATCTCGGCTGTAGGCAGCTTTTACTCAAAACAGTTCACTACAGATGGAAGGACTTGCATCTAGCAAACCTCTGAAATAAGACTAAAAACAAGGCATGAAGTTTCAGTTGTAGAAGGCTTCCCTCACATACACATCACACAGACAAATACTGTAGATAACTCTATTATTACAGGGTTTTTATTACCTGATCTTCAATTGACTTATGATCCGTTTCCTGCAGCCAAGAGCCAAGAAGAACGCTATCATCATAATGACAAAGAGACCTTAGGAGTGATGTGGTTGTATTAGCAGAGTTGTCTGTCAAAGTAAATTCTGCTACCAACTCTCGAAGAAGTGCATTAAATGATCCTAAACAAATGGACATTAAAAAGAATTGGTGCTGCTTCTTATCCAAAACATTGATTAGACATTCCAAATCAAAGCATGTACCATTACTTTGATTTTACAAGTAGCAAGTAGAGAAGGAAACCCGACACGACCACAGCTGAGAGAAAGGCTTCAAAGAGAACCCTGGGCTCCCAATTCTAAATTCAGTGCTCTAAATAACAGATGAGGCCATTCCCTCCAGGATGACAATCCAGATTTTTGTGGGAATATGCTCATCAACATGATGATATAAATTTAATGAATTAAAAACAAACCAAAAAGCTAATCTGTCAGATCATGTGGCAAATCGTGCCTGGCAATTTACTAATAATAGCATAAATCTGGCTGTCCTGGGTTCCAGGGCTAACAGAGCAGATCAGGTTAAAAAGAAAAAAAAAATACCAGAAACTCAAATTGAATCTTCATTCTCACATCTGTCCTTGAAGTATACTAATATACAGGGTTCTCTAGCTTTTAAGTAACAACAATATAAACAGCTAAATTGGAGTTCAGAACATGACCGCTGTACATCTCAACCCTACAAATGGGACTGTAACTTTTATACTCTAAGCATTACTTCAGTATTTTGCAGTATTCATACTCTGCATTTATACTGTCAAGACAACATATAGAAGATGAAGAATATAGTACAAGACCCATGGAGACTCCTAATATCTATATTGAATCATTTCTGCTTCAAAAGCAAGCACCAAAAATACATCAAAAAGAGTAACAGAATTTTAACTTTAATAAAAATTGCTAAAAATTTACATACCTTCATACGTCTTTGGAGGTAATAAAGCCAATATATCATAAAGTCTTAAACGGACCATAGCTGCACTAGCTTTGAGATGAGCTCCATGGGCTTTAATTACTGATGGAATACTATAGAACCAAAACAGGAAAAGAGACAAAAAGAAATATTGCAGTTACTGAAGAGAGCATTTTCAGCTTTTCACAAGATAGATCTCCAGCTAAGACAAGAAAAGAGTGTTCAGAAAACTACTCTGAGTAACACTACTCAATTATATTTACAGAGGTAACCATATGGAGCAAATTTTTCTAATATAAAATGCATGCTGCTGTATATTAGACACATGTACCTCCTCAGAAGAAGCTCCTAGCACTAGGTCAGAATATGAGTTAAAACAAATTAGTTCCAGTACTTCAGATCCAGGAAAAGACAAAAGTGAAAAAAGAGAGCAAAAACTGCTACTTACTGCGACATCATTGTCATGGCACATTCTATGGGCGTCATCAATTTCCTGATCACATCCTCAGTAAGGAGCTCAGGACAGTGAGCAACAAAACTTCTCATAGCTAATAACAAAATAATTTAAATTAAAATTTTACTGAAACAAATACAAAGCGTGAGCAAGGTAATAGATCCTAAGAGAATATCCAAAAAGCAGCAACTAAATATGGTTATTCAAAGACTATGCGACATGTTCATAAAACTATGTGCCAAAACCAGATCACAGTGATGAAAATCTGACACATCTTCCTGCTTTCTTTGAAAATAAGTGAAGTTACAAGAGTTCTCTCTGTAATACTTAGGGTCGTGTTTTGGTTTACTGCACACTTGTGATCTTGCAATTTGAAATCCTTACCGCAGAGAGCTCCAGCTCGGCCTTCCAGGGTTACTTGCCAGGTAAAAGAATCTCCTCTCGCCTTCTCTGCCTCCAGCTCCTTGAGAGAACGTGGAAATACATTTCTCCACAGCAGCAACATCTTAGGCAGATGATACCGAACGACAGAAGGACCTGTGCAAAAAAAAAAATGAAGTAACAGTATAATAAAAAAAACTGATTAACTAAGTGAAAAATCTGTCATGAAGGCTTTTGCTCTTCATTTTTCCTCTTATTTCACTTTTCTTCGTTTTCTCCTGCTTGAACAACGAAAAGCCCAAAAAATTCTTTCTCATTTCTAGGTTGAAAATGTGACAAATAAATACTATAGGTAAGCCTGTTTGTTGGCATCAGTACTGAAAATACGAAATAGGCAATTCTATACCTGGTCATGTAATACGTAACCACTGCCAACTGTCTTTTTACAATCTTTTCATTCTGACTTCTATGATTATTTATTACTAGTTTGAAGGCAAGCTCTGTAGCCTGTCCAAACTTGACAGCTACTAATTACGTAACTAGTTGAACCACCAAGTTTAAAGAAAACTTCTGAAAAAGCTCTAGAAGATTCAGTGCAAGTGCATTAAAAATATATTGGAGAAGGACAACCTAAAATAGGGATACACTATTAGAAAAACATGACAGTAAGCTGGGAAGAAAAAAAAAAGTAATAAAAGAGGCAATTTAGATTGAAACAAATGGTATTTGCTGAGAGATCAAAATACTGCAGAATGCATTAGAACTTTATTGTATTTTCCAGTATTAATTAAAAAAAAAACCACAACCCACTACTATTGCTGCAAAATCCAAGAGTATACTTAGAACCTCCAAAATACATCTTCTGGTATTTCTGTGACGGCAGATACGAACATAAGGTTGGCTTTTTTAAAAGACAGCTGAACAGTTTTTGAACTGATAGCACTTATAATCAGTACTGCTGCCTCTCCAGACACACATATGCAACTTGTTGAAATGCTCACTGTGTTTCATTTACATTCCACTTCTTCTGCACTGATTAAGGAAGGAAGATGAGGGGTTGCCCTTTCCACAGAATGACTAAAGACTGTGTTTCTAAAAATAAGAGTTCTGCTCTGGTTTTAAGTACCACACCTTCTACTATCCTTCAGCTTACATAAACACTAATATTTCACTTTTTCCCATCAAAAAAAAACAAGGCTAAAATAAATCACTAACACTCTGTTTCCCTTGATATGTGCTAGATACTGGACTGATTATATGTAGGGACCATTTGCCACAATGGATATAAGAAATGTTGGACAAGCATTAAACCAAAACAAAAAACAATTTTTACAAACCTAAAGTCATAAGTGCTCCAAGTAAAAGCCATCCAGCTTGAGTCCGCTGCAAGGACAGCCTGCTGTTTTGTGCAGCAGTTCGCAACAGATCCTCAGCAATACTGACCACCATCTGCAGCAATGATGAAAACCAATGTATTTTAAATACATAAATTAAGCCACTGAAAGCTACTGCAACACATCCACCCTCACAGACTATATATAAAGATATTCTCAAATCATTTAAATTGACCTTCCATAAAGAATTAATGCAGATTACATTTCATGCAGATGATCAGTGTTTTGCATATGACAATGCAGAGAGGAATATTCTCTTCAGCAATTATTCATTAATATGCTAAACAAGAAAGCAAATTTGAAAGGGGTGGGGAGATAAAGGTGGTAAATATTACAACTGAAATACTACAAACACATGCTCTGGCAATTGCTCTCTTTCTAGGCACAAGCTCAGTTTTGATAATGCTTTATGTTGTTACCATGTCACACATTTTGCAAAGCTACTATTTCTAGACAAAAAGGTATCTTTTAGTACACTCACAGATGAAACATCTCACCTTTCCTTTGGCATGAGGAATACCTAAGGGACACTGATGCACACCACCTAACAAAGCAGCCATTGCAAAACTGTAGCCACTAACAGCTTCAGGGGAGGTCTTCAGATTGTTGAGCCTTTCTGCACATCTATCTAAAAATGGAGTCAACTGAAAAGGCAATGCCACAGCTACACACCGCAAACACCATGCGGCAGCAAGCCGAGCAGCCATGCTGGGATGAAGAAGAACTGAAGTTACTGTCTCCAACAGACCTACAGAAAGAGAGTTTACAGTTTTAGAGGTATGATGAGCTTTTTAATACAGACAACTAAATTGATACTAGACAGGCAACAAGAAAGTTAAGAAAATCAGAATTAAAGTACTTGAATTTTATGACTTCACCTTCTTCAAGAGGGAAACATTATTAGCAATACGCTGCTCCAAATCAGGTTTTTACCAGCAATGCTGGAGCTGCCAGAACCACAGCACTGACTTCTACTACTTGAACAACTGAAAAGAGGCAGTAATCCTACATAAGGAACAGGCACTGGATGAGATGATTGCTACAATTTTGACTTCTTTTACACAGATTGCCAGTAACAGAACAACATTAAGACTGATCTTTGGGTTTGCTTCATACTGTAGAAAAGCACACCCTACAGAAGGCACCGACTGCTATACTCTAGTTTTAACACAGTGCTGTCTCCCACTGTCACCCTGCATCCTTCTACACATTCTAACCTCTATGCCTCCTTAATCCTTGCTTTCTACCTGAGCTCTTCAGTCCAGTCCGTCTTCACACCAACACCTCCCTTAGTCCAGATCTCAAATTTTGCAAACTCCTACTTCAAAGCCCCCACTGACACCTTATCTTTTGCTTTTTTCTGTAGCTAGTGCGTAACTTGTGCTAGCTGCTATGAAGTAAGCAGGTAGAAGTAACTCTGAGATAGTCCCCTCTGTTCTTACAGGGCACAGCAGCCAGAAGGAATTAATAGGAGCAGTCTTCCCCACACCACGGCTGGAGCAAAATCAGTATGAGAAGGATGTCATATGCATCAAGACAACAATCTATATAATGAAATATCTAAAGGAGCTTGCACTTCAATTGGAAAAAACCCTCAACATCCGCAAACTGAAAAAACCTGCAACACTATAGCGTAAAGGTGAATTTAGATGTTAAAATAAACAAGAGGAAAATACCATACAAACCCTTATCAACTTAAAATGAGACTATCCACAGCTTCATCCCAACAAAATACTCTTAACGTCCCCACAGAAATTTGATATCTGAGGGCAATACAGCTTTCCAGGAGCAAATATTTCAGACCTTCTGTAGCAAAACCTTTTATTTCCTGTAAAACTATTATCAGAAACAAATCAATGCTAAAAATCAACTTTAATCACCCTAAAAAAGAGCTGCAAACAAACTTTGATCAAAACAATTCCTTAATACTTTAATCAAACTTGACCTAAAGTTAGGACACTAAACACTAGAAATGAGCTGAACAAATGTAGCTACCTGGAATACTACAAGGAATGCCAGTTTCATCACCTTATTTATTATATACTGATTTATTATTTAACTAGACTGAATGATATTTCATATTCATTGCTCAAATATTTCCTTTCATCTATTTAAATCTATTTGCATACCAATAGAGGGCTCTTGAATAAGAGGAGATGCAGTGGCATTCAGACTCTGAACCAGACTACCCAGTTCCTGGAGTGCACACACCATTACATGCTGGCTTGCAGCTACATCAGCTGCTCCTGATTTATTTTCACTGTTAGCATCATTCACTACTGCTTCTGCAAAAAAGAAAGAAAAAATATTTTGCTTAACTTCCACTTGAATCACATCTCACCATACATAGGATAAATAAGAATAGTTCAGTTTTGACATCAACCTTATATTAAAACAAAGCCACAAGCTTGATCATAGCATGAACTTGCAAAGTAACTGTGTTCTGAAGAGAAATAGTTTTACAGCTATGAGCCAAACACAATCATCAGAAGACCATGAAAGAGTTATGCCCATCATTTATTATGGAATGCAATGGACTGAGAGGTAGGATTAATAGTATAACATACCAAAAGCAAGTATACATGTGCGCAGCATGTGTATTGTATCTATAGAGAGTAACAAAATGATAATCTTGACATACCTAGGTTTTGCATACAAAATTGCATATATATGTGTATGAAATAACACTAAAAAAACCCAACAAAACAACACCACACCACAAAACAAAAAAAAAAAAAACCCGACCACCAAAACTTGTAAATAATTAATCACAACCACTAATCCCTCTTAAAGTTACCCAAATTAAGTTCCTAGATCTCACTGCAGGTTCTTTCTCCTACAAAATATCCCAGAAGCAGCAACTGTGACTTGAAAGAAAAGGGACTTCAATATCAACTTCATGTTAACGTGTCTACTACAGTACAAATTTAGAAAATCATTCCCCTTATATGAAGGGAAGTAATCTAAAAATAAATAAATAAATAAAGAGTTCTTCTGATCACCAAATACATAACACAATTGCCTGCAACTTTAACAAGGTAGCAGGAGGAAGAATTTCTGCAACTGTTTCATCTCAGAAGAACAAAATTCCTCCTCAAAGTATGAGAAAGCTGAAAAATGCCTGAGCCAGTATAACAACAGTAACTTTTAATTGATCTCAAAGAAAGAAAAATGGCTCTTACCCACTGCCTTCATTTGTTTACCAATGGCTTGACATATATCTTTGGCAGCTGCAATCTGTGCTTTCTCCCCAAGTAAGCTGCCCACAGTTGCTCTCAGGATAAAGGACACGCATCTTCGAGAGTAAACTGCCTCCACATGGGTCTGAGTTGCCCGAGGATGGGAGACCAGATCAAGTACATGGGACAAAAATGTAGCAAAGTTGCGCTCCAACCACTGACCTCCCAACGCTGTGACAAACACAACATAGGCCTGCAAATTCAGAAATTACAAACAGATCCAATTAAAACAGAAATGAAGGACTATATTCAGTCACCAAAGACTAAACACTACAGTTATACTCATGCATAATGCAGTACAGTAGCAAAACAGGATGAATCAATCTATTAGCCAGGTCTTTGCTGTAGAAACTAAACTGTTTTCCAGTGCCAAGAGTAGCCACTATACTGCTATATATTCTGTGAAGCACTAAATACTCTTTGGATGACAGTGAGAAAACCCAGTCAATTGCTCTAAATATGTGCCTCTTTAGAATTTTTAAGAGCATATGTTAATAACAGCAGCAACATTAATGTGCTCTAATTCACAATGAAGACCAGGCATTTCCATCAAGTTCACTTGAAAAGGGCTTAGAAAAATAGCATGGGTTTCACAAAATACCCCACGATCAAAAAATATGGATTCTGGCAAGTTACTACAGTATATTGAAACATATGCCAGAGTGAGAATCTCTGAACTTGAAGAGATGCTGCTGCCACCTTTCTCTATCAGACAAGTGGAGCTTCCACATTCAGGAGATTTCAGCTACTCAAGACAGACATATGGAGTGAAGAAATGTAGTTTAACAAATTAGGGCTGTAAAACTACCCAGCAGCTGAAAAGAGCACACACAAAAGGACAACAGTGTGCCCTCCCTAAAAAGGAAAAAAATTGAAAAGTGGAACTAAAGTCTTCAACATACTAAGGTTTCCAATATTTTTGCGAGTTAATCCAACCTCATATACACTGATCAAATAAGCTTTCTTTGGCACGTATTTCAAGCTATTGTTAATACACATCAATAATAAAAGAAAGTAGCTTAGATGAATGACACTACATGTACATCTAACAAAACAGGTGGGTCAAACCAGACTTGTAAGTAAACTTATAAACAAATAAGGAACAAAAGTGTGCATTTTCCCTGCTAAAAGGGTGACAGTTATGTATAAATGTTACTTTACTTAAAAAAAAAAAGTTAAAAATATTACATACAGCTCATGACAAACCTGGGTAACACCAACTCGCACTTCCCTATTGACTGATCCTCCTACTTTTAACATCTCTCCACCACTCTTTAGGAAACCAGATCCTCCCCGCAGAAATCCTGTGGCCATAAGCTCCAAAACCTCCTCAAGCGTGGCTCTCTTCACATTCTGCCGCATCACTTTTGCAAAAAAGGAAAGTTATCATTTAATCCCAAAGTTCCAAACATTACAAGCAATGATCTTGAAACCAGACTTATCAATTAAAAACTGTCTTGCAAACAGAAATCCAGCCAATATTTCAGACAACAGCTTGTTTTCATGTTTAAGAAATAAGCTCATTTTCCCAGGTGATTTTTGTTAGTTTGCTCTTTCCTTCTATGACAACAGGGATTCTGCAATCTTTTCTCTTTTCAACTTAGAGTTTATAAAACCAAACAATCCAACTACAAGCTTTCATCTTCTGGAACAATAATGTACGCTACAACACTGTAATGTAACATGGTACTGAACGTGCAATTTGTCCACTTCGAAACGAAATCCACAAGGATTTGTACCTGTTGCTTGTTTTGGTATCAGTGCTGTAGCCATGACCGTCCCCAAAAGCTTTGACACTGCAACTCGCACACCATAGTTTGAGTTTTCCAGAGCTTTGAAGCATAGCGTTGCAACATTCTCAAGTTCAGCTGTCCACATAAACACTGCTTCATTCTGTAATTCGAGCAGACACTGTAGGAAAAAAAGACTTGCTGAGCACCAGTGGAGACCATTCTTACCTTTTATCTAAGTGTCAGTGTAATTATCAGGTTTATTCAACAAGTATTTTAATATGAATATTTTAAAAGCTAATTTACACACACACACTCTTCCACTCACCAAATAACTTTGCTGAGTAAACAGTCAGAAGCCTTATGGAATAGGTAAATACTTAAATAAAAGAGGAAAGCATAACAAAAGAACTGTTACCAAAACTTTTCACATTGAGGCTCACAGCTAAGATATTTTATCTCATGTTTGTTTAAGAAGCAGGGAAAACAGTATTACAGTACCTCTGTTTGCATGAAGTAATTCAAATTATTAGTATAAACTAATAAGGACTTACCTTGCTCAAGTAATTATCAAATTTCCTATCACAAACAACAGTTGCTATTAGACTGCATGTACTTTACAATTACAGGACTGGTGATAAACAAACTCACCTTAGCCACTGCGCATCGTACAGCCATAGATCTGTCCGTCAACAGAGATCTGGCATTCTTATAAATATCACGGTGACAAGAAGCCGCTGCTCCTCCAAGTCCACTCAGGACTTTCTGTAAACTCATCAGAATTTCACTGCGGCCTTGAGACTGCACATACACACAAAAACATTTATGCAAAAACATGGACACAGTATTCATATTGAACCAGGTGCATAATTCTGCATTTTCCGGTTTCCAGGCAGGAATATTTTTTGAAACATTTATAATACAGTTCACTGTAGCCATACAACTGCACCTCTCTGGTTTTAGACAGCAGTAAGCACTATACACAGCTTTACTCAAACTGCCTCAGGTGTCACATAGATTAAGATGATCCAACATATTACCCTAGACAAGGTATTTCTGTCCTACCCACCTCCGTCCCCACGCCCCGGCTGCAGCCTTGGGAAAACAAGGCAAAATCAGCTGGGAGAACAGGAATCCCAGGTAGTCAACCGCTTCCTACTATACCTGCACACAGGCAAGTAATTACAGTTGGAGGGTAAAAAAAAAAACAAAAACAAAAACCACAAACCCAAAACACACCCACCAAAACACTAACCAAAAGCACACCCAACAGCACAGGACACATCCTCCCAGTATCATGACACTCTTTCTCTTTTTGGGGGAGCAATGTATCCTTCTCACATGCAGAGCAACATCTTGGTGCAAGACTCAAGTATTTACTATTAATTTTTAAACAACTGAAGGTTTACTCAGGATCAGAAATCCTAATGCAGTAATTAGTAATGGTACATACAACCATTTTACAATTTTAATTAATGATGTCACTATGAAGCAACTACTATAATCGTATGACAAAACTCTAAAAACTCTTCCGCAGTAAAAATACATGCCTGTGTTTCGCTTGATACTAACCATGTAAGTGATTTGCATTTTTCTAGGTAGATAATCAGGCACTCTGGCAAACTCTTCTGGGGGAAGCAAGTTTCAGTCTAAATGGAATCAAGACCACATATATAAATAATCTGCAACTTACCTCTGCACTTTTCAGAGACTTTAAAAGATTATTCACTGTTTCTGGGAAAGAACTACCCAGCATTCTGCCCATTTTTTCATAGAATGCTCCAACGCATGCCACAGCAGCCCTATGAAAAAAGACATGAATTGGTGTACTCTTTTTCTGTATCATATAAGTGAAGATAAAATGCTCAAAAATGTATGTTTTAATAATCACTGATGAATAAAAAACTAATTATTATCCCCCACTTCTTTAAGGAAAAACTTAATCAGCTTCTAAGAACATAAATGTATTTGAATGGCTATTACTACAGAATCTACACATAGATTCTGGAGAAGACAAGTATATGCTCAAATGTAAGCAAGAGTAGGGTTTTGTGTCTCAATAAAGTGTCTCTTTTCCAAGCACCTGCAAGATAACCCCTACCCTTTAATATATGCTCACATTTCTGTAGATACTGAATGATGTTTTTTTCCACGCCTAAAATTAAAATATATAAAGTACTGCATAACACAAGAACATTTATAGGCACTGTAAAAATCACTGGATCCATAAAAAGAGTTCTATACATATTTTTCCTGCCTTGCCACTTGCGATTAGGATTTTTTTAAGTAATACTGTACCGTGGTTACATAACAAATTACTTCAGGCCAGCCAAGAAGCAGCTCCTGAAAACATTCACCTTTTCATCATGAAGGAACAAGCCTTGTTTTTAAACCTGAAAATCTTGGGTTGATTACCGTTTAGTAAACCTATTTATTACCGACTCATTATAGCCCACCTCTACCAGTGAGACAGCTCCTCTGAGTAAAGAAGAACTGGATCACATGCACACACATATCCAAGTATACAGACCCTGTTTGAGAGACGTATGCAGTATATCATGGTAGGGGCAAGATTTGATGGGGGGAAAAAGAAAAAAAGCTTTGAACATTTGCTTACAATTCTCTGAGCACAGATAACACTCTTGTTTGACAATCTGCAGGTTTCATCTTAAAAAGGGTACCTGTGTGCAATCAGCAATAATTCCACTAGCAGGATCTCTTCATTGCATCACTTCATCAACTGTTATCCTCTCCATGACATAAGCATATGAAGAGACATAAGACAGTCCCTTGCCTAAAGGAAAACATCTAACATCTCACTTTCACCTAGCCATGTATGTGTCACCTTTGAGTCCTGCCCTCCACAATCCAAATCCTGCTCTTTTCCTCTGCTATACCAAGCACGTTAGCTACAAATGAACATGCAAAAGGTAAACGTAACGTGCAGGTATACAATCATATTCTTCTTTAATACCCAGGACCACTTAAAAATAACTCCCTTTTCCCCAGTTATATTAAACATACAGTTTTGTGGGCAGGTAGGCTGCAGTATCATCTTTGCTCTTGATGATGTCATTACACTTGTCAAGTGTCTGAAAAACAGTAAATGTGTCTCCAATGCTGTAAAGAGCAGCAAGATTTTTTGCTAGTAGTTTTCGCGTAGGTGGCCCAGGGGAACTGCTGATGAGTCCTGTTAGTTGTTCTACAAGTTTCTTCTGTTTTTCCTTGACATCCGTCTGTTAATGGACCAAAAATAAGTAAGGAAAGTAACTTAATCCTTTGTCTTGCCTCCAACACCCAGCAAAACCTACAAGATATTGAAGTAAACCTTATACCACTCCCCCTTGTATGTAGGTCAGCAAACTGCTTGTCTCACAGAGATTTAAGGTACATTCAATAATAGCAAAGACAGATGCTAAATGCTCAGAATTAGCACTGTTACTCCATTTGGTTTTGCTTTTTTAAAATACTTACTAAAAATACAGCCCTGCCTGCCTAGAACATCTTTTAATCCTGTTTACCACCAAGAATCCCTACTCTGGAAGGAAGGTTTTGCCTTCCAAATACTTAAGACAATGAAGAACTCAAACCAAGCTATGTATTATATAACAGAGTCAGACTGACTGCCTACAGCTAGAAACTAGTACAGAGGCTCTTCAGGCTGAATCGGAAGTCTGGCCATCACCTGTCAACTTTCTTTAGCATGAAATTAATACAAATGTTTTAGAAAGACGGAGAGGGGGGACACCGCAAAATTACCTTGTTAGCAGCTACCAGTACTTTATCCAGAAATCTTAACCATTCAAAGATAAAGACGGGTCTCTTTGCTTCTGTGATTTGAGCTAATGCTTCCTCATTCAGCAACAAACTGTGAGCCAGCTCCATAACTGGTTAAATTCCAGTTTTACTGTAAACTTGTGTAGCAATTCTAAAATAAAGAAATGACAATATTAGCACAAAGTATAACAGTACAAAGCTTTGAAAATGAAAAAAATACAATGATGAAATCCTGATTATATTATCATGGTTCACCCTGTTTAGACTTGTCTTAGCTAAGCAGTCCCACTGAAATATTACTCACATATTTACAACTGAGTATATCTGTTAGTATTTCAGGAAGCAGAGTTGTTAATTGTATAAAGAGCACTTACAGGCATCTTCAGGATTCTAACTCTTACCCAAGAAAAGACTATACTGAAGTCCCTGTTTAAAGAAGGAGGAAAAAAAAAAAAAAGCCAAACAAATCCACACACAAAAAAGGTAAAGGAGTCATCTCTCTGTCTCCTCTTACGTAAAACAGAATAGAGATTGTCCCTAATCAAGACCTGCACTCCCAAAGCTTGCGCATGAACCTGGACACCTTCTCAACACCTTCAACAAAGTGAGAAGGTGATGAACCCGCCACAAACTTGAGAGAGGCAAGAACAGTGCCCTAAAAGAGACAAGAACTGACCTAAGGCTTCCCAGATCCCACTAGCGTTGATTTAAGTGCTGGACAAATAAGCCCTTCTGAAACCCAGAGGGAAGTACAAGCAGCAGCCAAATGACTGCAAGTCTCCCCAACAGGCAAATTACTAACACCAGAAATCCTCCTCAAACGGTGAATGGAGGGAGGGCAGCAACAAAGCACTACCTGAAGCATACTATCAGTGCAAACACTCTGCAGACAACTTAACCATAACAAACCCCATTTCAACAAACTGTGCTGTTTAAGGCTGAACAGAGTGAAAAAAGAAAACTTATATTAAAAAAAAAAATAAAAAAAAAAAATCACAAAATTCAATCAACCTTCTTCAGCAAAAAGAAACCCAAAAAGCAAAAAACCCCACCCAACCTCCAAAATTGCAACTAGTATTGCTGAAACTAGTGTCTCTGGCAAATCAAAACCAGCATAAGCAACTAAGGAGTATTATGTAAGGCATGTCTTTCAACAGCTGCATCATTCCACTTGTGCTCAAGTGCTCACAGCTGCTTCCTCATTCAGTGATCAAACCCAACAAATTCTTAAAGTCAAATGAAGTGATTTAAAATTAATTTTTTTTTTTTAAACAACCCCAACATCAGACAGTACTAAAGGGCAATATTTTACAACTGCATTACATTTCTAAATTCACCTTATGATTTGGTGCTGATGAAACTAAAGCAGCCCGATGTCTGCTCTTTGGTACTTTGCATTATAGTATTTTTCACTGCATACGTCTCCAGCGACAGATGAGGAAAGGTGGAAGAGCCACACAGAGAACTACATATAGCCCTCCCCAGCACTTCCAAAGTTATGAAGAACTGAGGAGGTGCTGCCTGTCAACAATGCACAGACGCATCATCTCAAAACACTTTTACATGAGACTAGGGAGAAACACAGTGAATAACAGCACTATGATTCTTCACATACCATGCCAGCGGCCCACACTGCTCATCACACAACACAGGAATACCATATGATAGGTGCTACTCTTTTCCTCCCCAAATAAGTGTTTTTTTTTCCTGGCCTTTAGAGCATGAACATATTCTGCTTCCACACACTCCCCTACCTCTTCACCTAAACTTAGGAAACATAAGCCCTCAACAAACAAATTCGCACGTACATTCAGATGTGCCACTGAAGCACAAGGGATTAAACGCAAGAACCCACTTCTACTCTGTTATGGTGAGACCCCACCTGCAGTACTGCATTCAGCTCTGGGCCCCCCAACACAGAGGGACGTGGGGCTGCTTAAGCGAGTCCAGAGGAGGCCATGAAGATGACCAGAGGGCTGGTGCACCTCTCCTATGAAGACAGCCTGGAGAAGAGAAAGCTGCATGGAGGTCTTAAAGCAGCTCCCAGTGCCTGAAGGGAGGCTACAAGAAATCTGGAGAGAGACTTTTTACAAGAGCATGCAGTGACAGGGCAAGGCGGAATGGTTTTAACATAAAAGAGGGAGATCTAAATTAAACATAAGGGAAGAAATTCTTCGCCGTGAGAATGCTGAGGCACTGGAACAAGTTGCCCAGAGAGCTGTGGCTGCCCCATCCCTGGAAGTGTTCAAGGTCAGCTTGGACTTTAAGCAACCTGGTCTAGGGGAAGGTGTTCCTGCTGCAGGGGGTTATAACTGGATCATATTAAGGTCACCTTTGAGTGCAAACCATTCTAGGATTGAACACATACACACACACTGAGCTAACTGAAGACTCGAAGCCTGATATACAGCTGTTGCTGGTCAGCAATCCAAAGCTCACCTACACTAGCCAAAGGTTTGCTCCAAAACTCAGCCAAAAATGCCCACCAAGTTCTACTGATTCTGTTGAGGGCTGGGCCTTGCTATGCATGCTACAAGTAATAAATACACTGCTACCTCCCACAGGCAAAGACAACCAGCAAGCTATGCTGAAGCATTATAGGGACTATAAAACATGCAGGTGTACTAGAGTTTCTTTCTATTCTCCAGCCACCGTTCCATAGCCTAACTGAATCCTTAAGATCTTCATCACACGCGAACTTCAGTCAGCTAAGCCAAAATGCTAAAAATTGGGCACGTTTAGGAGAAGCAACACCCTCCTGAAGCACCACATGGGATGAATACGCTTCTGTGCCTGGGTCCCACTGCCTGTATCGGCCACTGTCACAGGCTGTAGCACCTCCCCAGGTCCAAAACCCCTTCGAGAGGTAATGCCTCGGGACGGCACCACAGCGCTGGCTACAACACGTTCAGCGACACACGCAGAGCCCACCCCGAGCACCGCGGACGCGTTTCCCTCCTACCGTGCGGCGGCCGCGTCCTGCCAGCTCCGGGCTGCGTGAGGCGGTGACAGCGCGGCCGCGGCCCTCGGGAAGGTGGAGGGGAACGGGGGAACACGGCCCCGGGCAGCCTGAGCCACACGCACCCCCTTACCCGCCGCGCCGCCACGGCCCACGCAGCGATGCACCCCCCACCGCGGGGCCACCACCAGTGGGCTTGGCCGCTTACCACCCACACTGTTCCCGGCCGGGCTGGCGGAGAGAGAACCGGCGAGGACAGGACACCCGAGCGGCTGCGCCCCTCAGCCCAGCGATAACCCCGACACCACCCGGCAGCCCTGAGCTACCTGCTGTCGCTGAGCAGGAAGCGGCAACTGCGCAGGCGCCGGTGGGCGGGCTGGCCGCACGCAGGCGCCGGGCCGGACTGAGGCGGGTGGGTGCGCGGGGTCCTTCAGCTTGCCCCGCGGCGGCGGGGAGAGTGTGCGGCCTGGTACGGGTACCCCCGGGAGGGAGGGGAGAGGAGAGGAGGGGGTCACGGTCCGGGCTCCCCTTCGGTCTCCCCTGTTGTCGTCCTTCGGCCCCTCCCGCCTCCGGCGGCGCACGGAGCGCATCAGGCCTGAGCGGTAAGTGCTTCACCGTTCGAAAGGGGGTTCTGCCTTTCAGGTAAAGTGCAGAGAAATAAAATAGGTGATAAAACGTGTTGACGGTGTTTACAGGAAAGGGGTTGGAACGGGGCATGCGCTAAACATGGAGGAAGAAGAGGAAGACTACATGTCTGATTTATTTATTAAGTAGGTGGCTCTTTTTTTTTCTCCTCTCAAGTTATTGTAACCACGTTTTTAAGAGTGCTAATATTTGCTGGAGTTACTCTTAGACAGGATGTAAGGCCAGGTTTGCCCATGGTGAGGCGGGTGAAGGAAGCTCTTCAGAAAGAAGAAAAGCAAAAAGAAGCCAACGAGAAGAACAGACAAAAGAGTATAAAAGAAGAAGAAAAAGAGAGACGTGACTTGGTACTGAAAAGTGCATTGGGCAGTGAGAACAAAGGCTTTGCTTTGCTCCAGAAGATGGGCTACAAGAGCGGCCAGGCCCTTGGCAAAAGTGGTAAGCTGTCACTGGAAGTGCATGCCTATATTCAGGTGTACCTTCATGTTTTACAGACTGTAGCTGCCACTTTATATTTAGACAGGGTGGATAAATGCCTTTCCAGGAACCCTAGTGCTGCTGAACTGTGTGTTGTGGGAGAACAAAAGGTAAATCTCCTAAAAAATGGTGTAGATTGACAGATGCAAGGGAATCAGCAGTACTTGCTGTTCAGTAACTGCACTTCCATGTGTGCCTGCCTACAGGAATTGCTTTAAGGATGTTTTCATGGTCTTGCAGAGCTAACAGTGTTCCACAAAAAGTCAACCCTTCCCTTTGAAGTTATAGTTGGTTTCTGAAGAAATGGTACTCACTGGCCTACCCTTAGGAAGCTTTAGTAGATGAAGTAAAATAATGCATCAGTAACGGCTCTGCCAGTTCAGTGTGTCTTTAGCAGACAATTGACAAATTAAGTGGCCTGAACAGATCCTTTTTGTTCTTCATCTTTGTCAAGTTGAGAGTCTCAAATGAAAAATGCTACAGAAGCTTGTAACAAAGCAGTCTTTACCACAGGTACGTTATACCTGTCAAGTCAAGGCCATTTTCTTTCAGTTGGGTAGTGAAAAAGAAAAACCACCCCAGGAAAATGTACATATTTAATAGTAAAAGCTGTTTGCCTGCTTGAATATACTGCACAAGTCATAATTTGAGAAAGACTTGATTTCTTAATCTGTTTTTTCCTTCACAGGAGAAGGCATTGTTGAACCTATTCCTCTGAACATAAAAACAGGTTTGTGATATTTCTTAATTTACTTAGTTAAGTATCATTGCTTCTGAACTGCTTACATTCGTGTTTTGAATTAACATAGGCAGAAGTGGGATTGGTCATGAGGAATTAAAAAAGAGAAAAGCTGAAGAAAAACTGGAAAACTATAGACAAAAACTCCATATGAAAAAACAAGCAAATGAACAAGCTGCAGATCAGTTCAGGTAAAATGATGTAACTGATGCTCCAAGCAATGTCTGAACTGAAATTCTTTTTATGCTTCAAGTTAGGTTATTCTTATAATGTGTTACTATTTTTAATGTTTTGAATGAGAAGTAAGAGTTGAAATATATAGTATGTTTCTTAGTTCTAAAGCAAAAACAGATGCACACTAAAAGCATATGCTGCATCATTTATTTCTGTAGATGTTAATAACGCAAACAATATACATAGTAATTTAAGTCAACTTTTCCAGTTGGAGAACCACGTAATTTTTGTGGTTAGCTAATCCTGAGCAGTGTTGCTACAGCAGTTTTTAAAATTAGAATGAATTTTTTTATGTTTTATTTTTATTTTCCCGATTTCCTTGTTATATGTGGAGAAGGAAAGCCTAGGGAAGACTGTATCTTCTGTGGATGTTTAGTGGACCACTTGTATCTTAGGAAAACCTGATGAGGAATTAGTATTCAATATAGCGTGATCCAAAAAAAGCCAAGACATTCCCAAGAAATACTTGTGTGCTCCCAGAAAAACTATGTCAGAGGGACTTCTTAACTTCAGTATTGTCCTCGTCTGAGAGAATTAGTAGGGCTAGAATCTTAGATTTTCTGTTTTAGAAAAACTACCAACTGTAATGCATCTCAGTTTTTTCTCTACCTGCTTATTTTGTCTATCTACTTTTTCTTCATAGAATAAGATTTAAAAACAAACAAGAAGAACGTAAGATGGAAGGGGACCTCCGAAAAAGCCAGAGGGCCTGCCAGCAATTAGACATGCAAAAAGTGAGACTCTGTGGGTTTTTATGTTGGAAGGAAGGCTTATAGGTTAGACACACAGGCTGCAAACAAAACAGTGAGTCAGTTCTTGGAAGTTCTCTAAAACTGTGGGTGGCTAGCCCAAAGTCTTCACGTTTGGCAACACTTCAGTCCTCTTAAAATATTTCAAAATACATATTTGCACCATTAAGATATCTGAAGGTGTACACCAACCTCGTGGTGAGTTATGTGAGGACCTATGTTAATTTGCATCATCATAGCTCACCTGTTTTCGCCCCCACATCCTTGTGGTTATTTCTGAGCTGTTAACATATCTTCCAGTAGCCAGTGTCAGGCCTCCCTAAATGAGAATGCTGTTTGCCTCAAGTGAGGGAACATCATCATCACAGAGTGGTTGACATTGGAAGGGGGAGAATCGAGGTCACCTTGTCCAACCTTCCTGCTCAAGCAGGATCACCTAAATCATGTTGTCCAGGGCAACATCCAGACATCTCTTGAGTATATCCAAGGATGGGGATCATCATTGAATCAGTAGATCCACCAAGGAAGGGTCTAAACAAAAAGCAAACCCAAACCAAAGTACCTTTCACCTGTAAGGAGTCACACGTAAACTATTATAAATTTCTGACCGTTGAAAACTTCAAGTACTTTTTTTTTTTTTTTGTCAGTTAACCTGTTAATACCAGCCCCCCTTTTTTTTTTCTAAAAAAGATAAAAGTAAGTAATCCTTCTTGTGGACTGTTCTGCTTGATTTCCCCACTACAGTTTTAGTGATTCTTGGTTATATTATACAGGATATTTAAAATCTAACATCTCACGTACTAGAAACTGGTTTTATCCAGCATCTAACAAGAAACCCTGCAAGGGCAGATAATTTTCATTTCAATCTTTTGTTATTTAAGGATATTGATGTTCCTAAGGAGAGTTGGTACTGGCTAGAACCTGAAGAGGAAGACGAAAACGATGAGGAAGACAAGGAAGATGAATGCACAAGCTCAGACTTAAGTGTAAGCTCTGCAACTACATTAATGGCTTGATTCAGACTTAAGTTAAATATTCCTTTAAAAAGTGTCTATGTATACATATGAGTATGAAGGACATATGTATACAGGTCACTTTCCAAGCTGTAGCGAATGGCCTCTTTGCAGTCTTAGAGCATTATTATAGCAGTTACAGGATATAATGCAAAATGCTAAGCCACTGATTTATTGCTCATTGGTTTTGAAGCTGGTCTTTGGAAAAAATAGCCTAGAATTTAAATTCTAAACATTTTTGTGTCTTTGTCAAGATATGCAAGACCATGTATATGATCAAAGTTACTTACTTTTGAGTTTTCATTTTGGATGCCTCATCTCATGTCTTAGGCTGAATTTTAGAATCATTAAGGAATTTCTGAAAATGCTTCAGATGATCTCAAGAGGGATACTGGAAATTCACATCTTTTGAGAACGAGATTACACAGCTGCTGTTAGCTGTATGTGTTTTATTTGCAGAGATTAGGTCTGAAAAATTACACCAAAAACATCGTATAGTTGAAATAAAGTAGCTAGGTAATATTTTTAGCTCTTCAGTGCAGATTTCATAGCTAGAAAGAAGGATGAGCAAACAACAGCCATAAACTTTTCAGAGATTGTGAATTCCTGTGCAGTGTACTACAAATATGGGGAACTTAATGCCTTACTGAGCTACAGTATTGTGTAGCTTTTCCATAGAAAATGGTTAAACAGTCTATTTTAGTAAAGGTAGTAGCTCACAGTTAGTGTCAGACCCAGATCATTGCATACCTCTACATATCCCTAGGTATCGGAAAAGCTGCACCTCCTGACTGCCTATTTGAGAGAACACCACTTTTACTGCATTTGGTGTGGCATAACCTATGAAGGTGAGAGTAAACCTGTTGTGTGTTTTACTTTGCTTGTGCAGCTGGATTCAAATAGTAAAATATATCCTTCATGTTTCTCTTACTGGGTGCTTTAAGCTTTACATAGCTAGTTTTCCTGCTGTGTTTTGCACAAAGCTTTGTACATTTTGATTATAAACCAATTTTTAGGCATTCATGTGCATAAAAAAACCCCTCTGAACAGCCAACCACACAGGCTGTTAATTTGATTTGGTATTCATATTAATTTGAGGAAAAAAAATAGATTAAAACCAGTACCATGCAAAGCTGTGAAAGGTTGCAGGTGTTTCTGAAAGAATTAGAACGCTATCCCAATTCACTGCACCAAAGAGGGTAGAATTTGTGTTCACTTGTTTTAGCAACTTTCCCCCACTCCCTATCCCGCTCTGAGCTGGAATTACTCACTTTTTCTCTGCTTATCCTTTAGACTCTGAAGATTTATCTTCAAACTGCCCTGGAGACAGTGCTGCAGATCATGACTAACCGCCTTCTAAAGGAAAAACCCCTAGATAAGTATGTATAGTTCATAATATCTTTTGGAAGGTATGGAGCTGTGCCATACTAAATAATTTATATCAAAGTACACAGAAGGATAGTTTGCAGTTAAACTCACATTTCTGAAGCATCTTATAGATTCTCTACTTGATGCATAAAGTAATAGGAATTAAAACTTTGCATTTATAGTTGAACTACAATATTAGAGGCAGGTTAAGCCTTCCATAGTCTTTGTTTATGCCCCATCCAACTGAACAAGACCAGCTGATAATAAAATTCAGATTTCAGTAAGGAATAAATACTGGCTAGTTACTCCATTGTACAGTGTGTTAAACATAATTTATTTTTCATCTTTACAAAGATAACTAAACATCACTTTCTTTGCTTTACAATCTTAGACCTGGTGGGGAAAAAAAAATGTGAAATATTACAGAGACATTATTTGAACCAACATTCTATGGCACATAAAGGTGCATATTTTGCGCAACTAAACAGAATCATAGAATAGTTAGGGTTGGAAAGGACCTTAAGATCATCAAGTTCCAACCCCCCTGCCATGGGCAGGGACACCTCACACTAAACCATGTCACCCAAGGCTCTGTCCAACCTGGCCTTGAACACCGCCAGGGATGGAGCATTCACAACTTCCTTGGGCAACCCATTCCAGTGCCTCACCACCCTCACAGTAAAGAACTTCCTCCTTATATCCAATCTAAACTTCCCCTGTTTAAGTTTGAACCTATCACCCCTTGTCCTACCACTGCAATCCCTAAAATAGTGCTAGATCATGTTGTTGGAGGATTTTTATATATAAAATATATAAATATAAAATATATATAAAATATATACAAAAATATTTTAATAGACATTTTATTTTTAGGAAACAGCAATTGCTACTGTAAACAGTCCCTAATAGAAATGTACTGCTGAAATAACAGATACTAGAAAAAAAGTATCAAAAAATAGCGGGACAGGGTCAGTATTACTTAACAGTAGAAAGGTAATGGTATTATGTATGCTCTGTCCAAGAACTATAAAGCTTGGCATATACCAGTTTTCATATTGCAAGAGTAGTATAGAAGTATAGAATCATTAGGGTTTGACAAGATATTTAAGATTGACTACAACTGTATGTCAGTTAAATCCCAGTGCGTGGAAAGAGGCAGTGGAACTCCCAGATCTTGACCACAACAGGGAAACGGTAGTTGGTATTGAATAGTAAAATGCTGTATGCATCCCAGCCAGGGATCAGGCTAGGGAAGCTAAAGCCCTGGTAGAATTACATCTGGCCAGGAACATCAACAGTAACACCAACATCTGTAGGTATGTTGGTGATAAAACAAAGACTAGGGGAAATGTGGGCCCTCTCTGGAAGAAAACAGGAGACCTGGCTATCTGAGACACGGAGAAGGTTGAGGTGGGCAACGAAGTTTTTTCCTCAGTCATCACCAGCAAGTGCTCCATCCACACCACTCAAGTTGTAGAAGGCAAAGGGCAAAGGCAGGGATGCCTTTGGGGAGAATGAAGAACCTGCTGTATGCCATCAGGCTTGATGCCATCTAAAGAACCTGAAGATGCACAAGTCTGTGAGACCTGATGAGATGCATCCACAGGCCCTGAGGGAACCAGCAGATGAAGTTGCTAAGCCACTTGAGTTGGGGTTGTTCAGCCTGGAGAAGGCTTTGTCAGGACCTTTGTTAGGACCTTTGTCAGCCTTCCAGTACCCAAAGGAAGCTTACAGGAATTCTGGAGAGAGACTTTTTACAAGGGCGTGTAGTGACAGGACAAGGAATGGCTCTGACTGACAGGGTAAATTCTGGTGAGACATTAGGAAAAAATTCTTTACTGTGAGTGTGGCAAGAAACTGTAAGAGGTTGCCCAGAGGAGCTGTGGCTGCCCCATCTCTGGCAGTGTTCAAGAACAGGTTGGATGGAGTTAGCAGCAATGTGTTCTAGTGGAAGATTTCCCTGCCTCTGTTGTAGGGGAGTTGGAACTAGATGATCATTAAGGTCCCTTCCAACCCAAACCATTCTGTGATTGGGTATTTGTGATTCATGATAAGGCAAAAAACAAAAACCACTTCAAGCTTTAGAAAAGGATGTAGATCAGATTCTTACTTAGCAATAAATACTTGCAGACCAGCAATAATTTCCATAAGAATATAAAAATTACTGTGCATTCATTTATATTATTCCTTTTAAGCAAGCACCCACTCAAAATCTGTTTTTGGAAGTTTAAAGCAAGTCTAAACTCTATTACTGTATTTTTAAGTTCTAGAGCACTGAAGGAAGTAGGTGTTCAACAGGAATGTAGAGCTGCTGTAAAGAACTGTTGGAAAAAAAAAAAAAAAGAATCGTAAAGAACTGAAATTCAGTGAATAACCCAACACCAATTCCTAGTATTTTCTCTACCAAAATTAGTCTTTGTATTAATGAGAGTATTCTAGTAATTATTAAAAACATCACTGAACAAATCAGAAAGGTTTGAATCACATACCACAAGACAGCACTTCTTCAATGGTAGATAACCTCAACTGATAATGGATGCAACACGTGTTAAGAGCACGCATACAGTGATTTGTCACAGGGCAGTTAGCACCACCACAACTTAATCTTCTAGGAGACGAGGACTAGGTTGCTTTATGTGCTGTAGAATATAGTTCAGCTCATCCACAACCTGTGTTTCCAGGTAAACTCGCAAGTGATTGCTTGCAGAAGCATGCTACCCTGGTCTGCAGCTGATGGGTGTGAATGGTGATATGATGCTGATGAGCTTCTCAATGGCAGGAAGGCAAAACACCAAGGAAAAGACATAACCCAAGTCTTGCTGTCGCTTCTGACATGTACTGGTATTTCATCAGTTTTAAGAGACATCAAACTCTGGATTTAAACACAGTAAAAGCTTTTTCAAAGGACATTTACTTAGTATGAGTTCTAAATGGCTTGTCTTTATCAACAGACTTTAAAAGTTCAAGTATTTGAGATGCAGAGTATCTTCGTGAAGGGTCTTTTGAAAGCATCTTTTTGATTATGGGTGCCTGTATAAAGAAATAAATGTCAGTAAATTATCTTTAATTAGTAAATAAACTAATTGAAATAATGTATTAAAACCCCATACCTCTGATGGAAATCGGTTGCTGAAGCTCTCTGGAAGTTCACCATCTCTAACTTCACTCCATACCTGAGATTCATAAAAAAGAACAGGTTTAGGATGTTTTATTATATTTTGCGTCTCACTTTATGACTCATATAGGTTACTGAAGTAAATAGGAAAATGCAACTGTGCAAAAAAGGCAGGGCTTCAGAAAGCCCTTTCTTTTCAAAAAGAAAGTAACTGAAAAGTTTGAAAGGTTTTTTACCTCTAATTCTACCTTGGTTTTGTGTTTGTCCCTTTTTAAGTTTAAAGTTTCACATGCTACAACATTGTGTTTCTTCCAGCAGTCCCCTACTTCAGAACCATTATTCTTCTTAATTTAAAAGTAGTGGGTTTATAGCCTCTTACCACATTAAAAAAAAACAACAAAACCACAAAAACAACAAACCAAAATGCACAAACCAGTTTTTCTTTACTTTGGATTTTTCCATAGGTTTCCTACTTTGGATGTTGCCATTAGCCAAGTAGGTTTGTTTCCTCCCTTTTACTTAGCGCTTTAGTTCAAAGCAGCTAACATTGAAAGCATTGCTAATTACATGCTGTCAACTTTTGCGGTTTCAATCCACATGATGTAGCTTTCTAGGTAAACAGAGCAGTCCACATCATCCATTTGCTGTTAACTGGTGTAATTTTTGCCTAAAAGAAGATAACAGTCCTGTCGCAGCACACAGCTATGCATCCTGAATCATTAGCCAGTCTTATGGATGCTACAGCCTGGCTTAGCAAGCCCTTATAACCAGTATCTAGTAAAACAAGAGTTGTTCCCATGAACTTAGAGCTTTACCCCTACTCTTCAGCTTTAGGCCTGTGAGCCTACCTGCTGGTGAGCATCAGCTGAACCAGTTACTTAGCTCATAATCATTAGCTTTGCTTTTACATGATGTTCTTTGATCAGGGCTTGCCAGCAACATACAATAGAGTTTATCATGCTCCATTAAGGGAAATTGTTCCCTAAACTGATGGAGCACTTGAAGACCATCCTAGGACTTCCCATCCACATGACTTCCCCATTTACCTGTAGACAGAAGACTTTTATGGTCAAAGAAACAAGACTAAGTAATTGGTCTTGCCCTTTCACCTATAACATCATGGAACTGTGAACACATTAGCACTGTCAGCTATTAGCAGGAGCAAGATGGCTTAGAAAATGCTGCATGGTAGCTGAAGAGACCCAAGTTGAACCTCTGAGTCAGGCAGACACATTGGTGTGGTTTTCTCATAATGGCAAAAGGACCAAGCTAACTGTTCAAGAGCTTCTGGGTCCAGCCATGTACGTATATCTTGCAATTACTTTTGATAACATCCTCAGCAGCTCCATTACTGTCCTACAAATATGAAGGTTTGAGCATACAAGCCATTACACTCATAATGTGCAAAGTACCAAGAAAGCGCAAGAGAGACATAAAAGATCCCTTTTCAAAAAAAAAGCTTAAGTAACACTGGTTTTCTTTTTGAAGTAGCATCTTTGTGTTGTTTTTTTTTTTGCCAGACATTATTCTTTGGCATACTCAGGCTTTAATGTGTACGTCAATAAGACATAAGTGAAATAAAACCAGTAGTATTTCTTTACTTTGGTTATTACATTTCAATGGAGGTGTGAGGACTTACGTGCCTTACAGAAATTAATCAAGGGGAAAATGTAAATAAAAACAGTGTTATAGATACACAGATTGCTTCTAGCGTGCTATTAGCATGTGATCCCAGCAGCAAGGCAAAGCAATGACAGACTTTTTTAAAGATTACATACCTTCTCTTTCTCATGACCACTGAATGCCGAAAGAATCTCGAACCAAATTAACCCCAGTGCATAAATATCTACTTCCTTTCCATATCTGTCCCCAAACTACAAAGATCAGAACAAGAACAATGCAGTCAAATCCAACTGGACAGCACTCTTAAAACAATTTTTGAAGAGAGTAAGAAATTCCCACCCCAAGACTTCAGGACTTGATCTCCTTATCAGTTATTACCCCTTTCTCCTACAACTAGTTTGTCACATCAGTGCAAGAGCATTCCTTACAGCACGCAGTGTCAGGACAGCAACAGAAAATCACCACGCTTGCAGACAGCTTTCTCCAGAATGCTGTTACGCTCATATACAGTTATACCAGGGAACTTTAGGCAACCTTGTTTAATACCGAGATTAGGATCAAGAACATCCAATACTGACTTTATAATGCAAATCTAGTAACAGAGACACTAATACAGCAGGACAATTACCTGTTCTGGTGCCATATATGATTTTGTTCCTGTGTTCCCAGTCAGATTCTCACATGTCACAGAAGTCACAAGACCGAAGTCACCTATTTTTATTTTATCTTCATCTGATATGAATATATTCTGAGGCTATATGTAAAAAATGAAAAATCACTATATGACCAAGGTTTATTGTCAAGCACAATCAGCCACAGAAGTGCTCCCCATAAAATGTCATAATTGTTCATAGAAATTAGCATTAAGAAATTGATGGGGTAGGAAGCAGAGAAAAAATGCAATTAATTTTTAAAAACAGAAACTCAATTTAAAATAGTACATGACACAGTAACTGCAATGGGTTGGTTTTTTTTCCACTAGCTCAGTCATAACTATGCCATGCTTTAATGTTCTTCAAGTACATTGTGTGTATAACATTTCATATCCAGAAATGTTTCTTAGTCTCCAGTCCTAGCCCTAGAATTTGATGCATGGGCAAAGCATTTAGGGTCACATTGAATTCCATTCAAATCCTAGTTTCTTCTAGGCACAGCAGCATTATCTGTACACAGACAATCGCAGTGTTGGAGCTTACTACAGGCATTTCACAGTATCACTTCTAAGTTTCCACTGAACTTACTTTATTTCAATGTAAAGATTGTGCACTTGTAGAGACTGAAGTCCTATCCAAAAAAGCAGCACTGAAATGTTTGCACATGTAATGAAAGAGCAACTAGAATATGCTGTTATCAAACACGGCATGTATTAGGGTAGATAAATCTATCCCTTTACAATATGGCAAGAGCAAACTTCCTAGACCCAACTTTTTCACTTTCTTACTTCTAATTATTTTATCAATAAAGTTAGTATTTATTTTTCCGGTAGGCAGTCTGGTGACCCAGTAACACATAATACACTGAAAATGCCTGTTAACTGATGGCTGCAGATTTCTTTAACTACTGCATTCTGAGATCCTCCAGTTTACCTTCTGACTTGAGGATGAAGTCAAGCCAGTTGCTGAAAAAAACAATTCCTAGCAATATCAGAAGAAACACACTACTAGGGTACATAACAAGCTAAAAGACTAGAACTATTTTAACATTTTAAGAAATTCCAAAGAGTACTATTTTTATCTTTTTTATTATTACCTACTTACCTTGAGGTCTCGATGAATTAAGCCTTTAGAATGAATATATTTTACTCCTTCCAGTATTTGTAAAAATGTGGTTTGTGCCATCTCATGATACTTTCGGTCTCGTCTATTCTTTTCAATCCAGTTTTCCAATGGCCCTTGTTCACATAATTCCATTTGAATGAAAAGACAGAGAATTTTTTTGTCTGACTTCTGCCTGCAAATTTTATACCATATTGAAATTGGCAAGATACAATTCCTCTCAAGCCATCAATGATTGTCAGTTTCCACTTCTTTAAAAAGCTTTGTTAATTACTGGGTTTGGAGTTCTCCAAACCAAGGTCTTCAAGCCTCTTGCTTTTGAAAAAGATTCTAGACCAAATTGTACTAGATATAAATAAACAGAACTGCAAACCAAACAGTCCCTGGCTCAGTTGCTCCATACCCGTGGAATAGCCCCAGTGTTTTGCTTGCTTCCGTTCACACCAAAAGGTTTCTGAATGTCCAAATTCTGGTTCATGTCATGTCTATACAGGAAGAAGTAGCACTGTCCTTGGCACACATCATGCCCTCTAGCAACTGCTGCAAGTCCCTGGCAGGTATTCTCTATTCTGCTCAACAAACACGGAATTAGCTTTCCTCTACCACCCAAAATTTTCACATTCTTTCAAACTCTGTCCTTCTGAAAGCTGGAAATCTAGATGAAACATAGTTGTCCACCTGACAGCCTCACACTTTTCAGTAGATACCCCTCACCATCAGCCCATAGCATAGGCTGGGGCTGGAGATGGTGAGGGGAAGGACAATATGAAGAGGAGACACCACGTTTTCCTACTTGCACTATGTGATTCAAGTGTCCTGAAATAAAGCTGCTTGAGGTACTGAAAGAAGAAACATTAAATGGCTTGGGACTCTCTGCAGTTTTGAGGTCAAGTCACTAAGCGGAATTCCAGGCTGGGACCTCAGCTTTGAAGACTTTTTTCTGTCTTTTACCCAATAACTGTTCAATATAAAATGCATTACTGATACTGAGATTCCAACATATTAGGTTTTGATGAGACATTTCCCCTCCATTTTATTCTTTATTTACTGACCACATAGGACAGATATCATGCCAACCATAATTTTGAATCCATTAGTATTTCATGGCTCTAGGTAGAGGCTAGGCAACCTATCTGAAAGGTACAAATTTATAGCTAGTGAAGAAAGCTTACGACGGAAGCTTTGAGAAGTTAATCTAACTTACAAGTAAAACTCTCACCGCTGTCTTCCCAGAAGTCTTAGTGTTGGAAGACTAAATGAAAGACATTTCGTTTTGTATTTCTGTTCTCAACAGCCAAAAACATTTCAGGCATTATGGTTAAAACGCTAACTTAGAGAAATCATTAAATCTATGGGAGCTACTGGCTGGCCAGTACTTGCTCAAAAAAGGAAATTTCTGATCAAGAATTTGGCAGCCTGCTGCCAGACATATTTTAGTTTCTGTTCTTAATTCTAGCCCCAGAGTTTGAGTTCTGCATTCTTATACTCTTCTATAGATTCAGCAAATTTTGTATATTAAGAAAGAGGAGAAAGATAAAATTACATATCTTACTCATCAAGAAAAAGAAGATATAAATATGCTTAATTATATATACAACCTGCTGCTGAAAAGGACTGTACCTCTTTCCTAGCAGGAACTATGGAATTATGTGTATGCATTTATATTTGTGTAAGGATTTATAACCAATCACCAGCCTTTCCTTTTACAACACAAGATTCACCATAAAAAACAAATTTGTAAGTGAAAACTGCTGTTTTGTAGTTACCTTGAGGCTGGAGAAGTTACATGGTCGTACCCTGGCCAGCTATTGTAATACCGCACAATGTTTTTGTGTTCAAGTCTTGCAAGTTGTTTTACTTCACGCACGTTCCTATTTGGAGTGAGGGAGGAATCATTTCCCAATAAAAATATTAAGTTAAAGACATGATATAAAGTAGCAGTATACAAGTAGTTTTACATTCATTTAGAAAAAAAAAACACAAATGAGAATCATAGAATGATAGAATCGTTAGGGTTGGAAAGGACCTTAAGATCATCTAGTTCCAACCCCCCCTGCCATGGGCAGGGACACCTAACGCTAAATCATACCACCCAAGGCCTCGTCCAACCTGGCCTTGAACACTGTCAGGGATGGAGCATTCACAACTTCCCTGGGCAACCCATTCCAGTGCCTCACCACCCTAACAGGAAAGAATTTCCTTCTTATATCCAATCTAAACTTCCCCTGTTTAAGTTTTAACCTGTTACCCCTTGTCCTGTCACTACAGTCCCTAATGAAGAGTCCCTCCCCAGCATCCTTATAGGCCCCCTTCAGATACTGGAAGGCTGCTAGGAGGTTTCCACACAGCCTTCTCTTCTCCAGCCTGAACAGCTCCAACTTCCTCAGCCTGTCTTCATGTGGGAGGTGCTCCAGTCCCCTGATCATCCTCGTGGCCCTCCTCTGGACTTGTTCCAACAGTTCCATGTCCTTTTTATGTTGTGGACATGAGAACTGCACACAAAACTCCAAGTGAGGTCTCACAAGAGCAGAGTAGAGGGGCAGGATCACCTCCTTCGACCTGCTGGTCATGCTCCTTTTGATGCAGCCCAGGATACAGTTGGCTTTCTGGGCTGCGAGTGCACACTGAAGCTGGCTCATGTTCATTTTCTCATCAACCAGCACCCCCAAGTCCTTCTCTGCAGGGCTGCTCTGAATCTCTTCTCTGCCCAACCATGTCAGCGAGGAAGATGTTGAACAAGACCGGTCCCAACAGCACCGATCCCTGAGGGACACTGCTCGTTACTGGTCTCCAGCTGCACATTGAGCCATTGACCACAACTCTTTGTGTGTGGCCATCCAGCCAGTTCTTTATCCACTGAGTGGTCCATCCATCAAATTGATGTCTCTCCAATTTAGAGACAAGGATGTCGTGTGGGACAGTGTCGAACGCTTTGCACAAGTCCAGGTAGATGACATCAGCTGCTCTACCCCTGTCCATCAGTTCTGTAGCCCCATCACAGAAGGCCACCAAATTGGTTAGGCAGGATTTCCCCTTAGTGAAGCCATGCTGGCTGTCACCAAACACCTTGTTGATTTTCATGTGCCTTAGCATGCCTTCCAGGAGAATCTGCTCCAAGATTTTGCCAGGCACAGAGGTGAGACTGACTGCTCTGTAGTTCCCTGGGTCATCCATTTTCCCTTTCTTGAAAATGGGGGTTATATTTCCCTTTTTCCAGTCATCGGGAACTTCACCTGATAATATTCTCCTTCATTCAAATTCAAAATTATTATTACACATTCTGTGGGGTTTATTTCATCTGCTCAGTTATTCAAAGTAAAAAAAAAGTGGCTTAACCATATTAGAAATGAAAGCCCCACTCAAAAAAAAAACGAAATAAAAAAAAAAAACCCAAGTAAAAACAAAAAACCTGAAAAAAAAGCAGATTGCTGCAGTGCATAATTACATCGTATATCCAAACACAAGGTAGCAAACACCCGTGTTTTCTCGCCACCGCTGTGAAGTTTGTTTACATATACAGAAGTCAGTGGAAATACTCAGGAAGAATTCTTACTAAATTTGGCCTGTCTGTGTAACAGTGCCTACTGAAGTAAGTTCAAACCCATCAGCACATCAGTCTTTATTTGAAGAATCAGGAAAATGTTTGTTAGCGTAGTTCTCAGGATTGCAATACAAATGAAAAGAACAAGTATCTGTGAAGATCACAGCAATTTGATGGGCAGTTGAACAATGTAAGGGTCACGTATTTCCAACTTGAAACCTTTTGTATAGATTACGTAAAAGACAATCAAGTTTTTCAGCCGGTGATCAAGTACTCCACTAGGGCAGGTTACAGAAAACCACTTTAAAAAAAAAATTGGGATCATCACTAGTAAGTAACAAGTAACACAGCATCAGAATAATGACTACATGGGTCATATATAAAGCATTTTCCAAGTAGAAACCATAAAATGTATTACTGTTTTCCCTAATCAGAGTTGTTATGCATTACCAATATGTAAACTTTCCACGTAACCTGTCAAAAGTAACAGTGCTGCTTTCAATGTTTTATTAATCAGCAGGCTTTCTTCAAACATATTTTGCAGTATTAATAACCAGAGCACTACTGTGTTCAGGGAAGGTAGAACTTAACAAATCTACTTCCTTACAGCTGCAACTGAAATTATTCCAGTGCATGCAAAAACCAACATACTGTTTTCAGCTTCACTTAGAAATAAAGGATAGGTTTATCAGAAAGAACATGCGACTAATAATGAAAATTGATAAAATCTTGATTAAAGTTATCCTAAAATAAAAATTAGAAATAAATATACAGTACATACTTTGTGAATTGAACTCGTTTGACTGCATAGGTCCTCTCATCAAGCTTTGCTGTTGCTTTGAAAACATTCCCAAAGCCACCTTCACCAATAGGCTCTATGTTCTTAAAACTCTCGAGAAATCTTAAAAAAATATAAAATTACATTTTTATATATATATATATAAATATAAAAAAAACTTTAAGCATACTTAATGCTAAATTTCTAAGATATAAAAATGATCCTGACAGGTCTACTACATCTGCTGCAACATTCTAGATACCACTCAGCATTATACAAGTCTAAATCACAGTCCTGAAGATTAAAAACACAAATAAAAAGGGAACCTGACCCCTGAAAGCGTGTAGGGTAATCACTCTCACATCTTCACACAAATGACCTTTGGATGTAACCATCAAAGGACATTGCATGTCAGTTGCTATACTATAAACTGACATTTCCAGAGGAAAAAGAAAGAAATATTTCAAATACCAATTAGCTTTGAAAGTTATTTTTATAGCCGTACTTTCCTACATTCTGTTATTAAAAAAAAGCCTCAAATCTAGACCACTACACACTGTGATTGCCATACAAATCTTGAAAAAAAAAAAAAAAAGTCCTTCTTACCTTTTATCCACAGTGTATGGGCTTTCATTTCCCTCACTGGTATTTGTGTCCAAACCTGGCAAACTCTCATCTGACATCTTTTTTACCTCTTCCTTGTCTCTCGCATTATCAAAATTAGCTGCCAATTTTCTGTAACAAGGACAAATGCAAAACTTATAATGGCCATTTTCCTAATATCTGGCAAAAGAAATGTACCTCCCAATAGTGCCACTTCTTTACTAGATATAGAAACACTACAGTGGTTTGCAATACAGCTTATGGGGGATAACAACCTAGAAACAGACACGTACCTTTGGGGTTTCAGAGCAGAACTTGGTGTGTTTCTCTAAATGAAAAAGAGAAAAAAACCAACACTCTAAGTGAAATATCCTGGATATTTTAACTATATTTAGTTTAAAATATGTCTGAGAACGTATATAGGAATTGTCTATATATGTGTTCATACCTTATATATGCAATGTAATATGAATGAAGCCACATCTTAGCTTCTAATTTTCACATATGCTATGTATGACATTATCATACTCTTCCCACAGAAGAATACAAGCTTAGTTTGGTTCCTTCTCTTGGGAGTACTGCCCATTTGGTCAACAGCACATAGATTGGGTCTAAAGTACAGAAGTAAATGACTAACGGTTAACAGCACAAATGTCCTAAATATTCTTAGGGAAAAATCGCACAGGTTTTCTAGTGATTAGTGGATAAAGGAACAAACTGTTGCTACACTCTTTCAAGAGGCTTGCTCTGTTCAGGATCTAAAACGTAGTTATGAGGAAGACCATTTTCATACTATACCTGAGAAGGTGAAGGCTTTTCACATACTGCCATGTTTTTCATTTTGTCTGCCAAATTTGCAGCTGAGTCTTTAAAGCAAATACTGTTGCTACTGAAAAATAAGCAACTAGGTTTACATGAAAGTAAAACAAATAAAATGATTGCCACAATTAAAGAAAAATGCATAACCCCCCATAGATTCTAAAACCAAAACCTGGAAAATCATTAACAATTGTGATGGATTTAAAGTACAAAACTTTATGCTGGAAAGCTAATGAAACAACAACATTTTGTAATATAATCCTCTATTTCTATGATCTGATATCATATCTTTATGATACGTATTTTATGATCTCCATTAAATAAATAGGTTAAACACAGATGTTTATGTCAAGACAGCACAGCCACCTCTAGCATTATACATACTGGCTTTCTTTAGAATCCCACAAAGAACATAAAAGAAGTGGTAGTGGCACTGCAGTTAAATTAACTGCTGACCTCAAAAGGCTTGACCTAGGGTTTCCAAATCACAAATGAAACTTTCTGCAGGTTCATTGTCTTTCACTAAGCAAATTTGCCCCTTGTATATGGGGAATGGAAGAAAACAAGTAAAAACCCCGTATCTCACAAAAAAACCTCACACAAAAACAGAGAAGAAACCAGAATGTAAGGCACAAGAAAAGTATTTGAGTTGTATTATACTGAGTTGACAAGAGTATCGTAATAGGAAAATGTGTTAAAGTTGGCATTCAATAATGCCATTATAACAATGAGGTAAGGTTATTCTGTTTACATCACCGTAAAATTGCTTCTGAAAAAACTCACAGCAAAAAGTAAATATTATCAGAAAGCTCTACAATTACAAGCTAACCCATAAGGACTCAAATAAAATTGCACAAGTATAACAGATTTTTCTCTGGCATGTAAGAAGTTCAAGTCAAACGGCTTTATTCTGCATTAAGAAAACTAACACAGATTTTATTAATAACCAGAACACATGACCCTCTAAGATTAGTAAATACACTTCGTTATCACACTATCAATGAACCCAACTTACTCCAAGTCAGACTGAGTTGACACTTGATGGGAATCACTATTGTTGCTAAATGTAGAGTTGCTGTTAGATGTTTCATTTCCCATCTGAAAAACAGAAACAAAACCACAAAAAAAAAAAGTTTAACAAAAACATGTAAAAAATCCCATTCAAAGAGGGGAGAGGGAAGATCACAAGATCCTAAGTGGAAGCTGTTAGCTGCACTGAAGATTCGAAAGTCCTGCAGAAGAAAGGCATCTGCCTAACTTCCACCCAGAGGAGTGGGACACTGGGCCCTGTCACAGACAGCAATTTTCCCACTCATATTTAGACTATATAGACATATTTATATATTTAGACTACATAGATATAGGCAGGAGTCTTGGACCTGTTAAAAATCAGGATAAAAGTATTTGCTATTTATAAAGGTTATAAATAGCAAATGTTTTTATTGCACATGCAATTGCCTGCATGGAAAACAAGAATTATGAAGGCTTTAGTATGTGTAATCAGCAGAACAGAAAATTTCAGTCTGTACAAAAAGACATTTAACATCTTTGGTGCGAAAGCCCTGTAAAACCTAGATCACCAAATCAGGGTTCACTAAAATAACCTAATTCTACTACTTAGTAGAGGTTCTTCCTCTTCCCCCCTCCATGTCTTAAGAGCACAAATGTAACATTAAAAGCAACACCTACCATTGTTACAGTCCATAAGCAAACAAAAAGGTTTATGTGTCAATGATACCAAACTTTCTTTTATTTTTTTTCCCCTTAATTTGGGAGTAGTGGGCTTTTACTACTTTTTGCTGGTTACATTTTGTTTGTTACACACACATCATAGAATCATGGAATAGTTAGGGTTGGAAAGGACATTAAGATCACCAAGTTCCAACCCCCCTGCCATGGGCAGGGACACCTCACACTAAACCATGTCACCCAAGGCCTCGTCCAACCTGGCCTTGAACACTGCCAGGGATGGAGCATTCACAACCTCCCTGGGCAACCCATTCCAGTGCCTCACCACCCTAACAGGAAAGAATTTCCTCCTTACATTGCTGGGAATTAATAAACATTCAAACTAAACCAAAACGACCAATACCCTAATTTTAGAGTAACAACTACAGAGGTTCGTTTTAAGTAGGAAATTTCAGACTTCAATGAAAATCCGAAGACCCATGAGCTCACAACATAGGAAAATATTAAGAAAGCATCCTAGAGCTTTAATAGGCCATTAATTCCATGCTTAACTTAAAAGAGTTCTTTCCTCCACCATACTGCTTTCCTTCCCTTTAAATTACATTCAAGTTAGTTCCTATGTACTGTTCTCTGCCTTTCAGAAGTGGGTTTAGATCACTGTTAGGATTCTAATGGTTTTTTGCACATATGAAAATAGGACCACCAACATAAAGACAAGAGCTCTGCTCTACAGAGGAAGGTGTTTGTAATTGTTTTACTAGACTCTGCCTTGGAATACTACTAAAAGCAAGCCCTGTTGATTCCCACTCCCCCTTTTGCCTTTCTTGCATTGCACGGTACACTTTTGATCCAATAGAAGGCAGCAAGAGATTTATTTTCTTAGCCAGTCAGCTCAACAGCAGTTCACACAGGAAACACCCAGTACATTAGAGCAGTCAGAATTCAGAATCTTTTCAGACATGTGCATCCTTGACTGACAACATATCAGACCCTCTTCTGAAATGCACAGAGATACCGACTGTGAGATTTCTTTTTTTAATCCAGCAACTGAATATAGAAACACAACAAAAATTTTACCTACAGAATCCCGTAGCCCAAAAAACCCACCAAAATATGGATTGTTTTCCCCTTAAGTGGAATCTGTGGAATGTGATTTTAAATAAAATGAGGAAATCTGTTCAAAGATTACAGATACAAGAATTAAACTCCCATTTTAAGGTGAAATATAGCACATACTGTTATAGCGCCTTCCTCAACTAGTTTCTCAAATGCTTGTTTTGCAGCAGCTTGTTTTGCAGCAGCTAGACAAGGTCCAGTGCCATTTCCATACACATAACCGCTAATTGTACAGCGACAAGAAAACCTGGAAAACACAACAGAGATTAACATCTTATACCCCATACAACAAGTCTTAGTTTAATGATTTTAAAAACTACAGTCAATTGACATCACAGAATGGAAATCCAAAACATAAATCTTCAGGACAGTATTTCCAATGCACATTTAATCTAATTAATAAAGGCAGATAACTATTTTGACATACCTTCAAGTTAACCAATTTTCAGAGATTGAATATTTAGCACTTTTTAAGATTGAACTCCTCAAAGCATCATCATACGCACCCACAATCACAAAGTATCTGCAGTTTAGGTTTTAAAATGATTGATTTTGCAGGGGTGTAAAGGAGAAGCTTTCCAGCAGATACTGTCAAGAGTTAAAATACATAGATATTCTTTATCATCCCTCAGCTGTCATTAACTGGAATGTTTCTGTGAGTCACTAACTGCTATACACATGGAAGGAGACACAAACAGGCTCTCCTTGGCACTTGGTTCCTACAGGTCTCCAAGATACATGCTGAGAGATAACACAGAGGTGCTAGAGCTACAACCAAGAGAACTAACAATTTATCTACACTGACTACCATTTTATCATCATGCCATCTCTTTCACTAGCTAAACAGACTCAGTCCTCTTAACCTCTCATACCACATCCTCCAACTACTTGACCACCTTAATGGCCTTCCACTGGATTCTCTCCAGACTACCTCTGAATTATTATTGCATTTCTATAGATTCATCTAATGCTACTCAGGATAACTAATGGTAGTGTGTCATCGTGTTATACAACACAAAGAAATATGAAAAGCAAGTACGAAGACAAAAGTACATCTTACACAGGAGCATGAGCATCTCCAGTACGTGTGTTAGGATAATCAACTCTTTGCAAGGTCCTTTGTGAATACACATTTAGTTGGCTGACATAGTCACCGGACTGTACAGGTAATAAGGTCATCTGAGTTGTTGGTAATTCTGCAGCTTGGGTATTTGAAGGACTCTCTGGCTATAAAATAAACAAAATAGGTAACTTAAAAACTTAAGTTTAATAGATAGCTTAAGATAAACAATGCACAAGATCTAACATAGCTGCAAAGTTTGTCAGCATTTCGAAATATTTTCAAGGAATCCCAAGGTTGCATTAACCGAGCCCGTTGTGGCAAAGGGGAGCTACCCCAACCCAGAATTACTCCTGTGGGTTTACAAACAAATGTAAATCCAGTTTATCTAATATTGTACCAAAAAGAAAAAAAAAAAGGCAGCCAATGCTGCCTCCTGATTATTTTTCACATTTTTTAAACCCTGATGAAAAAAAAAAAAGGATGGCAGCAGGATGCTGCTGCTGCCACCATTAGCAAGGACTGCAAATGCCTCTGTGCATGTACAAGAGGGAAAAGCAGGACTTTTCAGCTGTCTCATGATTAGGCAGCATTAATAATACATCAGCAAATATGCAGCAGTTGTGTTAAAGTAATGATGGAGACACAATAGAAAGCATATGGAAACAGGTAAGGAGAGATTTCAGTCTAAAGGTGCTAACAAGCATTCAGAGTCAAAAAGAAACGTAAAGAATGGCTACCAACAATACATGTGTTGGAAAATAGAGGAGCAAAACTCAAACTTAAACTAAATCAAGGAAGGATAAAGAGTATAGAATAAGCTGTACCATAAAGAATATTATGACAAAGATGCATCAGGTTAAGTAAGCAATTTTATGAGTTTTATGAGAGGCAACAGGCATACTGAACAATGCCCTGCAAATGTTTTCAAGACATCAAATTACTGAATAGCTGTCAAGATGAAAAAGGAGCACTGTCCATTCTGGATGTACCAAGGCAGGTTAAGAAAGGCAAATATATTTCCTTACCCTCCTATAACAGCAGAGAAGGAAACATTCTCGATATTATGTACCAACACTGTAGTAGAACAGTAAGAAAACTAGTTCCGTTTAAAGTAAAGCACCGAATAAGACAGAACAACTTCAATAATCAGAAACTCTCCCATGGCTAATTTCAGAGATTAATCTTCAGTTTTTACTGGAAAACAAAAAAAAAAATTCTACAGTTTACTCACCCGTTTCTCAATCATTTCCCAGGTCTTTTTTGCTGCAATTGCTTTTGCTTCCTTCTTATTTTTACCAGTGCCTGTACCATATTTTTTACCATTTATCTTAACCGCAATGGTGAACCTGCAATGAAGGAAAGTTTTCTAAAACATTGTAACATTTTGTCTCATATATACATAATAAGAAAGTTGAATTTGAGAATGTTATAATCTACAAAGTTAACTGTGAAAGTATTTCACAGACCTTATAGCAGCTCTCCAGTACCTGAAGGGGGCCTATAAAGATACTGGGGAGAGACGCTTCATTAGGGAGTGTAGTGATAGGACAAGGGGTAATGGGTTAAAACTTAAACAGGGGAAGTTTAGATTGGATATAAGGAAGAAGTTCTTTATCATAAGGGTGGTGAAGCACTGGAATGGGTTGCCCAGGGAAGTTGTGAACGCTCCATCCCTGCTGGTGTTCAAGGCCAAGTTGGACAGAGCCTTGGGTGGCATGGTTTAGTGGGAGGTGTCCCTGCCCATGGCAGGGAGGTTAGAACTAGATGATCTTAATGTCCTTTCCAACCCTAACTATTCTATGATTCTATGATTTAAGTATTCGTGTGTTAGCAAACCAAGCACTAGGAAAGAGCAGCACAAGGGCACTGGAAGACGTTTACAGCACTCATTGCTGTAGCCTGACACTGTAAGTTGTACTACTTGGAACAGCCCAAGTTATCCAGCATGTTCTGGATACCACCATCCCACTTCACATCATTTAGAGGTACAAGAGAGTGGATGGAGCTGTACTTGTGAATGTAGCAGAGTACACTGGAAAAAAAAGAAAAAGTGCAATAAATGGGAAAAAAACAGTAAGTTTTAAAAGTGTGTGAATTCTCTTAGTCCCATGCCATCACTTTTGAAGTATGCAGATGTAGCTGTGTAACCACAGCTGTGGCCATTACTATGATGGGGATTTTCCCGATGCAGCTCATGCAATTCAAGAAAAATTAAGATAACTAACATTTGACACCCAGATAATAATTTATTTTGGGACTATGGTCAGGTCTAAGAATAAGTCAGCACAAACAGAAACAATTATTAGCATAAGGCATGTCTACATGCAAACTAGCAGAACAAAAATAAAGAAATCACACGAGGAAACATGACACATCTTGAGTATCTATGATTCCTGGCCAGGAAAAAAAATAGCAAAACACTATATCTGTGTTAAGGAAATAAAACTCATTCCATCACCTGTAATTGTCTCTTCAAGTAAAAGCAAAGCAGCTTAAGCAAAAGACCCTTTTCTTGTAATAGATGTTCAAAAACTGACTACACATAAAACATGCTGGTACCCAATCAATTGATATAGGCCCGACTTTATAGTTAGAAACTAGCAACATAACTGACAAATAATTTCTCAGCTTTGTAAAACTAAATAAGCAAAGCATTTAAGTTGGCATAGATCATAAACTGAAACATTTGCTGCCAGCTATCCCACCTCCTGATGGATTTCATGGATGCATAACATACCTACAGTATAGTTACTTACATTATAGATACAGGTGCATTGCTGTTGCTTTCCAAAAAACAGAGAATCAGTTTTCTCCTCAAACTCTATCACAACACCCTCTTCACCCACCTACCACTCACTTTATGGCTCCAACCAGCTCTCCCACCACATACACACTTCCATGTTTTATGTACTTCACTTACTGCAGGAAGAGTCCTGATGGTTACTGAGGTGCATAGTGAACTTACACGGGATCATGAGATGGGCCAGTCATGCTGACATCAGCATAAACCAGGGTAAATTTCTGCTTTTGACAGTAATGGTTGATCTTCTCCATACACTCACGTTCCATTTTGACACGATCTCCAATAGGTTCTGCAAAGCAACATTCAGAAGTCAGGATGACTTCCATCCAATAGGATTCTGCAAACTGGAACACAAGACACTTAAACTTGAGAAGGAACTTCTTCTCAGTGAGGGTCGGAACACTGGAACAGGCTGCCCTGTGCCTCTGAGGGCTGTGATACTGTGAAGTATGTCTGTGCCTCCTGGCATAGCAGGGAGACCACCCTTAACCCTGTGAGACCACTGCTGTGACATCAAATAGAAAACTGGTACCAGTAACATAAAAGTCACGGAAAATTAATTCCGATTTCTAATTCAAGTTATTGATCAGGAACTGGTTTTGAAGACACATTGCTTGGAAAAACTGTTTTAGAAAGCAGAGAAAAGAACCTGGAGACTTCTTAGCATATTTCTCAGCAGGAAAATGCTGTATTATTCTGTGAAATACTGTGAAAAAAATCCCAGTCAGTAAAGTTTCTCCAGACAGAATTAGGTCCGACTCCTTCAGAGGGAGAACTAAGAGGCGTTTGAACGTACCCTTTGAAGCCGCGATGAGTGCCAGGCCCAGTGACACGCACTACAGATGAAGCCGCGCTCCCGGCGCACGGGGAGGCCGCTCGAACCGTGGCGCGGGCAGCCTGCCTCTCCGGAGCGGCCGGATTCTCTTTCTCCCGATCCACTATTCCCGAGCAGCAGCAGGCGCCCCGGAGCCGGCGCGGTGCGATGCGATGCGGGGCGGTGCGGCAGGACTGGCGGCTGGAACGCACCGCCGCGGTTTCGCTTCCCGCAGCAAGCTCCCGCCCGGCTGAAACGAAACCGAAAGCTCGAGAAGCGGTCCCGCAGCCCTGGTGAGGTACGTGGGGAGGCGGGCGGGACTGCGCGGAGAGCAGGCGGCTTCTCCAAGATGTGTCACACGCTGGTAGCACCTCCCCTCCCGCGCTGCTCCCCGACTGTTACCTCCTTCTGTTACACCCAGTACAAGGCAGCCACGGGAATAGCACATAAGGTATGTATTTCCCTGCCCGTGGCAGAGTGGTGGAACTAGATGCTCTTTAAGGTCCATTCCAACCCAAACCACTCTATGATTCTATATAGTTCAGCTATATGGACAGAGGAGAGTAGCACTGCACACAGCTTTTTACAAATACATCCAAATATTTGTTTATTTCTTTTTTTTTAAGTAGCCCTTTTCCCTCATGGACTAGATGGTCAACACTCATATCTCTTACAGAGTGTTCAGTAGCTTCCCAAAGAAATAAGTTCCAAACCATAGATAGGGCACATAGCAGAAAGTATTTCCTTTTATACATTTTAAATTTTCAGTTCACAGAATCATCATAGTATTATAGAATGGTTTGGGTTGGAAGGGATCTTAAAAGATCATCCTGTTGCAACGCCTCTGCAAGGGGCAGGGACATCTTCCACTAGACCAGGTTGTTCCAAGCCCCATCCAAGCTGCCCTTGAACACTGCCAGAGATGGGGCAGCCACAGCTGCTCTGAGCAACTTGTTCCAATGTCTCACCACCCTCACGGTAAAGAATTTTTTCCTCGTATCTAATCTAAATCTCCCCCCTTCCAGTTTAAAACCATTCCCTCTTACTCTGTCACTGCACACCCTTGTAAAAAGTCCCTCTTCAGATTTCTTGAAGGCTTTGAGCAACCTGGTCTGGAGCAAGATATCCCTGCCCATGGCAGGGGGCTTGCAACTAGATGATCTTTAAGGTACCTTCCAACCCAAACCATTCTACAATTCTATGATGATCCTATGACTTCTTTCTTGTTAAAACACACCTAGAGCAATTCCATAATTCTATGTATGGACTTCATTTAAAGATACCAAATGCCATTCTTACATTATCATTTCTAGACCATGCAACACACCTCATGTTGTAACTTGGCTCCTACTTCTGTTTCTGATCGCCATTCTTTTCCTGGCTCTGAGCTTCCATGAGGCATTTCTGGCCTCTAGTGAGCCTGCAGAAAGAACAGATAGAAACTACTGTGCATGTCAAGTGTATGATTGCACAGAGACCATGCCAAGAGACAAAGCTGCCATGAGTTGCCCTGTTTGCTATCCATGGGTGGGGTTTATACAAATACAGCACGGCAAATGGCTGGCTGAAGTTAAACAGCCTGGTAGTAACTTCTGCAAGTATACAGGAAAGCGTATTTTATAATTCCAGGCCTACTCTGAAGTGAACATAAGTTTTCAGTGTACTGTCCGTTAATGAAGTGAAAATAAAATCATAAAAATAAGTTTTAAATATAATTATAAATCACAGCTTAACCACTTAAATACCATATCTGAAAGCTTCTAGTAAACTTATGTATACATAACATAAATAAATCTTTTAAGACATTTATTTTCAAATTCTGATCTCTGACAAACTGTCAAAGAAAGCACAAAGATTACATTTATGGAAGCGTAGCTTTTCTGGAATGCACACACAGGATCCACTGCTCACTGACGGGAACGCAGGGCTGTCTGAAACAGACATCATCTTAAGTGAAGAGAGCCCTAGAAATTCAGCCATTTTTAGTCATTCTTCTGTGTAAATTCTGAAAAACAGTAATTCAGCACATGGAATCCACATGCCTAACACCTTTTCCAGGTCATCAAGCAGCACATTCTACTACAAGTCAGGTAGAACAGTCTTATTAAAATCCCCGTTTCCTCAACTAGAGGATTATTACCCAGGCGTTTCTTCTCAGAATCCCTCCTTCTCCTTAAATACCCGCCTTCTCTAGTTCTACTTGCCACACATTAATCTCTTTGTCATGATTTTTTTGCTCTTAGATGTGACCCAACATCTTTTATCACAGAAGGAGATTGCTATCAAAGGTGCAGTTTTCAGAACTGGAAGTGGCCAGCTTTGCAAATTACATTTAACTATTAATGCTCAGTTGCCATTAGCAGTATTGAACAGAAATCAAATCAACTAAACAAAACATATTGCCAAAAGCCAATAGGAATATTACTTGAGCAATCCCGTTTGCTTCACTCTGGGAAAAACGATCTGTCCCGTAGCAGCAGCTGACCCGCACACCCGTAACACTCGCTCTGCGGCGCCTTCCAGCCCGTTGTCCCGGTGAACGCCCTCGCACGGCGGCAGAAACGGGAAGAAAAGGTCAAACCCTGAACAGCCCCAAACGCCCTCCACACAGCAGAGGGGCGGTCCGCGCACCGCCGGGCCCCGCACACCCGCACCTGCTCACTCTCCTCCTCCAAAAGGAGCCGCCTCCTCCTGCCCAGCGCAGCCGCCGCACGGCCGGGGACGCACACGGCACTGCGGCCCCGGGAGCCCACCCGCTGCCCTCCTCCCGCCCCGACACACAACCCCTCCCAGCAGCGCACCGCGCTTAACGGAGCGGAGCGGGACGGGACGGCCCAACCACCGCCCGCCCGCCCGCCCGCCTCATGGGGCGAGGCCCAGCGGCAGCGTGAGAGGCGGGGCGGGGGTGGGACACGGGCGGGACGCGGCGTCCCCGCCCCACTGTGCCGCGGCGCTGGCGGCTGCGGCGGGGCTCGGGGCTCGGCCGGTGAAGCGGGGCGGCTCTCGCGGGAGGCGGCGCCGCCGCCATGGGGGTGCACGGCGTCAAAGCGGTGTTCTTCGACTTGGACAACACGCTGGTCGACACGGCGGCTGCCGGGCGGCGCGCCATTGAGGAGGTACCGCCCTTGTCCCCTTGCTGCCCGCTTGTTGCCTTCCGACGCGGAGGCGGCGGGCACCCCTGGCCCAGCGGCCGCGGTGCCGCTCATATCCCCCTCCGTCCTACCCGCGCCGCCGGCCGCAGTGCCGCCTGAGCGGAAGCCCCTCGGGGGACGCGCTGACGAGAGCCTCTTGTGTGTTGCAGGTGATCAGTGCCCTACAGTCGAAGCACCACTACGGGGAGGGGGAGGCCCGCGTCATCTGCGACAAGGTCCAGGCCAAGCTGCTGAAGGAATGCCACGACCCCGCCAAGATGTGCATCACCGACCTGCGGATTTCGCACTGGGAGGAGGCGATCCAGGAGACCATCGGCGGGGAGGCGAACCGAAACCTGGCCGCCGAGTGCTACTTCCTGTGGAAAAGGACCCGCCTGCAGCACCTCACCCTGGCCGAGGACACGCGGGGCATGCTCACCGAGCTGCGGAAGGGCGTCCGCCTGCTGCTCTTGACGAACGGCGACAAGCAGACGCAGAGGGAGAAGATCGAAGCGTGCGCCTGTCAGCCCTACTTCGATGCCATCGTTGTGGGAGGAGAGCAGAAAGAAGAGAAACCAGCGCCATCCATATTTCATTACTGTTGCGACCTCCTAGGGGTGCAGCCTGCAGAATGTGTTATGGTTGGTGACTCTCTGGATACAGATATTCAAGGAGGCCTGAATGCTGGCTTGAAAGCAACGGTGTGGTTAAACAAAGCAATGACTGCCCCAGGAGATACCTCGCCAGTACCTCATTACATTATTTCTTCTGTTCTGGATCTTCCAGCGGTTTTACAGAAGATGGAGCACAAAGTGAATGCTAAGTTAGGAACTGACCACGTGGATGGCAGTAACGCAGCACATTGATGGTTCCAGCATACGATCAGGGACGTGCTGAGCTGTTAGGTGACTCATGCACTTTCAACAGATCTGACCCCCTAGGATTTTGAACTCATGTATGGTATGCTTTCTTAGACAGCAGATGGGTGAATAAGAGCACAGTTGTCAGTGAAAACAGAATAGAATCAAAGATTTATTTAAAAGATGCAAGTGAGGTTAACTTAAAACAATTGCCTCTGTCTAAATTACTTTGATAGACTGGCTAAAGTCTGTCTGTTTCAGACCTAAATTGCCAGTCTCTTGTTTTTATAGTGGAAAGAAAAATTTGAATGTTTTGATCTTTCATATGCTTTACTGACTTGTAAGTTTGCCAGAGGCTTCAGTTCAAACCTTGTTTGCAGTGTGCAAAAGAAGGTGAGGAAAAGGGTGTGGTATAGTCTGGTAAATCTTCCCAATTCATCTGCAGTTTATCTCAGGAACTGGAGTGAATTTTGCTGTTTCTAAAACCAGAATTTATTGACAGAATTTACATATCAGACCATTAGAAAATGCTCTCCCTTTGATTTTTTTTCAAAGTTTTCAAGTTTTAGAATTTTTTCAGACTTTGCAGTGACTTTTCTTTTATGGAATCTGTACCTCTTGCCAAAAGTACTTAAATGTACCTTTAAAATTTGCATTTATAGAGGGGACCATTTATCAGAGAAACTTGATGGATAAGTTTTTATTTTATATTATTTTGGTGCTTATGAAGTTATGCAGTATACTTGTAATTCAGATTATGATATTTGTTGGAATGTAATTGATAAAACAGGGATATTTTCAATGGTCTTAATGTATTGTCAGACTCCTTAAAAGCTAATTTTATTGTTTTGTCTGATTTTATTAATGAATTTTGATCAGACCTTTTTGAGAAACTGTTTTTGCTCTTGCTCAGGTGTAAGACTACTCAGATTCAACTGCAGGATCAGAGCCTTTTTTTGACTGTTTTAATGACAGTGCTATACAATCCCTCCTTACTTCAGTTTCTGCATGTATTTCATGTGCTTTACTCTGGAGAAAATACGAGCTAGTTGTTTGTGAACAGCTTTCATGATTCTCTTCGAGGAAACTGGAAAATGATGGCATATGTATTACAGTATGGTGTGCAACTTTATAATGTATATGTGCTATTTCTGTTAGATGCAGAAGCTTACTCTCTAAAACACTAAGATTTCTTCTTCCCAGATTATTACCTTAATTATTTGATGTTTCTGTACTTCATACTCTTACTTCATGATGGGGAAGTATTCACATATTAAATGGAAATGTAAACACTTGCTGGAAAAGCTGTGTGTTTCAAAACGTATTTGCTATATATACATTGGGCTGAATATCTGACCATATCCAAACAATCAGATTTTATGTTTTAGAATAAATCCATGGCAAATCTTTTGAGAACAGGGATATTGAGGTGCTAGCAGAAGTGTGTCTGGCAAGAAAAGATCAGCAAAAAGCACGAAAGCCTACCAGGAAATGTGTGTATAGAAAGAATACTGTATACAAGAGAGGTTCCTTTGTTTAACTTGACATGAATTTAAGTTAATGCAGTTAAATCTTGCACAGGATGACAGATTCAGTGTAGAGGAGGCTGTTACTGATCTGAGTTAAATTATTTGGCAAAAAGTTTATGTTGCATCAAAATATGTTCCTCCTACACTGGGGAGTGACAGGGGAAAGGAACCCCTTTCATCTAGTTGTCCCTTTAAAAAGGTAAAGCAGTTCAGGTTCCTCATGCTACCTAGGCAAAATGTCTGATCCCGGGACACCTTTGAGGAAGTGGGCGTATGCTAACAATGATCCAGTTAACACTGATGTAGGAAGCTGCCACATGTAACCAGAGCCAGTGGGGCTGACTTGACACACCTACTGAAGTAAGAGGCCTAAGTTAAGATCTTATTTCCCACTTGGAAGAGCATGAAAGCGGTCATTGGTCTAGTGAGTGAGCAAACCGTTGCAAACAACATTCAATAAAGATGATTGAGCCCATGAGGAAGAATGTGTAAGAATAGAAAGGTCTCCAAAAGGTTAGATGGATCCCTGTAAAGATAGTGTATTTGAAGTAACTTGTTTTAACTACTGCCTGATAGAAAAGCAACAACTTTACTTACAACAGCATCCAAAAAGATCTGCATTGTTTGCCCAGCATCAGGATAATAGAACCTGGGTCAGAATGGGGTTTCCGATACAGTGGAGATTTAAAATAACAAATGGTAATAATTCACAATTCTGTCTGTGGGCTTGATACGTGCCAGATTACCATTCTTTAATGTACATTGAGGCTTGTATTCTCTTGCCAGTGCATCATTCTGAGATGGAATACTGAGCCTGCTTAGTATAAAGGGTCTCTTGTTTTAGAAGAGGCTGCTCTTTGTCATGCACTTGGGCAGCCGTCTTCTTAAATCCATGAATCTATGACAAACTACTGTAACTGCACACTCAGGTGATAGCGTGGTCTGTGGAGGCCACAGTTAAGTATATTTTTTCCATTGCTGAGTACTGTACCAGGCTGGATGTGACTGCAACAGTGTTACTATGGTTCTATGAAACAAGAAGAAACAATAGAAAGTATTTCTCTGTCTAGGAGTCTTCTTAGAAGCTGTTACCCAATAAGCTGGATTAAGTATCTGGAGTATCTCTAAATACTTAAAATGTTTTTTCATGCATGGGGCTCTTACAGAAAGCTTAATGAAAAATAGTTATATTTAACAAAATGGAAACATAAATGTAGTAATGCGATAACTTTCACATCAGAAGCAGGAACAAATCAATAAAACAGTCAATATTCAGTTCCAGTTAAGTTCTGGTTTTGCTTAGTGTTATGCTTTATTAGCTGTCTAGTTTAAATTATATTGCCAAAACACACTAAATAAAAAGGAAAAAGAAATTCCATCTACATTTTATTGTATTTTTTTAGATAAATACCCTCCTGAGGGTAATTTACAGTAACTTTGACTTTAGTGAAACTATAATTTAATACCAACTATATTTTAATTCTTGATTTTAAAATAACCCACGTACTAGTGTAATAAAAGTATTTTGTTTATAAAACATTTCTTTAAAATCTGTATTACTGTGGATAACTGTATTTGTGACCAGGTTTACAACAAAGGGCAAGAGTTCTGTTTGGTTGGTTTTTAAAATAGCAAAGAATTAGGCTTCAGAATCTGTCACCTGGGTGTATTTTCCATCATTTCAAACAGAGGTGGGAATGTCATTAGTACTTGTGAGACTTCTTGGCCTGACTGTGTATACTGAATTCCTAACTGCAGTTCACTGCTAGCTGAACCAGACTTGCCATGCTGAATGCCAGCTCTGAAATGCCTACACATTCTGCCGTCAGGGCCCTGGCTGCTGCAGCAGCACAAGAACAGACTGCAAAGCAGATAGGATAGATAAATACTGTAATCTCAAGTCCAGGGGACTCATTTCAGCAGGTGACAGGTCCATATCTGAGCTTTGCTACACTCACCTCTGTGTGACTTAGGGGTGGGGAGGGAGGCTGCTCCCCTCGTGGTGCTCTTGGCTGCAGAAAAGGAAGCTGTTCCCTGATGATTTTCCAGTGGGTAATGGAATAAATTGTCCATCTCCTGGACCTGTGAAGATAGATTGAGAGAGGTGGAAAGATTCTTACAGGTACTCTAGATAAGAGTAGGGTGTTAAACCGAGTAAAGGGGGGCTCGGCCTCTTGCATGCACTGGGCTGTGCCAGGTAGCTGTCTGAAGTATCACAGGTCTGCACAGCATCCCTTCTTGTTGAGGAAGCTTTGCATATGTAAGGCATTAAGCTGAACAGTGACAGCCTTAGAAATGAGGACATTTTCTTACATGCTTGAAAAAGATTAGCACAAAGTTAGAGTTCTTAATAGTGACCCAAATGTTTTATACTGAAGATAAGTACCTTTCATTAGAACATGAAGTTAATGAAAGTGATGAGATGTTTTTGGATTAGGTAACAGCTAAAGGTTAAATTGTCTAAAATACAGAAAATGGACAACTTCCTATGCCCAAGCTAACTTGAACCAAGCTCTATTTGTGTTTTCCTCTGAAGCTTCTGTCACTTGACAACACCAGTAACAAGGCTTTGAACTAAATTGGAGTAGTCTGATGCCTCACAGCAATTTCTCCTGTTCACATATGTAGTGATTATTTTTCCATCTTTAGCTCTAAAATGTGGGGATCTTTACTCCCAGGTTATCTTGAGGCTTTTAAATGAAATTTAAAACCTACCTTAATCCTATATTAATAAACCTCAGCATCTGGAAACCATTTGAACATACTGAGAAGTACAACAAATAGAAACACAATGTATCTCTGCTGTATGTAGTGGTATACTGTTCTTTTGTGCATAGCTTTTACTATCAGCCTTGCAGTGGGATTGTCTCCATTATAGCTCGCTTTCTAGAACACACTGTGCACATACAAGAGACATAACAATGCAGAGATGATGTCAGCTGTGTCTAAAGCAAAACCTGCAACTTTCTGCCTATGTTGCAAGGGACCTAAATACAGAGAATCACGTTGCCTGCTCCATATAGCATATTTCGACCTTTTATTCCACCTACTGAAAACAAGCTTGCATGAGAGGCTTCTGCTAAACAGCCCTCACATGCCAGAAAAATTCTAAATTAAATGATGGTGCTAATACGTATGAAATTTCAGTCCTTTAGAATTGCAAGTAATGTCTCTCAACATCTAACGAAAGACTGGATGATAACTCTGCATAAGGTCCAGCTTAACACAGGAAAATGATTCCATTGACATCAGTGGAACTTCACAAGGTTTAAGTAAGATTTGTGTGATCATTTCTATAAAACCACCTGCAAGTGACTTCTGCCTTCCACTTCTCCCTCAGCTAACTGATCTTTGTCATAGAATCATAGAATAGTTAGGATTGGAAAGGACCTTAAGATCATCTAGTTCCAACCCCCCTGCCATGGGCAGGGACACCTCACACTAAACCATGTCACCCAAGGCTCTGTCCAACTTGGCCTTGAAAACCGCCAGGGATGGAGCATTCACTTTCTTTGGTTGCATTTTTAGGGCTTTATGAATGACAGGTATCTAATGTTTGGGAGGAAATCTACAGAAGACTGCAGTAAAAAGTAATGGGAGACAGACAGCTTTTGTAGCAAGATCATGTTAAGCACATAGATTTAGTATCAGCTCCTTGGCAGTTGTGTGCTGCAAGCATGTGTTTTTCTGTTGTGTTTGATTTAAATGGCTTTCCTTCAAAGAACTTCCATTCATATCACACAGACTAGATGAAAAAAACCCAAACCCACCAAAATGTAAAATGGGGGGGGGGGGGAAGCCTCCAAACAGAATCCTTTGTTCGTCACCTATAGGTATCAAGGTTTATAAGGCAAGTGTAAAATACCAAATCTGAGATACTTTTCTTCCAAGTTTAAAAATAAGTGCTGATGATTACTTGACTTAAGTGAATGTTGTGAGGAAAACAAAGCACTGCTCATTATTTGAGCAGTTTCCCAGTGTCTGTTCAGTCTGGTCATCAATGGCTGCCATCATTTTTCTGTTGTGTTCAAGGACAGCTTTGTCACACAGAGAAAGAATCCAACTTCTTTATATTTTGGAAATAACATTACTAGGCAACGAGGAAGAAACACTGAATGTAGCTCCAACTACATATTAATATAGATTTTATTTAAAGTATTTAATGAATTTATACATATTTACGTTATGTTCTTTTCTGTATATTCCTGGAAATGTTTATTTTGCTACACCATTGATAGTGCAAAAATGCAATAAAATACCGGTCCAGGAAGGTACAGAGATGTATCTGAATAGGACTGTGGTCATCTAAGAGCTATGCTTTAGATCAAGAATTTAAGTTCCCGGTGACTGTAGGAAGTCACTTAGAATAGTTATGGCTGCATTTCCCCAGAAACAAAGTGGAAATCATAAAGATGAAGTCGAAAGCATTTCTCTTCCTTTCCAGTCAAAATCCATCCTGGCAAGCATCAGATGAGCAAGTTTTTATTTACTTGTGTTGTTGCTGAGTCTGCTCAATGGTCTGCATTCAGGCAGATGTAGGAAGACCATTTTCCCAAGCAGTGATCAGTGTAGCAGAAAGGTCTAAATTGAAGTAAAACTGTTATATGCCAAAATACATCAACTGCTCAAACATATATTTTATTAGTTCTTTGGCTACACAAGCATTCAGAATCTCAGTGAAGTATTCTCTTTTATTTGTTCCATGAATTAGGCCAAGTGTCTTCAAAGTTACCATGCTGTTTCGATCAGAGCACAAGTGTGTTGCGGGTCTGTCTGTCTGATAAAGTCAGGCTCAACTGTTCTTATTTGTGCTACTGGTTGGGTGGTCTTTGCTGTTACTGGGGTGGCCTGTTAAATCTCACTGGGATTAGGATTTATCAGGAAGTCTGCAGTGGATGGACTGACAGCCTTTGTTTTCCAAACTGTTGATGCCTTCCATTGTGTTTTGTTTCAGACATTTAAATGAGAAGGGTCCTGAATGTTCTAAGTCCTATTTTCCTTTCAGGAAGAAAATGCATGAATGACACAAACGGCTTGTTTATTCTTCTTTCAGTAAATGTAACTGGGTAAAAATACTTTTTTCTTCCATCCCTCTTGTCTGAAAATATTTTAAAAGGTACCTAATAAGTTAATGTCTAAACTACTTTGATACATTTGTTATCTTTATCCTGTTAGACTTTGTGAAACATTATATGTGTTTTTTAAAAGTGCTACTGCTGCAGTCACAGGTTCATCTTCAGACTGTATTTCTATGCCGTATCTCAAAATGAAAACAAGCCCCTACCTTAGAGATATTTTGATTTGATATGGGTCTACCTAGTTAACAATTCCTTTTTGTTCTACTTTGAATACTGTGCTCCCTGTTTGCTGATGTTCTGCCCACCTCAGCCACTTCCCATTTGTTTTTCTCTTGGTTGTAGTGTAGCAGTGTTTCTGCATATTTGCAGGGTGAGCAACATGCAATAGATGTATGTAAAATGCAGACAAAAAACCCTCTTGGCTTCTAATAGCCTCTGTGTTAGGCTTTGCATTCCCAGCATTTTACAGGACCTGGCAGTTTTTAGGCTGACTTACGAGCCTCTTTTGCAGCTTGTATTCTCTCAGCAGTGAGTGATAAGCAAAGATGCTTTTGAATACTGCATGGTAATTTCATAATACACTGCAAGGGAGATACAGAATTGGCCTGGATTCTCCGTTTTAGTGCCACAGTACAGCTGTTCAGGTATCAGCAGGTTTATCATGGCATAAAACAGTTTAAGGATATTAAAAAATAAACCTCACTATTTTTCTACTCCTGTTTTCTGTTACAAAGGACCAGTGCTGTATTTAGGGTTGCATGCACTTGCTCTATAATGGAATTCGAGTAAGAAATGGCTTTTTATTTTTCTGTATTGCTGAGCGCTAAAGCCATGTCCTTGAGGAATCAGAATGCTGCTAATAAGCTATTATTTCCATATTAAAACATGCAAATGCATTTTAGGATAATTTAGGGGTGGCTAATTTCGGAGAGTAGAAAGAGAAACTTAAAGTTGAAAATAGGC